TGTACATATATTTTTTCTTTATGAAACCATTTTCTAGAAATTTCGCAGCTCCAAATCTTTGGAATAACCTATTACTAGACATTATATAGGAAAGCCTCATCTGGGGCCTGTACTGTCTTCAAAATTTTGTTGAAGGCGCACTTGTTTTCAGAAGCTGTTGAATAGTTATGTTGTGTGTATGTGTGTGTCTGTAAAGTAGCACTGTGAGGAGTTTTATTTTCATCACAGCGGAGTAGAGTATATTAATATAGCTATATAGCTGCGCTATACCTGAATTATATTTAAGAGTTACCTGACCTGAATGTTGAGCAGATATTAAACTTAACTTGATTCGAGGTATATTTCATTTCCACTGAAACGTTTCTCATAATGTCATTTGTATATACTGTAAAAGAAAGTTTTGCCTCATTCCACATGAAATAGTTTGTAGCAAGCATGTCCCTGGTTGTACCTCTATTCAATAATTCATATACATAATTATGCACAGTTGTATACTATGTCCCTTTTGCAGCCAACATCAAATTCTGTAGAACTTTGCAGGAATTATGAATATGTCATATATGTCCTATTTGCGAAATTTAAACGTTAGCAGTGTCCTATTATTCAAATTATGCAAGGAAACCCGTTTACTTGCTAGACTTCGCTGTCAGACACTATTTAGTGAATGAGTGGCCTTTTTTCTTCTGTGGTGTATATTATATACATAAAATGAGCTGGAAAGGGTACATGAGCATTCGTCTACATCAATAACCCACTTCTTGTAATGGTCAAAATTAATCTGAAAATCACACTATTACTTACTGACTACGTATAATTAAGTCAATTTGACAACTATTAGTTGTTATTTTCCCACTTAAAGACATTTTTAAGCCCCCCCCCTCTTTTTTAGGGAAGTTCTAAATTAGTATTATCTTTCAAATGCCGTTGGAATTTAACCTTTTCATTTGTTGGGCCTGCAAATGGGACATAGTACCTTTAAGATACTGTACTTTAAAGGTACCAAACATGATTAGCATTTTTTGCTATTTTCTGGTCCCCATTATTCATTCGACATATTTTTTGAACATACATTTTTGTTATTAACGTTATATTACTGTATTTGAACGTTTGGATAATGAAACCTCAACTCAACTCAGCTCGTGTAGGCCTATTCAATGTACTCTCCTGGAAGGATCATGATCATATTTTGGACTTGTGTAAACCATTCAAATAAAGCTTTGTAAATACAATATAATTGTGTTTTGCGTGGGTTTCTTTGTGTGTTATCAACTAAAGTTGTTACTATAGTATCGACACATCGGCAGAATTATATTTCAACCAAAATTTGAAAATTCCAGTCATAAGCCCTCGCTGTTCAGACGCGGATCAAGGATTTTCCGATAGGGGGGGAGGGGGGGGGGGGGGGGGGGGGGGCCGGAAATTTGAAAAATGCGCAGACTGTTTTTTCAACTCAACATACCAATACTGACAAGGTCATATTAGAAGTACCATACCGGTATCTACAAGCAGGCACAATTTTGGAGGGGGGCAAGCTCACGTCACGTCTCTTGTCCGATATCAACATCCTTTATTTAGGAAATTCAATACTTTATATATTTATGATATTAATAAATTGCAAATTGCTTCATTGATGCAACGATTTTTCTCAAACTCACTACCTCCAAACCTTATGCACCCATTTAGTCTTAACAATGTGGTCCATACCTACTACACAAGAAATGCTAATAAATTCCACCATTGCATGCTTCGTCTAATATAACCGATTCTCTCCGTTATGTTGGTCCAAAAATGTTGAATTCCCTACCTCCATTTTTACAATCTGTCGGATTTAATAATTCTTTCAAAAGACTTTACAAAAACATCTTATCTCTCTTTATAACGCATAATTTATTTTAAGACCACACCTATATTACTAATACTCCTCCTTTTTATTTTTCCTTTTTCTTTTTATTTTTTCCCCTTTTTTTCTTCTTCTTCAAGTATATGTTATTATTACTTCTCCGCCTGGTGCATTCATGTCAAGCCTTACTGGCTTTTACGGATGCACCATTTTCCATTTGTATTTTGAATGCTGTTATGTCAATTTATATATCATTTTGATTTTGTTACATGTTATGAAATTCCATATTTTATCTTTGTATATATTGTCATGATGATGGAAATAAATTTCAATTCAATTCAATTCAATTCAATTCAATAAGTTATACAATTTTGTTGACATTTTCATCGGGGGGGGGGGGGGGGCTGGGCTGAAGCCTCTTGCCCGAAAAAGTAATTTTCTGGTTCACAATTCGGCTTTTGAGAGCAACAATTTGAGCATAATATGTATTGTGTGAAAGTATTATTTATTACCAAGATAAACGAGAAAATATATCAAAAATTCATATTCGGGCAGCTCGCTGCCCCCCCCCCCCCCCATTACGCGCAAAAGCTTTGATGTTTCATTAAATTATTAGAGAAAGAAGACGATTCGTTGTACCATTCTCGACTCTTAATCCTTGTCTGAAGTTCCCCGCGCGAAGCGCGGAAGCTTTGAACTTTCATTAATTATTAGAAAAAGAAGACGATTTGTTGTACCTTGTCTGAATTCAGTTTCCCCCTCTCGCGCAAAGCGCGGAAGCTTTGACGTTTCATTAAATTATTGTTAGAGAAAGAAGACGATTCGTTGTACCATTCCCGATTCTTAATCCTTGTCTGAATTCAGTTTTTCCCCGCCCTAGCTTTGACCTTTCATTAATTATTAGAGAAAAAAAAAAGACGATTTGTTTTATCATTCTCGACTCTTATTTCTTGTCTAAATTCAATTCCCCCCTCCTGCGCAAAGCGTGTAAGCTTTGACCTTTCATAGTTTAATAAAATTATTAGAGAAAGAAGACGATTCGTTGTACCATTCTCGACCCTTTTTCCTTGTTTGCGAGAGTGCAAAAATCGACTTGCGCCAAAGTACAGTATGTATTATGCTGGGATTAGCGGAATGAGAGAATGAATTGAATGTATCAAATGAAAAGCATTGCATATGTTTTTTGCAAAGTCACACATGCCCACACACGCGCGCACAAATATTTGTTGATATTTGATATTCGATATTTGATAAGTGTGGCATGATTAATTTTGTTAGAGATGTTATTTGGATCTGCAAAGACCGAATTAATACCCACATCCCAAATGTTTTATTCAAACATCAGTCATAGGCAACTTTGGCGCAAGTCGATTTTTGCTCTCTCGCAAACAATGTCTCCTGTTCATCCAGGCGTGAACACATACCACACACAAATGATACCAAATGATTTTGGATAAAACACTCTTTCATGAGAAATAGAACAATTCAATGTTCATAGATGATTTTTTTAAATACTTAGTAATTTTCTAGGTGTAAACTTTTTTTTGGACTCACACTGTACATGCTCCCCCGAATCGTGTTATCGGGTTTTTGTGCCCATTGAAAATCGTCATGATTAACCCCCGCCCCAAGTAAATGGGCTGGCAATGTATCGGCTCCCGAATCTGCCTTTAAACTTACCCCCCCCCCATCATTCTGCAAAAGAAAGAACGAAAGAAAATAGGAAGGGAAAAAAAGGAAACAAACAAAGAAAGAAAGGAAAAAAGGAAAGAAGAAAGAAAAAGATAGGAGTAAAAAAGAAAGAAAGGGAAAAAGCAAAAAAAAAAAACAAAAAAAAAGGAAATACAGTGCGTCCCAGAAAAAACGAAACCGAGAACTATCGATGTTTTATTATAACTTAGTCACATTTATAATTAATAAATGACACATATTTGGAAATCTTAGATCATCCTCTTTCATTTGATGCAACTCATATTATGATGCATATTTCACGCATGCGTGATTAAAAGCAATTTGAAGGAAGGAATTAACAAAAGACCTAACTCCGTTTCGTTGACAATCCGCCGTAGACGCAAGACTTGCATGGCTGATTGCCTGATTGTCAACGAAACGGAGTTGTTGCTACTGCAGGCAGCCAGTGAAAACGAATTCGTTTTTATAAAATAATTATTATGGAAATGCAAGCACTACTTTAAACAAACAGAACTTTGTCATTCCTTGCTCATTTTTCCTGATTGAGGTGTCATATGAAAGGGCAGAAACTCAACTTTCTAGAAATGTGATTTTCTCTTTGAAATTCAGATACCGTCCGCCAAATGACTTTTTGGTTTCCTCTCTTCAAATTCATTGTAATCACTCACGCGTAACATTATAGTTGCATCAAATGAAAGAGAAGGATCTAAGCTTTCCAAATATGTGTCATTTATCAATTATAATTGTGATTAAGCTATAATAAAACATCGATAATTCTCGGTTTTGTTTTTTCTGGGACGCACTGTATATTAGGAAGAAAGGAAAGAAGAAAGAAAGAGAGATAAAAGAAAAGAGGCGCTTGTTCAGAAGAAAGAAAGAAAGAAAGAAAGAAAGAAAGAAAGAAAGAGAAAAGAGAGAAGATAATAAGGAGCGCCAGAGAAGGAAACAAATTACATTTTATATGATTGAATTCAAAACAATTCTCTTTTATTTTATTTTCTTTTGTCTGCTGGTTCATACTTTTTAATTTTGTATATATTTGTGTTTATATGTACGTTGTAGAAATGCAACATATTCATCAGTATTTTTCTCTTCCTCCTCCTCCTTCCCCTCCTCCTCTTTTTCTTCTGCTCCTTCTTATTTTTCTTCTTCTTTCTTTAGTAAGTTTTTTTTCTTCTTATCTGTCATTGCAAATAATAAGATTTTTACTTATTAATTTTGTACATGTATGTCTGGAAATAAGCTCTCGAGCCTTCGTGGGTTATCCTGTTCAAGCTGACATAATTTTGATCTGTTATTCTTTTATACTGTTGTAACTATGTTGTGGAGGTTTGGCGAATAAAGTCAATCAATCAATCAAGTTAGGGGAAAAACGAAAAGGACACTAAACTTGAAGGGACCACTTGAAGTACTGGTACGCCCTCTCTCGATGTCGGTCCGCAAAGTATTTCAGACATGGCGTTTAGCTCGATCAATGGCGTACATGTGTGATGTTATAGCGCGATGGTGAATTAAATTGGTAAGTGAAGCTTGAAGTTACCTGTGTTTGAAATGATTAAATCATCTAGCAGTTGTTGAATCTTACCAAAAATAGAGCTCTGTATTGGAGTTGCTAGCAATTAGTTACTGTTTTGAAGGAAAAGCATCTAAAATTTCGTAATGAAGTTCGTTGAATGGTTCCATAATTTTCGTGTGCTCGATTGTGACGCTAACAACATCCCATCCCCTCCTCCGAGCTCGGCGGAGTGCGCGCGGGATTCGGCGGAACTCCAATGCACAAGCTGGGCCAGTGACAGTGTGAAGAGGCAGGGAAACAAAACCTAAAATTAGTAAAATGCTCAATTGTGTTTGTAATTGTAATCACCCCTTCCTGCACCAGACAAACATTGCATTGCACACTGGCTTTGGAGTTCGCAAGTAGACTCTTCTTTCTTCTCATACAATTTACAAATCACTTTGAAATCGGTCAAATATTTAGAAAAAATATGAAATTTTGCCCTGTGTACAGAGTTGGCGCTTTTTCAGAAGTCTATCCAAAATTTGACCCATAACTCCGGCGTGGAGATATCGGGATACCCTACTTAAACATACCAAAATTGAAGTAAATATTCATTAAATGTCCAAATAAAGATCATGAATAAAAGTCGTTGGGTCTATGTTTATCACCTGTTTCGTGTCAATTTTATTTTTATTTTTTGGAGTATTTTTGAATAAACGTTGATATTAGTATACACTTTTTCACAGGTTTCACAGCAAACCGCTGCACGAATACAGGCGCGCGCCTGTGTGAAGTTATCTACCGTAATGTCACAGAATTAAAGTATTCATTTTTGATTAATTGGGTTTGAGCTGAACTTGTTTTGATCAGCGTCTAGTTAGTACGCACATGCATTCGTGTTTATAGCTTGTGATCGCGATGTTGCAGAGGTCAGAATTTGGGATTTAAATGGCATCAGTGAAGTTGCGCCAACCTCTAAAAAAATCTCTAGGGTCTAGCTATTACACTGATGTCACACGATCGAAACCATGGCTAAGCAAACCATGGTGTGGAGTGATGGCAATGAATTTGCTTACCTTCCACATGTTCCTGATGATAATTAGTTAAACTTAAGCCAATGGTGCGATTGAAATGCACTAGATTTGTCCTTGCCTAAGATGAGAACTACGAGGTACCGAAATTCCACCATCCCATCTTTCACTCGATCCTTGAATAATAATAATAAATAGAGGCTTAGGAATTATCAGTATGTTGTATGTCATGTATTTCAGCAATAATATAATTATGTGCAATTTTAACTGTCATGATGATTGGCACAGCAGGTTCTTCCATTCATTCATATTTTGATGTTGCATGTATTTTTATCCTTCCTCTCACTCTCTCATCCCTTTTCTCTATCTGAACTTGCTACTTTTCAAATTTCATTTTCTCTTTTTCAGTCCTGGTCTTTCCTCTCTATTTCTATTTCACTCCCATTCCCTCTCTCTCTCTCAGCTCTATGTCTGTCTCTCTCTGTCTCTTTCTCTTTCTCTCTCTTTGCTCTCTCTGCCTCTTCCTCTCTTCTTCCTCTCCACCTCTTTCTTCTCTGATGATGTTTTACAGTACAACATTCTTTAATTATCTGCTATTCTTACTGTGACCAATAATACCTAAGGAATTCCATTGTTTTCATGTGCAATATGTTTATATATATATTATACTGTACTCATAATCACACTTAGCACACTGCCAAGACTCCAATTTTAATACTTTTTAATAGTTTTTAATACTCACTATACCTTCTGAATGGAATTTGTATTGCATTTTATCACAATTTTCCAATGTTACAGTTAATTTAATTGAACTCACGTATCTGTATACACTTTATTTATTTTGATGTAAACATTTATTCATTTTCGTTAGCAATATTTCATATCTTGTATTTTTTAATTTTTTTTTTAAATCCTTTTTGTTTGTTACTACTTTAATGTTTTGATTTAAACATTTATTCATTGTTATATATATTTGTTCTCATTTGCTATATTATCTTTTTATGTATATGTACACATGTTTTTGAATGCTTTTTATATTGATGTAAACTTGCATTTTAGTCCTTGGACTTTTTGACAAGTCATGAATAAAACCTTATTTGAATCTTGAATCTTTTCAATACAAAAACACTGACTTCCTAAGACTAGAGAGTTAGTTTATGTGGTGTACAATTTTTTTTTCTTAAGACGTCAATTTGATACTTACTTTACGATAATGGCTATTAGTTTAGTATACATGTAGTCCCCATTTCAAAATTGTCATGTCTTACATGTACCTGTGTTCTGCAAAACTCGCAATGGCTCGGTCCAAATTTTATTTCAATCTGTTACTGTGGCTGTTGAGTGTTGTGTAACTGCTTACTTGTTACTCATGTAACGTCTTTTTTCTTTCTTTTCTTTCTTCTTCATTATTTCATTACACTTCAGATAAAGCTTTCTTCTAGGTCGTGACATTTTGAGGCAGTAAACTCCCATTCAAAGAAAGCAGGAGTCACGATGTGGCCCGTTAACCAGTGGCAGGGCCCAGGGCCTGGCCAATGGGGCATGCAAGCCCAGCAACATTACCAAGCAAACGCAGGTGAGTATGTTCAGGCATGGGTCTTACTTGTTGCTCTTTGCAGGGCCTTGTCTCGAATAAACTGATGTGATTCATTCAAATCAATAGACCTGTTCACAGTTAGCACATATGTTCCAAATGCCCCTGAATATTCACAGATCTTCAAAACATGAAGAGGTCCAACTTTGTACTTTTTGAAATAATCCCTCCTACAGCGATGCAGGTGCTACATAAATAGCCTTTGTTTCCCCTTTTTAAAGAAAACTTCCATCTGTGTATCATGGAGTGCACTGCTAGTGAATAAATGAATAATGATTACATAACTTTCATTAGCATGTAGCCGGTATTTTTGTCTCCGTGTATTTCACAATTTGTTCTGCAATGACCTTTATCTGCTCATGCTCAGACTGCAACTAAGAACTGGTTTATTGCTGCTTGATTTCAATTGCAAGTTTTGAAGAGATAGTAGGCTGTAAGTTTGCGTTTGATAGGACTAACTAGCGATCTGGATCATTTACAACTTTAAGTCAGGACCCATGTGATTGAAATTTACAAAAATACAAAGGCAAGTTATTCCAAACAAGGGTAATGCATGTTTATGATCTTCCTACATGTATATAGACCTCAGAGGTGCTGCAAGACACGAACTTAGTGTGATATGATAGCAGAGAATTTAGATTTTCCATATTGAGGCAAAAGGCAATTTAAAAAAAAACACTTATAGATATGTGTTGTGTCTACTGCAGATTTTCTCAATTGACATAGACATAGATTGTCCTACCATCTCTAGAAGGACTTACAGTGTTGTCAAAACTTTTCTTGGTGGATCATACACATAATTCAACCTGACCGTGTCACTACGAACATCATGCACACAATTTGTATATATCTTTACTTGAATTGAGAGTTACCAGCGCAGGTAAATATGATTAAAAGTTGGTGATAAATATATTTTTATTTTGAATTCTCATCAGCCGCTACTGACTGGGCATCTCTGGCACAGGAATGGATCAGACAGAAAGAAGTATCGGATACACCACACCAACAAGTACCACCACCACACCCACAAGCAGCACCACCACACCACCAAGCGCCACCACACCTACAAGCGCCACCACACCTACAAGCACCACCACCACCACTGCCCCCTCTACCACCCCAACCCCCTCTTCCACCCTCAGAGGTGGTATTGGAACACCCACCCCTCCCTCCTCAGGTGCGTATTCAAGAGATGTGATGTCATTATACCTGTTCTAAATTCTTGGTTTCATAAAAAGCTTTGAAATGTAATATGAGAAATCTTTGTCAGAGCCTCAACTATAAAGGATTTTTGTAAAGTTCTAAAGATGTTTGGAGATGAATTGCCTGAAATAGGTTCTAGTTTTCTTTCTTGGTAATAACTTTCTCTAGCTTCTCTTCTCTTATGGATGTTAACAGGATATGTCAGTGAGATAAATGAGCTAGACAGATTATTGTGAGCTACACTTGTAGAAATTTATCGTAATTTAGAGTATTGATAATTCTGAATCATGTCTCAGTTAAGTTTTTCGATAAGTACTTAACATGTAGCTTTCATAGATATATATATCACAACTCATTAGTGTTTAGAATTATCTGGCTAGATCCCAAATTTTAGTAGCACAGTCAAACCTGTCTATAGCGACCACCCAAAGGAAACACAACAAGTGGTCTTTGTAGACAGGATCCTTTAGTACATGTTTCAATGAGAAACCCTTTTCAAGGGAAACAAAAAATGTGGTCTTTGTAGACAGGTTCCTTTAGTACATGTTTCAATGAGAAACCATTTTCAAGGGAAACAAAAATGTGGTCTTTCTAGACAGGTGGTCACTAAAGCAGGTTTGACTGTAGAAGTAATGGGACTTTATTGCATTTAGCATAAGGCTAATCTCCCACAAGGTCCTGTCCATTGCACCAATTCAAAAATAATTCATAAAGAGATACAAAATGGAAAAAAACACTAATGATAAATTATGAAAATTGTTGCTGATATCATGAGCTGTACATAGAAGATACAGTTTGAATTAATTTGTTGTGATCTCTTATTCTACCTAGATTCCTCCATCAGCACCAGCCCTACTTCCCCTAGACGATGAGGGCAGCAAACATCGACAAGAAGGTAGGGAACGTTTCATCTTTGTAGCTTAGTGGAAGGTAGAGTTGTGTAAATATGTACCAGGAATAGAAAATGTCAAAGTTTTGACAAATCAGACTTTTTATCCATAGAGGTAGATCCATAGGTCGTACTAATACCTGATCAAGTTAAGTCCTTTCGGTTTCTCATACCTACCCATGTCTTTAAGGTTTCTCATGATGTGCTGGTCCAGTACTCCATATCCAGTCCTGTGTTCTCTGCGCATATCTGGTCTTCTTTTGTCTTTTCGTTCATGGGTTGGTGTCCATTAGGTCATAGAGCTAGTGAATACATCTATGCCTTGATAAGGCTGAGGAATATTGAAACTGTCTTCCATTCATACATGCTAAATCACATGCTAAATCACAGTTTTACATTCAGTGATTTCTCCAACAAGTATGCCTTTTCTGCTATGGACACGTTTCTAAATCTAAAGTGAGTGTAGACTGACGAGACTATGTGTCTTTTCCGTGACCCGACTCGGGGCCAATCGGGTATAATACAACTACAGACGACGCGACCACAGCAAGCACGTGGGGGCAGCATACGCAAAACCGAAGCGTGAGGAGAACTTCGGTCTGTTTCGCGTACGTGACCATGTCAAGATTAAGTCACTGACTATCGTTAATCAAGTCCATTCATTTGCGTGCAGTTGTCCATAAGAGGACGTAGATGGCGTTAAACAGTATTTGCCAAGCTACCCTCCCTTTAATTTTTGAAATACATTTCCTTGAAATCTCTTAAGATGCCATATCGGTTGACTTTGGTTATCATGCTCTTCCACGCCTCTCTATTTCAAGCCTTTGCCAGGGCCAAGCTTTACAAAGAGTTGATATTAATCGCAACTTATTTGCAACTATGTACATAGGATAGGATATTGCAAACTTGTGATTGATTAAAGGACTTGCGGTCTTTCTCTCAAACCATAGTGCGTTACTCTTCTTCTTTCTTCTACTCTGCTGTCCTGTGATCTCTGCTGCTATCGCCAGATTCTACAAACCCCCTTTTTCATATCAAGTGTACCATACATCTTATCTAATCTTATACGTTTTATCTTCACCTTTCCTCTTTGCAACACTTTGTCATTATTCGCTCCATTCTTCCATGTGATGTATACAACTGGTTGCTTTATGTATATATGTACGTTTGTTTGTTTCAGGTGGAGACCGTATGATGCGCCTACTACCCCCTCCACCACCACCCCCACAGGGCATGCCTGAGGGCCAACCCCGCACCTCTGGTGCTCCCTCTACCAGTGTATCTCAACCCATTGCCTGGGACTGGAACCACCAAACACCTAGTACACAGTGGCAGCAGCAACAGCAGCAGCAGCAGCAACAACAGCAGCAGCAGCAGAACTTCCCTCCACCACCCGGCCCGCCCCCTATGGTAGCCCCTCAGAGGTTCGACTATGCCCATGGAGCCGGCAACAGCAGCTCAGTGAAAAGGTTTGAGCGCCATCACGGTATGGATGGGGGAGATGGGGGAGGGGGAGGAGGGGGACTAGCCCCTCCCTTCCACCAGCATCCCCCTCCTATGCCTCCAGAGAGATTTGACTACAATCATGGTGGGCAAAGCAATGATTATCGTCAAGAGGTATGTATATATCCACGCTCTTTTGATATATGTTTTTTGTTTTTTCATTGCTATGCTGATAATTTACCTTGTCAGAGTTTGAAGATACTTAGCCCCAGTAAACTATGACTGAGAATTTAGATTCTATACTAGATCAGTAATGCATGCATTTTAAATCTTCTTTTTCTTTAGTACTCGTTGTGATTTTGGAGAGCTTTTCACCCCAAGATGTCCACGCCAACAATTAAACTCAAATTCAAAGTGACTAATATCTGAAACTTCCTCACTTTCTCTCACAGAATTACCAACAACAGGGGTATGCCCCCAACCAACAGCAGCAACACTGGCACCCCCCTCCACAGCAGGATTTCTACCAGCATGACATGGGGATGGGAGGCAGGGAGCGGCACCCCCAGCCCCAGCAGTACCACAGTGGTGACGGACGGGGTAGGGACGGGGGTAAGGGATACCGTGACTTCAATCGGATGGACTACTCCCATGATCCCCAGTATTCCCACTACCCGCCAGATGTGGAGGAGGAAGAGCCCAACCTAGCTCTTGGTAAGTGTGGGCGAGCAAAAGAGTTAGATGAGGACAAGGGCAATTTGCCCTACATAGTTGCAGTAAATGGAATTCCTTTTAAAGATAAAGTTGAGTTCTGGGCCCCGTCTTACAAAGAGTTGTGATTGATCCAAATCAATTGTGAGTCTTCCAATCATTCGCAATTTCGCAGTCTCCTATCTCCTATATACATGCGATTGCATTGTGAAAGAAACGGTGTGGAATCGATCACAAGAAGTTGATCATGTAGCATATAAGCATTGGTGTGTATTGACAGGTTTTGGAGTCATCAAAATGATAACAAATGTGGCCCAACCTTGGTAAAGTAAAAAGCACTGTACACAGAAAGATGTATATGGGACTACACAAACATGTTGCATAACAAAATTGGCCTCATTTTTAAACTGTTCCTTGTCATATCTAGAATATGAAGGCATTTGAAGAACCATGATGGTTTGAGCACAGTGTTTTGGTACTGAATTTGGATTTTCTGTCTCCAACACTACTGCTCTTTCACTGGAGCCATACAGTAGCTTCAAACTTGACATGTTCATAATCACTTGCTGTTTGGGGTATTAGACGTACAGTGAAACCTGTCTATAAAGACCACCCAAGGGAGACAAGAAAAGTGGTCTTTACAGACAGGTGGTCCTTATGTACAGGTTCCTTAAGGACAATCAGAAACCATTTTCAAGGGAAACAAAAATGTGGTCTTTATAGACAGGTGGTTGCTAAACCAGCTTTGACTGTATAATGAAACGCAGAAATTTCATGCTTTGTGCTCGATGTTATGTATTTGACAGATGAGCAGAAAATCAAGCTGTTGCCTGCCTGGATCAGAGAGGGCCTGGAAAAGATGGACAAAGAGAAAGAGAAGAAGCTGGATAAGGAAAAGAAAGAGAAAGAGAGAAGAGATCGACTAGAGGCCAGTAAGAAGGCTGAGAATGACATCATCAATCAAGCTCGGATTGCTGCTGGTCTTCCGCCAAAGTCCAAGTACGATGTGAGTATATTCCTCCATACTCTTTTCTTTGAATGCAGAGAATCTAACTTTCATTTCCCTCATGATGCTCTCTAACTCTAGAAGATATGAAGCAATTTGTGTTACTATGCCTCCACCACACGTAGTGGTTTCCGAAGGCATTATGTTTTGGGGTCAGTTATTATTCTTCTGAATGTGTAACTTATGAACAAATTGAGGTATCATAGTTAAACTTGGTGAGAGTATGTATCTTTGACATTGTCAGAAACATACAAAACAAAATGCCTTGGACTTCCACTGTAATGTTGTTCTCAATCGTATTCACATTACAGGATAGTGATGAAGAAGGAGGGGGAGGGGATGGGAAAGCCACTGGATTGAAAGGCCAAAGCGCTGAAGGGGAGGAGGAGGAGGAGACCTCTCTGAAGAAGAACCGGTCGTCTCCAGTTCCTGATGAGGAAGAGGAGGAAGACGAGCCACCGTATATGACAGAGGAGGAAAGACAACAGCAGCTGGTGAGGAGGATATTATATATAATATAATAACAATGATGATATTAATAATGATAATAAAAACTTCACCATCTTCTCAATTGTTTACATTACAGTGAAACCTGTCTATAAAGACCACCCAAGGGAGACAAGAAAAGTGGTCTTCATGAGCAGGTCGTCTTTGTAGACAGGTACCTATAGCACATGTTTCAATGAAAAACCATTTTCAAGGGAAACAAAAAATGTGGTCTTTGTAAACAGGTATCTGCAGCACATGTTTCAATGAGAAAACATTTTTAAGGGAAACAAAAAATGTGGTCATTGTAGACAGATGGTCACTACTAAAAGCAGGTTCGACTGTAAATTGATTTCATCTCTTTCTTAACCTTTGACCTAGATGACGAAGATCCGGAAGTGGATGACAGAGGTCCTGCTGGAGGTGACGGGGAAGGAGATCAAACACATCGCCACCGAGGTTCATAGAAAGGCTAAGCTTAGGGCAGCTAAAGGTAGGGAGGGAACCAGATTCCTTTTGTTGGTTCCATGTCGAACGAAAGATACCATGAGGTGTTCATTACGTGTGAGCATTGGGAAAGAAGACAATATGAACAGTTCTGTATATCTTTTTTTAAATTAGAGAGTCAATGATCTTTTATGTAAAAGTTGATTTGATTTATCACAATCTGCTGTAATTTGTCTTCAAAGTAAAATGTGAATAATTGTTTTATTTGTATGTATGCATGTTTCTAATTTTGTAGAAAGATGTCTATTTTCTTTTTCTTCTTGACATTCATTACGACTTTTTCATAATTTGCAATTATTGTTATCTGTCACTGAATTATGAATTAAAAATGCTTTTTTTTTATATATGTTATAAAAGATATTATATATTTCATTCAATGATATTGTGAATTCTTTTTACAAAACCTATTTTTTGTCGTATTTCCCATGAATGATCACAGAAACGGTAATATTGAAATTCATGTATTTGAAAATGTAATTCTATATAGGGCAATGAGAAGGCTTTTGATTTAAAAAAAAATCAGAACAAATAGTATCCATATCTAATACATCTGTGATATACTAAATGTTATTTGGAATTTGTTTAAGTTTTATATAAAGTGCTAAAAGGATCTATTTTTAACAAACTATCTCTTTGAATGCCAATTTTGTGAAAGCTTCAATCATATTTCTTGATTATTCATACTTGTATGTCAAGCGGAAGGTCAACTCTGCTTAACTGTATCTGGCGGACACATCTTGTTTACTGTCAGTGGCCACTTATTTTCCATAACCCGAGTTTCTCCTTCGTTTGTAGCTTTCTAACGATCTCACGTTCACCCGTGTGGCGTGTATTATTTTTTAGCACCAGCTCGTCAGCTCTCTAATTCTACCGCATTGGCTTCCATAACTGGGCTTTCTGGTAAGTACTCAATAGAGAAGGAGATAGACAGACTAGCTGTCAGGGATTGGTGTTACACTGTTCAGATTCGTTCAGATATGATGCATTAAACTGTCGCAAGAAATCGCCACTTTAAAGATACCATGTCCCTTTTGCAGCCAACATCAAATTCTGTAGAATTTTGCAGGAATTATGAATATGTCATGTATCCGTATGTCCAATCTGTGTAATGTAAACATTAGCAGTGTCCTAATATTCAAATTATGCAAGGAAACCCGTTTACTTGCTAGACTTCACTGTCAGACACTATTGAGTGACTGACTGGCTTTTTTCATCTTTGGTTAGAACATACATAAAATGAGCTGTAACTGAACTTCACCATCCAGAAATGAATTAAGAAAGGATCTGAATTCCAGAGAGACATATACATGTACCTTATAACTAAATTCATGGACCATATATTTTGTTATTCTTACAAAGCACATTGCAATGCTGAATCATGTTCACATTAGTCCAGCCTTATGCTATTGGGATGTCTTATACAAGCTTGGTAGGTCTGAATCTCCCCTTATCAAAAAAGTTGCATTAGAATGTGGTAAATCCCCCTTAGGCGTAAAAAAAAAAAAAGATGTTGTATTGCCCTTTGCAAAAAATCTTGAAATCTATGGTTGGCTTTTAAAAAAAAGAGAGAATTTTCTTTAAAAAGAATAACAAAATATGTATTCAAGCAAAAAACTTGAAAATGTCAGCCCAAAGAGGGAGAATATTTTTTTTTTTGACCAACCGGCCTGTGTTTTGGCTCCTAAAGGGCAATACAACGTCTTTTTTTTAAAGGCCTTATGAATAGGGTGAAGGAGCCTTTATCTAACTGCAAGTGAATGGTAATTTTTTATAGGTCTGACATCATACGCTTCGGACAGTGACGAGGATAGGAGTGACGATGAGAGGGGGAAGAGGGAGGAGTCAGAGAGTGAGGACAGCGATCAGGAGCTCAAGAGGAGTATCCAGTCCAAGAAGGATTCATGGAGACGCAAGAAACATGAAAACAGTAAGTAACCCCTTGGTTCACGGTACTACGACACCAGGGGGTGTTTCACAAAGATCCTAAGTCAAACTTAACTCTAAGTTGGACTTAGAAAATTTGGAGAGCCATTTGTAGCCTTAAAATAAAATATATTCAAAAGCGAAAATTCAAGTAATTTAGACTTTTCATAAATTCCACATCAAGAACATGAAATCTCCTTGATAAAAGAAAATATGAATGATTTGACTGAACATTTTATTCCTTTTAAAATAACGTAAACAAAATATTTTCAAAGATGCTAACGGCTTTCCATAATTGTTAAGTCTAACTTAGAGATAAGTTCAACTTAGGATCTTTGTGAAACGCCCCCCTGCTCTAACAACGATATTCTACATGTACCAAGTTTCTAAATTTAACCCTGGACTTGGACCAAGTACAATACCAAAACTTAACCTAAAACATTGTTGCAACCCTCACTGTAATCTTATATCTTTGACAAAGTATTACCAGGAGAAATTCTTGCTTGGAACAATGTCTGGTCACCTAATCCATCCTTTTTTTTTTTAAGAAAAAGTTTTTCTGGTAATAGAGAAAAATGATTATGAGCCATCTTGTTCTATTTCAGAAATGGTTGAGTAGTGGTAATACCCCCTTCACAGTTAAGGCAGCCATTTTAATTTGCACGTAAATATTGCATCATCAATGTTTACAGATGCGCATTTATTGTTGCGTCAATGCCTGCGCTGTGCGCTCACATCATATTTACATGTGCGCCATTATAATTTTGTTAAATTTTTGTTAAATTAAAATGGCGCCCATGTCTGCGCACACGCACAGTTGTAACCGTAAAAGAGTGTATTCATTTATACAAGGATACCAAAGTAGCAGCGTTACCTGAAAAGGAAGTGCTTGCATCTTTCAAGTATGATGAGAAATAATTAACCAAGATACTAAATTCAGATGCCACATGTATGTGAGTAGTCCCATGTAACCATTTCTGTCAATGTTCTGTCCATGCTTTCTAATGAAATTTGGTTCATGGACTTGAGCATAAATCTGCGTGTTAGCTTAATATATCAGTACATATTGTTTATGACCTACTAGAAAATCCATTGAAGTACATTCATTTTACCGATTATTCTATTTTTGGATGTCTTTTCTCTTGTAGTGTTTGCAAGATCGGATGACGAGAGTGATGACGAGAGGGGAGACAGGAAGAGAGAGAAATCCACCTCGGAATCTACCATCCAGAAACCCAGCTTAAAACGACCAGATAGAGATGAGAAAGAGGACAGTCTAGTTGCAAACGGTGGAGAGTTGGATAGTAGAAAAGGAGAAAGAGATGAGAGTAAAAAAGAAGGAGAGAGTGGAGATAAGAAGAAGAGATCTCGAAGGTGGGATCAGAAAGAGAAGGTTGAGATTAAGACTGAATCAGTGAGCTCAAGCTCGGAGGACAGCGATAGCAATAGTAGCAGTAGCAGTGGGGATGAGGAGGATGATGATGAGGGGAGTGAGAGCAGCGAAGAGTCCTCCGATGACGCTAAGGATTCGGGAAGGAGGAAGAAGAGGGAGAGGAGCAGAAGCAGAGAGAGAAAGAGTAAGGACAGGAGGAAAGAGAGTGAGGTAGATGACAGTGATAGGGAAAGGAGAAGGGACAAGGACAGGAAAAAGAAGAAAGATTCAGAAAGGGATCGAGATCGAGATAGGGATAAGGAGAAGGAAAGGGATAGGGAAAGTAAAAGTGATAGGAAGAGACATAGAAGCAGGGAAAGAAGTAAGGAGGATGATAAAAAGGATAAGAGGAAAAGTAAGAAGGACTCGGAAAAGAGCAAAGAAAAAAGTAAGAAAAGGGACAGAAGTAGTCGGGAGAGGGATGAAGAGAGAAGTCGGGAAAGGCGAAACAGTCGAGAGAGGAATAGGGAGAGAAGTTCTGAGAGGGATAGAGAGAGAAAGAAGAGGCGTGATAAGGACGATGATTCCAAACATGACAGAGAAAGAAAACACAGGCGTAGTTCCAGGGAACGGGATGATAAGGACCATGGTAGAAGTAAGCATAGAGATAGGGACCGGTCTAAGAGTTCTGAAAGTGAATACTCGGTCAGTAGCTCCAGGGATAAGCAACGAAGGAAGTCCAGGACTCCCGAGGGTCGCAAATCAAAACGGGACTCGTCAAAGCGTAGTCGATCCAAAGATAGATCTTCCAGTAAACGCCACAAGGAAAAGCGCAAGCGCGATTCATCTGATGAAGAGGCGAGCGACCAATCACATCGTCGAGGCAGCAAGCACAAGAAGTCGTCATCAAGGCGCCGATCGAGGTCATCAGAAGAAGATTCCCAGCGGAGGCGCTCAAGGAAGAAGCGTCATAGAGAGGCAAGTGAGGATTCGTCTGATTCTAGAGCCGACTCGCTTGAGCGGTCTCACGGAAGCAGGTCCGGTAAGGCGTCCAGTCGCAAACGAAGGTCTAGATCAACGTCAAGGTAGCTATAAAATGTCCTTGCCTCTCTAAAATTAATTTTTTTTTTCTTCTCTTTGCAGGCTTCCTCCCCTTATATATCGATTAAACTGTATTTCAATTGAGAGAATAGCAATCTGTTGATTTCATTTGTTGTGTTCAGCCCTGATGACTAGTGCAGCAATACAAAAGTGTGATTTCTTTCGGTGACAAAATTGTCTTTCTGCGATTTCCTATTGTCCAAAAATATTTTAAGGGCATGAAGGAAAAAGCCAGGATACAATTAATTAAAAAGGCAAAACGAATTGAGTGAGAATGAATCTCGCAAAAATTTGTCACAATATTTTGTTCACCAAGTCTATTTGGGTTCCATGTCATTTGTCATTCTAGCTCCTGTACCTGATTTTTACAAATTATATGAAGACATGGTACAGACAATGTTATAATTTAATTACAGGATGAAGGAATACAAAAGCCTGTAGAATGGCTTTCACAGTTGATGCAATGTGTATTCTGACATGGAAAGAGATGTATTATGATTTCTTTCTCCCCTTCTCTTTTATGTGTATCTCTGTAGGTCTCAAAGACGTTGAACGTTGAACCATAGCCATACTATAGACATAGTTGTGCAAGTAAGTAGTACAGAAGTAGTGATATATCATGATGTGGATAAATTGATTTTCTTATAAGAGCAAGGTAAAATAAAAAAGGTAATACATGTCATATTCAAACAGCACTGTGAATCATAGGCTGCAATACAAGAAAGAGAGATAGCAACGTAAACAAAATAAAGAGACTTGTAATCTAGTTTACTAAAGGGGTATACTCTGTGAGGTAGAAGCATCATGGAGTTTAACGATATCTGTATAATTTTTTTGTGACACTCTGAAATGTGTATTTTTAGGGATGTATTTTTGTATCTAATTTGTATTCATTTTGCCACAAGCTAGGAAATATTGTCTGCAGATGTACCCCCTCCCCTTCTTACCCCGATTATCCACTTAAGGACGTTCTGGGGGGGTGTTTCACAAAACTTGTCATCAGTGACAAATGACAGTTTTTGTTACAAGCTACTGAAATCCTTGCTTCTGATTGGTTATCAACAGATTTGTCACTGATTTTTGTTGTTTGTCATTGAAAAAGGCTTTGTGAAACGGGTCCCTGCAGTAGTATCTTTGCGCCCCTTAGTGAAGCAGGGCCAGCAGGTTATGTATTCACCATGCAAAATGCCTGGAGATCCTGAAATTGTGCAACGTAATCAGCTGGCCCTGTGCAGCTATTAAAGGTGCGCATGAACATTATAGCTACATATACTTGTTCCCTCTATACAGCCAATAATGCCCAAGCGGTACCCGTTGGTCCCCCATGGTCCCCTTTTTCTTATGTTAATTGAGAGCTGTCAGTGACCATGCAGGGAGGTCTAACCCCTCCGGCCAAACTAGTGCAGATAGGCTTTACATGTCATTATGACAAGTTACGGATGTACATGTAAGTGATCATTCATATGTGAGAACATGAGGGAAAAGTATTTTTTGTCGTTGGTAAATCGCAATGTCTTCTCATATTTATGCAATTCAGTATTGATGTAGAGCTAAGCATTTCTAAATCATTTTCCAATGTGACATAGGAATGAATTTATCCATCATATGAACCATATAAAGCTCTGTCAATATAAACTTGGACAATTTTTTGATAAAGCCTCTCATGAAAAGGTTGTTATTGATAACTTTATTTATTTTCAATTTTTCCGAGAGTAAATTGTATTGTAGTTGGTAGAGCTGTACTCCATTATTAATGCCTCAAAAAGATTGCTTGCAATGTTAATTGGATGGTCATGTATAAACAATTCAACATCAAGGATCTAAGAATATCATTGCTAACTGTTCGGCATAATTGATGAGCATCAGCAAAAAGTGAATTATTGCAAAATGCATCGTTATTCAATCGAAACACAATCCATCCTCCAAATAAATGAAGAATTCCCTGTTGACATTAACAATGCATTTTGCAACAATGCACCTTTGACGTGGCCCCATATTCAGGTGTACTTGCACATTACATGATCACCTTATGATGACAAATGAGGCATCATTGTAAAGGGGAATAATCATGCTTATCAACAATACCAATTTCAAATATCGTCAGCCGGATGGCAGAAGGGCGTTAGCGCCCGAGCGACTCGAAACTACTTTTCAAATTATTCGCATTAAGAGATTTGTTTTATATTTAAACTGCTTTCTGTCTCGAAAATTGGTTTAAAACATTAAAGACTAGAAGAAATGTTGTAGTAGAACACGGCCACAATTTTTTTCTCAGAAATAAGTCAGTTTTATTAAAGTTTGAGGCGATTTAGTGCTAACGCCCTTCTGCTTAAAGTCTCATTATTGACCTGAAATTTGAGCTAACGCCCTTCTGCCAGCCAGGCGACGATATGATCTATAACGAGAGATATCAATGCTCAAACTTGAACTGCAAAATGTTTTTTTTAAGAAGTTTTTTCTCTTCAGAATGCAGCCCATGGATAATATATTGTTTTCTTTCGTTTTATTCATCTTGGATATATTTATTTATATTGAATTGAATGAGAGATAGAGGAAACTCCCCTGTTTTGATATTGTAATAACTGGCTAGTAAACATGTAATATGAAGTACTATAGTACACCATCATGAGAATTCACTCGTTGTATGCTTATGTGTTCACATTATGAATATGACGGACAAAGAAAGCGGACAAAATATACAGTTCCTCAGGTAGATAAAGGAACATCCCTTCACTGCTATTATGTAAACATGTGTAGAACAGGTGTCACATGCACATTCACCTTTTAACATAATAGTAGTTAAGGGATGTTCCTTTGTTTACCTGAGGAACTGTATATTTTGTCCGCTTTCTGTGTCCGTCATATTCATAGTGTAATCCAGAGGAGTTTTGGCATTTCCACTTGTTACAAGATCAAAAAGGGTAATATCTCACTGAATAGAAAATTGCATTATTGACTGTGTGTATGTATGAATTCATTAATGTAGCAGAATTATTACCAACCAAGAAATGTAATGATTCAACAAGATTTACACCATAGGATTGAAAACAAATTGATGCAAAAATTAACTGAAGATATATATAAAACAGAATTATTGACTTTAAGCAGTATTATTTAATGATCTTTATTGTATCAGATAGTTTAATTTACCAGGGGCACAAGTCTGTAAAAAAGTACTTTTATGCTCTGAAATGCCTGACTTTGTGACTTAGGATCCCAATTTCTTGTGATTGCAAGCTTCGATTCCAATGCTAAGGGCAAACCAGATTTGAAACAATTTGAAACCTATTTAGTCTTTCTCTCAAGGTTTTTGATGCATTGCATTTTGATATCATTACTCAGAACCGCAATGAAGAAGATTGTATTTATTAAATATCCATATTGAACGTCATTGCAATTTCTTTGGAAATGGGATTGCAGTCAGATCATATATTGTGCAGGGTGGACTTAAGACATCGTAGCGTATTGTTATCACAATGATTGAAACACCGATCAGTAGCCAAAATTCCTCTTGAACTAAACTTGTTAAACTAGACTCATTTGGGGTTACTGAAAATGGAAATGATATTGCTGTTGGTTCCTGTTATCAAGATATATTACTTTTCATATTACATGGATCCCGAAGGCGACATCAGAAACACTGGATGAAGTACTAAAACATTAAATTGTACCAATCACCAAAATAAATTTTCTCTGTATGTTGGTGATGTACTATCATGCTAAAGTCAAGAAATTAGCTCCATAAAGTATAGAAGAGGCCTGTGCACATGTTTTTCTTAGCTTGCACATTGCAAAATTTAATTAAATTCTTTTAAAGTAAGTTTGATATTCTTTCAAATAGTTTTCTTGCAAAAATACTCTGCAATTGACAAATGCCTCCCCCCCCCCAACCCCGAAAACAAATAAATCTGTAAGGATAGTATTTGAAATATCATATGGCTCGCTTCAATTTTACAATTTCAACTTTCGAAAACAATTTTTTTTGGTCCTACACCTAGTATGGGGAACCCATAAACATAATACATCTTGAAATCGGAAACCCATCAGCAATATTCAAGAGGCAGGAAATGTCGTTGACCGGTTGTATTAAAGTGTTGCTGTATATAAATGTAGTTCATATTAAAATCTTACAAAATGAATGACCTTGCATCATGTGTCTGCTTTGTTTTGTGAATTTATTTCTTCATCCTCTCCCTTCATCCTCTCCCTTCACTTATTCTGCCTTCCATCTAAAAGTAAATGAATACATGTACAATAAGCGAGTTCGTAAATATCCACAGATCTTTGACACAATGGATACTTCCCACGTGTGCATTTTAGAATAATCACTGCCGAAGTGATGGAGGTGCTTTTCTTTGCTCTTGGGAAGAATACTTCCACCTGTACAATCCGAGTATTCGTCTCGATGGTTTTACAATTTGGGTACAATGACCCTTATCTGCCCATGCGCAAATCCTAATTACGAACTCGCTTATTGACCAAGCACAAGTTGAATCTGTTGGGACCTCAAAGTGTAGTTTGATGCAAATTTATACAATGTTGGACATGCATTGAAGAAAGAAAGGGGAGTGTGAAATAAAAAAGGAGAATACGAGTAGTTGCTTGTGTAGTGCTAGAGCGCAATTTTATTAGATATCTAACGTGATACACCAATCCAAACGGTTGAAGTGCGTGTCACATAAGCCAAAAATATTTGTCACATGTACTTCGTCTTCACATTGGGAAACCTCAAAAAAGCATGTCGATCTTGGGGTATATTTCCAGATCTCAGAGAATGATGCCCAACAATTGGAAATTTTCCTACAGATTAATATGTTTTCAATGTTACCCCTTTAATAACACACTCGAAGACACCATACACAAACCTGTGGCACATTTTATATCTATTGTGACATGCACTTACCTGACTGTTTAGTAAACTAAAGGCCATCCAAACTCCACCTGTGTCACATTCTAGAATAATTAATTCATTGGAGTACATATCATGTACATTCAATGTTTATATCCTTGTGTCCTATAAAATAAATGTCCATACCTGAATGCAATTACAATACTTTTTAAGTTAATGTCGACCTACAATTAACAAGAGAAATAAGTATTAACTTGAATGTACAATTAACATTATTCTAACTTGTACCAGAACTCTCAACACAAAGGCAAAAACTTTGGAATTTTACAAGCTGTATCAATCAATTGTAGTAAAGTACTCTATTAAAAAAAAAAAAGCATTCGCATCTAATCAACAGATGAATTAAACAGATCGATGTACATGTATACAGCTTGCTTTTTCACAAATACATCTACATAGTAGATTGTACACACTTGCTACATGCTATGCACTTGGTATTGCCATATGCACTAATCTTACTGATATTCTAAGCATTACATTGCAACAAATACTTCAAGTAGACTATTAAGCACTTTCATCAAGGCTTGAATCACATCAACTGTCATATTTTCAGTGCAAACATTGAATACCAAGTAACTAACTTAATTTTGCATCTGAATTGTAGAAAAATCAAGTGACCAATTCCCACAACCGTAGCCCAAAATTCAGTACTTGTATTTAAGGCATAGACCTATAGATGAGCATTACAATTGAGCTTGACCACTGCCATTGCAGCATGTCATAGGAATTGTCTTAATCATGCCTTGCCCAACATATCATGAATTGTTGCCTACAACCAAACCATATTAGGTAAATGTGAAAAATGTAGGCCCTATTTCTATTTTCAATCTTTGAAATGTCGTAGCTTTGAAACTACATTTCAAAATGAGTTTGAGATGTAGATGAAAACTAGTGACTTTGATACTACTACATTCCTACAAATCTACACATAAATCTTGCCTATCCATTGCAACATCTAGTTTGCGAGAACCTACGCTTGATGCTTGACAAGGCACTATACTGCAAGGCTAGCCTCCTCACACACACAAATACAATATGTATATCAATAACTAGTGTATAAAATATATTGATTAGTGACGCTTTAAGCAATATTCATCAATTCTCTCTAAATATCTACGTATTGATTTAGTGAAAGACGCTGATTAAGTACTACCATTGATAAAGTTATAATAAATAGAATTCATTCACATGGTATTCTCCTCATAGTCGGGTGCTCTATGCGTATAGTGCTGCTGAATACAATATAATACTATATCTGGGTACGAACTAATGAATTCAAACATGATTTTCAATATATATGCATACAGTTTGCCTTGTATAAGATGAATAATGTCACTATGAACACGAGATGAACATTTTGAATTGTCATTGCAGCAAGTGCAATATGTATGCACCAAATTTGAATACAAATACATTCTATTGCTACTTTCGATACATCTATTATAACAGGCAAGCGACCACCAAGGTACAATACATGTATGTCCAACTATAAGCTATACGTACATCTAATTTCTAAAGGTGTAGTGCCTGCCAATCGCAGAAGTCGACAATTTTCTCGCAAAAGTCGTATTTCTAGACGCATGGACATCCCACTGAGAAGAATGTTATAAAATTAACACTTGTTCAATGGGACCCAGATTCATAAAAAATAAATTATTCTGTGTTTGCAAATAACTATCTTCTGCTTGCAGTTTATTAATTGTATTTGAATTGCTGTCCCAGTGGAATTTCTATTAGGTATAATGTAACATTATTCCGATATAAATTCCCAGAGAATCAAAATTGATGACTATATACCCGGTACATGTATGTAGTAATTTGGTGTGTTACAATGCAGTACCATTACATGAATTGTACCTCCTCTAAAAAAAAAAAATACTTCTTGTTCAAATGACAGGAGTATTGTCATGATAACTCTAGCATATATTCAGATATGTAGCACTCTGCAATTAGACATCAAGTTCCTTTGAAACGGTTTGCACAATTTGAAGCACAGAGACAGAGTGCCAGCATGCAATAAAATATTGCACATATCTGACGTAACAAACATCCATTTTACTTTTCTTTACTTGTACAGTGTGCCACACAACTTGTAGGCCTACTATTCCCATGATACTTGGCAAACAAGCAAAAAGCAATCTATAATTTGTCAAAATGCATCTACAAATGTTGACATATTTGCAGTGGCTTTTATACAACACGTATCTTTTTCATCTTGAATTTTGTCCCATATTTTTAAATATTTTTTTTCCTAAATTATTTTGGGAACTGGATATGCATAAACATGAAATATTCTAATGAAGAATTTTCTTCGTAACTACACATAATATGTTAGCAAATAAAATTAAAGCTTTAAGACATGGAAAACAAAACAATCTCTGAAAAGAAGCATACTCTAATAACAATAGTACAAATTTACAACATTTTTAGTAAACATTCTATTCTATGATATGAAACAATGTAGTGATGTTAACATGCAGCATGCTAGCTGATTGGAAAGAAACAATTCCTTACTGCTAAATAGACTGACTTTATCTATATTCAGTATGTAAAATGAAAACCAAATATCAATATTTCAAGAAATAAATGAGCAAGCTTTAAACCATAATGATGTCAAAACCCATATGCACCACTACATGTACACGTATTCCATATTTGTGCACCGGATTACTTCCAACTAAGGTTGAAACTTTTAAACTGGTATGTACTTAAATTCTATGATTCTACGCAAAAAACAACATTGAATGATTTAAGTTTTATATTTCTTGACTTGGCCTCAAGAAGTCTCCCGTAGGACAGATCTATTGATTTGAAATTGGGCACAAATGGCAGGCACATTATGTATGTGCATCAAAATATAAAGTATCTATTGACTTCAAAGCTAAAGTGACCGATTGTGACGAAAATTATTTTTTTACAGATTTTGTTGGTTATATTACATGTACACTCGTAGTTATCAAGGCTGGTGTAAAATGGTATTCGTAAACAAATAAACACTCTACTTCGTCACAAAACTGCAATAAAACATATTGCAGTTTCCCAACATGAGATACAATGTATATGAAATTTATCATCTAGCTGTTAAATACAAATGTGTAGATGTAGATTTGTGAAAGACGAGCAAAGATTTTTCTAAAAAATTACACTTGGTCTGTAAGCACTTGCTGCACGACACTTTGTGAGTTTGTGAAAGACATTGAACATCAAGAGAATACAGCTACAAAGAGAATGCATACCGGTACACAGTGTTCTCGTTGGTGCATAACACACCATTCGTGCTCATACACAGTATGAAACTTATGAGGGATTTTCTGTTTAAAGTCGAAATATTTTTGTCTTTTCAAATCACCTCCTGGGATACTGGAAAGCCATACCTTTTTTCAATTTTTACCAAGGGTAAACAATTTCATGTGGAGAAGCCTGTGTGTACATGTATATGTCATTCTTCTTAACAGACCCACACCAAGTCTTGTAAGTTTTCAAGTACCGTATGCAAAAAAATTTTGTCCCCATTTTTCTAGAAAGTGACATGGAAGCTTACTCCTAAAAGTATTAAACCATGCATGGCCTAAATTTGATCAATCCACCTTTCATTCTTGAGTTTCGAAAAACACAAAAAATATCAAAATTACAAGCCTGTAGGAATAACTCAACTTTAAACAAAAAAATGATATAGTTAGATATCAAATGCCCCAAATTGTTATCATGAAATCCTGATTGAGGTATCCAAGTACAATGCTTTCTTGGAAAAGGTAGAAATGCCATGCCATAAAAATGATAACAAATGTGTACATGAATGCAAGCCCATCACTGTACCTTTTATCCTAATGCAGTCAAACCTGCTGTATAGTGATCACATGTCTACAAAGACCACATTTTTTGTTTCCCTTGAAAATAGTTTCTCATTAAAACAGTACATGTTTCAATGAACCTGTGCATAAAGACCGTCTGCCTACTGCTTGGGTGGTCTTTATAGACAGGTTTCACAGTACATGTATTTTTTTTCCAGCGCTTGTCACTCTGTTTAGAAAGACAACTGTATAGTATACTACCTCCACATGTTACAGTTGATGCATGTCTCTAATGATAGATAGATCAGCACAAAGAGTGGTCAAGTTTGCTTCAACTGCTGCATATGCATTGAATTCTCGCTCCCATTTCTTTCAAAAGTTGTTGAATAATTGGAATACAGTATAGAATGTTCGTGGATGTGAAATTGATACAGAATTATAGAAAAGAAGGAATGTTAAGTCCTGAAATGCTTTCAAAAGTCACGCATAAGGAGAAAAGTATGACTTTATCTTAGAATGTAAATGAATGTGCACAAAACACATACATTTACATGTATAAAGTACAAATACAGCATGACCGAGTAAGTGCCCTAGATGCCTTTGTCAATACACCTTGGAATGTAAGTGTTATCTAAAATCTTTTCTTTGGGTTGACGTCAAGGTGTGCAAGATAAAATCAATTGTGCAATGTAATTTATAATTGTTTTATTCATATCATCATAACTACCCACTTGCATACTATTCATCAATACCTATAATTCGATGCTCTCTGTGCAGTTACACATTAAACCATATATCTGTAAATACAAATCACTTTTCATGATATTAATATTGATTATTTTATTTAGTCAGAATTCTGTAATTTCATCTTTTGATATTCAAACACACTGGATTTACCTACTTTATAAAGAATACTCCCTGAATGAAAACAAAACCTTTGAAAACCTGTGCTGGAAGAGCCTCATGTCTCTTCAACTACTACATGTGTGTGTACAATTTGAAGGCATAGACCAGGGACCTGTTTCACAAAGCCTTTTTTCAATGCAAATGACAAATATCAGTGACAAATCTGTTGATAACCAATCAGAAGCAAGGATTTCAGTAGCTTATAACAACAATTGTCATTTGTCACTGATGACAAGTTTGGTGAAACACCCCCTGGTGACAATTAAACCCAACTCCACTGCAAGGTTCATCTTGTTTCACCACTGCTCCCAAACTAGTGAGATAAGATCCACAAAATTCACAGCTGATCTAATTCTCACTCACAAAATTACATTGTTATTTCATGAAATATAACTTTCCTACAACAAGACAAGTTTCTTGGTGTCAAACTCCTAATAAAGTCTACTGCAGACAACTTCCTTTTGGTTCACTGCAAAAATGCACTAAATACATTACAAGGCTCATGAAGCAGAGTGCACATTTAGGTTCCACATACACAAAGGCATTTGAATTTTCTTCATTCATTCTCCCTAGGAGTTGATCTACCATCAACGAGCTTTCAAGCTCTGCGTGGCCCACGTTGGTCTAGCCTGCTTGTTGCGTACAGCAGCCATGTGGTACTGCTGACCGCCGCTACGCTTCCAGGGCTCCTCAAACTCCCGCTCGACGATCTCGGCGTTGGGACGTCGTGTCAACCCAGTCTCCTCCAAACTCATCTCACACATGTTCTCATCATCTTTACCTGGAAGGAAGGAGAGGAAATAATTCAGTCAGACCAGGGAAAAAAATACTTTAAACATTTTTGGGGCTTCTTTTCAAGCTTGCTTGCATGAAAATAACACTCTTTATTTTGTTTTGCATTGAACTCTATGCAATTTTTTTGGGCTCTTTTATGACTCGTCTTTACAATATCACTGTAATAGGGCACGTGCAAGTTTTAAGGTCATTTGGTTTCCCATACATTACAAAGTACATGTTTTATCATAGTACATTAATTTGGTATATATAAATTGACACCAAAGTATCATTAAGTCTGATTCACAAGGACTTGCGAATAGGCCATCATCAGACATGCTTCAGTACAGGTCAGTACAGGATTTAAAAAGTGTATGAATTGACCATGGGCCAATCGTCAACAGAGCATGTGTCGCGCACCATGTGACACTGTCAGGCCCGAATTCACAAATGAGGTTTGTCGACAAACCAAGGTTTATGTACATCATATGACACGTTTTGACACGTTTTTTACAAACCTAGTTTGTAAAAACGCGTCAAAACGCGATATATGACGCACGGAAACCAAGGTTTGTCGACAAACCTCCTATGTGAATTCAGGCCTCAGTGTCTGTAACAAAGCTTCTGGCTGAAATGTTCCCCAGGGAGTGAAGAATGTGCATACATATACATGTGTAGTACTGTAGCATCTACTGTCTGCATTTGTAACATGGTTTCAGGATAAAGTGCAGACCTGCCAACCTCTGGAGTTCAAAAACTGTATTCTTTATTCCCAAAAGTTGTCTCCTTAAAAATAAACACGAACTGTTACGCGGATCAATGCCTCTTACAGTTCTTACATACGGGAAGAATTGTTTTAAGGATCATTGGTTGAATATGCATGATTTTGTCACCACTGTTGAGTTCGATGAACCAATGAACAATCCCCAAATTGCCGATGTGAGATGCTTGTAGGATACTTTACAGGACAGAATGGGCATTTTGCCATTGAAAATGGCAACACACACAAAAAAAAAAAAAAAAATTTTCTTCTTCAAAATCGAGGAAAATCGTACTGTCGTATTTGCTTCTAAAAATCGTACGAAATGCCACTAAATCGAACTGGTTGGCAGGTCTGAAAGTGCTCCCCAGGGAGTGGAGAATGTGCATACACTGTGGGGAAGCCAGAATCTGATGTCATCGTCGATGTACTGCTATGTAAACCCAGAATATTATCAAATTATCATAACCATACGTTTACCAAGGTGAACAGCTACTTTAGCCTTCACATAGCTGTTACCATCTGGAACAACTAAAAGTTTAGCTGTTACATGCTAGAACAGCTAGAAGCTGCTCTGTACATTATGAAACAGCTACTGAGCTAGTAGCTTAGCTGTTTACAATACATGATGGAACAGCTAGAACTAGAAGCAGAAGCGTAGCTGTACATTCTGAAACAGCTAGTAGCAAAATTAATATGTTATGTTTTTAGACAGCTATTATGGCTACCGGTAAGCTGTTTCATAGTGAACAGCTAATTCATATGTAGCTGTTGGAATATTGTAATTTTTTTTTCTTGAGTTGAAAGATTACCTGCAACCAGAAGAACGGGGACCTTGGTGGGGTGTACCTCCATCTGGCGGGCGATCCACTGACCGTCAAAGTGGGCGTACCACCACCCCCTCTCGGGCATCTGACCCTGAGCGGTGGACCCAGTCACGGAGAAAGGCACCCTGAAGAAGCGTTGGATGTTCTGATTGGCTGGGGCAGCCTTGGTGGCTTTCGGAGGGGGTGCCAGCTGGTTGTATTGTTGGGCTGTGCAGATGGGGCGAGAGAAAAGCGTTAATAATAAAATATATCTTGTGTGCATATAATTATATGCAATGATATATTTTCCATGATTTTATTTGATTTTATTTATTTCTACACTTCCATAAAAAGAAATAAAAAAGAAATATACGTGATATACATAGTAATTATTCAATATGTCTTGTGTGCATATATATGCAATCATATACATATATTTTCCCCGATTTTGATTTGATGTGATTTATTTCTACACTTCCAAAAAAAGAAATAACCAAGCAATATACACGATATACATAGTAATTATTCAATACATTAAAGACATATAATAATAAACTTGAGAAAAAAAATTAACAAGAAGAGACTACAAAAAGAGGAAGTCTTTGTCAATCAAAATCTTTCCATCTGTGGTGCAAGAATTTTGACGTCTTACAAATGTTCATGAGAATCAACAATTTATAATATTCAGGTAAACTGAAGTAAACATTACTGTCGTCTATACAGTGTAGACACATTGTTTTGGAGACAAATACAATTTAAGCATCAGATGCATTAAAGAGGAGGTATATATGTGAATGAAAAGAAACAATATTTGTGGGTGAGTATATCCACTGGAATAGGGTACTAACCACTTTCAAAGATGGATTGTGGAGCCCTCTCTGGTCCGCCCTTGTCGCCGGCGGCAACCTTCTTATTCTTCATCTTCCAGGCGTGGTAGACCTTGAGACGACGATGGAACTCCTCCTTGCAGGCTGACAGGAGCGCAATATCTACCATTCACAAAGAAACATTATTATTAGATACAGATGATGGAACTCCTCCTTGCACACAGACAGGAGTGCAATGTCTGGCATTCACAAAGAAACATAATGATGTACATGAATATTCATACAGCAGACGTTTCTAAACCATTTGGGATAACCTTGCATACAAACCAGGCAGTTACAAATGGTGATGAGCTTGTAGGGCAAAAGTATGTTAATGTACAGCTGCATATTCTGTGTACAAAACATACTTAAAATTCTTTGATATTCCCCAAGGCTAAGAAAAAAAACCTCAATGCCCCCCCCCCCCCCCCCCAAAGAAAACAAAACCAAATAACAACCATAAACAACGTTGAAACAATATCAATTACAAAAATCACCCTATTCTGTTTCCTCAGCCTTGTCGGGCAGGAAGGTCTTCTTGACGTTTTCCATACTAAAGAATGTAGCTGTTCTACAATTAGTGGCTTGATAAAAGCTTTTCTTACCTTCTGAAACAGAAACTGATTCTTACATTAAAGGAGGTGTAGCATTACGAGACTACATGTCTTTCCCGTGGCCTGACTCGGGGGCCAATCGGGTATAATACAACTATGGCCGACGCGCCCACAGTATTCACGTGCTTGCAACATACGCAAAACCGTGAGGGGAACCTTGATCGTTAATCAAGTCCATTCGTTTAAGTGTTGTTGTCCAAAAGAATTCATAGATGGTGTTAACCAGCATTTGCCATGCTACACCCCCTTTAAGAAGATGGTTCCAAAAGTCAGTTTGAACTTAAAATTTCAAAAAGTAATGAAAAGAAAAGGAAAACAAAAATCAGGTTGACTCTTTGAAAATGAATTTCTGATTACTACATGAAGTAGACCTTACCGATTGAGGTGTTGATAGTGTCTCTGAGATCAGCATACTTCCATGTTGTCAGATCAAGGGATTTGGTTGGAGCAGCGGCTTGGACAACGGTAGCCTCAGCACTGGAAGGGTTAAATATACGTTATGATATGAGATGATGGGAAGGGCGTTAGGGTGAACAAAAACCCATGAATGAATGTTAGTACCCTTGGATAATAATAATAATAATACGAAATACCGTCTCTAAGGGCTTTACAGATAATAATACCCTGGTCATCGGATTTATTCATGCACAATATGCACCATTTCCACTCCCTGGGAAGTATTCCTACTATAAGGTCACCGTGGGGCATATGGATAATACTAACACAATGGCTTTCGTCATCCTGCCAGGTACCAATCTCTCTCCTGGGTATTAAGTGGCAAATGTAGATTAATGCCTTACCAAAGGACATTATTGCCATGTCGGGGATCAAATCTTTCAGATCTTTGCATTTCAAGTCAAGTGCTTAAACACTCAACTATGAAATCTCTATTTTAATGCTTCCCAATGCTCAGAAAGTTCATTATTTTTCGACACTGAATTGCCATTTCTGATATTTCAGGTAATAAAAGTGTTCATCTTTTATACCGTATGAATACAACTTCTAGAAAAAAATTAATAAATACAAGGGATAAAGCAACGTCGATCTGGCGCTGCTCAGTGGCTGCCGGGCTCACAATCAATTGGGCAAAAAGAATTTACATTTTCGGTTTAACTTAATAAAATTTGGAGTGGACTTTAAAAGATCATTATTATTATTACTATTATTATTATTATTATTATTATTTTATGTGAAATGGACATTATCACAACAATAGTGATAGCTCAAATCATCTGCGTTTTTGATTAACTGACGAATCTCCCCTGTCATTTATATATTACTGTATGGATTCGTACAGATTGGAAGATCGACAACTATTTGTTCACAATTTTGCATTATTGCAAGGAGGTTGATTTGGTTATTCATTATTGTTGCCATTTTTTCTCCATAAATCTTGAATACATTTACAAATAATGTATTGAATTAACAGCCATTATGATTGTTCCCTTTTCTAGATGACATTAAATTGGGGCTTTGATCAAATCAATTATATTACATTATGCAGATACATAAGAATAATATGAATAATGAAAGTTACAGGTTGAAGTGGTTAAACTGACAAAAAAAAAAACATTATTTGCAGTATTGGAACATGCATTTTCGATTCAGAGTCTCTATAGAATGTCCTGCACACATTATCATAAGAAATTAGACAAATCCCTCATAATGATAATTTTTTGAGTGGTAGTACAGGAAATATAAATCATAATTGCTAATTTGAAAGACAAATGCTGAGTAAAAAAGAAAGAAAGAAGAAGAAGCTATAAGCAATCCTAAACTAGCAACTGTTTGATAGTGCATGGGAGACACAACATGGACATATAACAGGCCACAGCCTATGAGGCGCCTTCAAATAATTTACAACTGAAAGTAGACATGTCTGCAAATCATGGTATGAGGGAATGGAACTAGAGCGCTGATTCCTGTTGTTTGTGTTTAGGTATATGCGATATGGAGGAACATGCCTTTAAAAAAATATCCACCCAGGATGCACTATTGGCTCTTCTGAACTATGAATACATTTTTATTCTATATTACCACAAGCAAACTACTAAGTACAAAACCTTTTCTTACTGGTTTGTGGTTAAATCATACGCACCAGTAGCATTATTTAACAATTTTGTTAAAATGCACAAACTTGTTCTAAATCAAAATGTTCGTGCATACAATATTTGAATGCACATTAATGATATGGAGAATAAATGTAAAGAATGCATACAAAATGCCTTGCGTTGGAGAAGGAGGTTCAGGTACGGCAGCAGATACAGGTCGCGGTGAAGAAGGAGAATTAGGTTGAGTTATATGTTGAGACACTGGTGGAGATTTAGGTGGAGATGTATTTTGAGATACACAGGGAGGGGCAGTTTCTACAACTTTTGCTTGAGCTCTTTGGTGGTATCATTGAGAAGAAATATAAGTTGATGAATTGAATATCAAGAAAATGGATATAGACATTATATAACAATATATTTTGAAGAAATGAAATGTACAGAAATGTAGATTATAGGAATATATATATATGTATATAATACAAATATAATACAGATGACGATATAGAGCGTGAAGGGAAAGGCAATGAAGGGTAGAAAATTGAAATCAAAGCAAAGAGAAAAACATGGAAAAAGCAAAATCAATTTAAAGCATGAATGGATACCAGCAAGGAAAGAGCTTCCACAATAAAAAGCAATGCATGCAGTCATCATGAACAAGTTTCTTAAAGGGCAGTCACATTTGATGGAAAACAATAACTATGACTACGGTATAAATCGATTCTAGATTGATCTCCTTAATTTTATGGGGGACAAGGTACTGGACGTGCTAAAAATCCAAGAAAACTTTTGGTAAAAATTCACTAGCACCTGGGGTGGAACCTTCAGCACCTATAATCTTGAGTCTATAGGATATCCGATTATTTTGTTTCCACATATACTTCAGGAGACCGATTTTACAGATTTACGTATAAATTTAGTCACTGGTCAAATTGGACTGCCCTTTTTTAAAACTTTTACCTTTAAAGAAATTGAAATTGTAGTTTTTAGTACAAACTGCACACAAGTATGGTTGAGCAAGCAATATTAAAAGCACAGTTGTGATTTAGCAATACACATCACATGCATGCGAAGTGGCTTAACCTTTAAACAGGGTTTGACACTATAACAGGGTCATTCATGGTTCGATACTATAACAGTCACGGTAACCATTGGGTGTAATAATTGCACAGCAAACCCTTAATTTTTGACAATTTGCTTAAATGAGTGAGGAACACTTAAACAGGTATGCCATGTGTGTAGCCCTTTATATAAGGACTGGGGTATTCCTTCTTGGAGAGATGTGTTGGTTCTTAAAACAACTGTTGTGTAATTATTTTGTGGTTATATAGTTCTGACAATGAATTTTTAGATCTATTTCAAAGAAAGAGAAAGATCTAAAAAAATATTGCCAGAACTATAACCCAAAAGAACCACACAACAGTTCTTGAAGAACTACAACCGCAAAAGAATTATACCACAGCTCTTTTAAGAACTAACACATCTCTCTGAGAAAGAATATCCCAACCTTTATAAGGACATAATAAAGATTTCCTCACTCATCTACCACACCATGCAAATCTTTATCAAAAGAACACTTGATTCACTTAAAATGAGGAAGGAATGGATCAAGAATGGAGCCAGCCCTGCCTTATACAAAGCACACAGCAAACACCAAGCATGGAGATATACACTCAACTTAATGTCAGCAATGCTACAGCAGAATTTAAGAGTATGAATACATTTTGTTAAAGTAAATCAATTTTTCAGATGCTATAATTTCATCTGTGTCTTCTAAAGAGAACTAATGCATCACTGTTCATTTTAATAGTGAATCAAAAGTGCTATTTACGGAAGTTTTAATTAAAAGTCACAATTTACTGTTTGTAGGAAAAAGGCTCATTGGAATATATCTAAACGTACATGCACTTGTACACAGAGGTCCTTGCACAGAATAATTTATGCACATTTTTCATCAAACAATTTAGGGTAAATCAAATATTTCAAAAAAAGAAAATGTGGTTTAAAATTGAATGTTTGTCTTACCGAGCTACAAGAGATTCCTCTGCGATAACCTGAGAATTAGCTTCCTCCGAGAGACGCTGGGCTAATTCATAGTCACGGCGTTCCTGCTCCTCCCTATCAAATTGGCAAAATTATAACACACAAAGAAATTAACGAAACATTCTGCTGTTATACAACTCATATGATATAGTGATAGAATTACAATACGTCTGCTTGAATTAATACTCCAGCTCCACAGCCCTGCGGGGGGAAGCTCAAACTATCACAAATTTTCTAAATAAATCATTCCATCATGGTCTACATCCAGCCCATCTACTATTCACATGGTCTAATAATCATTTTCTCTTTAATATCATTGATCTAATGACCAAGACTAATTTCCATTTGGTCAAATCTTTAATTAGTCTACTTCCCTTATGGTCTATTGTTCATTTGATCTAATAACAATATGGTCTAATAATGAATTGATCTTAAATAATATTAATCATTTAATGATTGTCAGACTTTATGGATAGTAGACACGTAGAGGTGCTGTGGCATAGTGGATAAGTCGTCGGACTGTGAATCAAAGGGCCCGCCGTTCGAGTCCCGCCGCGGCACTATTGTCCTTTGGCAAGACATTAATCTACACTTGCCACTCTCCGCCCAGGTGTTAAATGGGTACCGGTGGGAAGGAATTCCTTAAATGCTGTGAGCGTCGAAATCTGCAGCCTAGCATAGCCAGGTAATGTTGGAGCGCCTTGAGGACCTTCCAAGGTCGATACGTGCGCTATATAAGAATCCAGTATTATTATTATTATTATTATTAGACGAAATGGTAAGTAAACAAACTGATTCTAGCCCATTTTAATAACCCCTCACCTTCTACGTTGTTCTTCTTCCGCTTGTCTCTGCATCTCTTCCAGCTTCTGTCGGTCTGCTTCTATCTGCTTTCTCTCCGCGGCTAATTTCTTCTGTTCTTCTTCAAGTTGAATACGAAGCTCCTCTTCTTCTCGTAGGCGTTTAGCTTCCATCTCTGCTTTCCTGCAAAAGTGTGCGGGGGGGGGGGGGTGATGAAAAATATTATATAACTGTTATTGGCAGCCTTGAAAAGCGAGCATCATTATCATCTAGTCTAATGCCATCCACCAACCAAGCTATCTCTCAATCCTGTATTAAAACCATAAAAGAACAATGAAATTCAGTACCGTATTTGCCGGCGATATGGCCGCACCCCCGATTTTGACATTTAAAAAAAAAAAAAATTGTCGGAGTTGTATTTGAACCCTTCCCTACAAATGTTGATGTGACCCAATTCACCGCCTTAGACAGCTCGGCCATCCCGCACTGATACTACAGCTTGCAGTTTTTTCTCATGTATACATTGAGCCTCTCTCTTATGCATTGCGCCATAGGTTTGCTCACGCGATCGAGAGGCTTTAGCTATGGCAAAAACCTAAATCTAGATCTACCAGTTGAGTTTGGTTGGTAAGTTATGAATTTTATTTACGAGATTGGCAAAACTTTACCCTTCATTTAATAAATACAACACATAATGGTCGGTAAGACATGTGTTATTCTAGACAATTATTCTAGAAATGTCCATCACCTTTCATTGTTGTCCCATATGTACAAATTCGTGCTGTGTTTCATGGTTTTGACTTGCAAGTTTGTTTTTTTTACTCTTTCGCCGCATAGGCCGCACCCCGACTTTTTGATATTTTCTCTTCCAAAAATACTGCGGCCTTTACGCTGGCAAATACGGTGTCAATGGGTTAAATTGACATTAACATTTCCCTTTTTTCAGATTTCCACAAATACACACTATATCTCACTTGGCTTTTCTCCTATTGTTGGACAAGGAGTCATTTCTATGTCTTCCCTTTGTCCTTAGTTATTTTTTATTGTAAATCATCAAGGTTCAATAAATGTACAAACAATCCGTCTTAGGAATACCTCTTTTATTTAATCAACCAACAATCCGTCATGAAATGAAATGAAAAGAAAATAACTTACAGGTTCCAGATTCTTATGTTTCCATTCATCAAAATGCTGTTTATACAAGCTAGTACAATCCTTTCCTGCACCAAGTTGTCTTGTACATGTTATTCATTAATTTGTCAAAACAATTTCTTGTCTCTATTGATATCATTTCACTTTACTTACAGTTTCCTCTCCTCCTCCTCCTGCAACTTCTTTCTCTCTCTCTCCTCCTGCTCTGCCTTCCTCTTCCTCTCCTCCTCTTCTCGTCTCTTCCTCTCCCTCTCCATCTCCTCCTGTATCTTCCGCAGTCTGTCTGCCTCTGCATCCTCTGCCTTCTTCTTGTTGATCAGGTCCAGGAGCTGCTTCCTCATCTGGTTGGAGAGGTTGAGGTACGCATCCTCCATCTGTCTTCTGGTCATGATCGTGGTCTGCAAAGTGACGCAAGTTAGAGGATTGGAGTAACAATACCTGTACTTCACACTATATGCCTCTCATCCAAACTCTCTCATTCTTTCCATTTTTCTTGCGCACCTTGGAATAAAATTGTCTAGATAGACGTGCTATATAAATGCCTATTATTATTATTATTTATTGGAGTTGGAATGTTCAAATTAACAAGGTTCAAAGCTCGACCGCCAATACACTGGTTTACTAACATATTCAAATTCTATGCATACTTTTTTAACAAAGGTAGTTCTTGACAGCCTGAAAGCTTGCCCGAGGCTTGCCCGACATAGCAACAAGTAATGTATGCAGACTGCATTCTAAGTATTGTAGTTCATTCATTAATACCAGGTTAATGGAATGTCTTGTCACTAGGTCTCTAAGAAAGAAACATCCATCAATTTGAATATGTTAGTAAACCAGTCTATTGGCACAAAGAGCAAGCAATCATTAAACCATAGGAAAGGCCCAATAAACTCTGTGAAATTTGTGAAATAATAGAATATAGTAAATTATATTCATTACAATTTTGGTGAGACTGAAAGCGAATAAGTTTGAAGATTCAAGAGTGGGCTTTTACTTTCAAAAGGTCAATGGTCATCATGAAAACGTAAAAACAAGATTCCACTTTACACCAGATTATTTTTGTCTTTCTTCTCAAAAGTACATGAAAAATACAAAATAGAAAATAGCAGACAACAAAACAAACTGGTCTATGACAAATATGAACAGCAAATACTCTATAGATTAATCTAAAAGAATACAACTAGAATACAGAATTTAATCTTCTTTCAATGAGTAAATAAATGGCTAGAGTACACATATCTTAAAAATACTAATACTCTCTTTGTTTCTATAGAAAGAATGGCATACCTTAATCTTAATAATAAGATCCTGTAGAGCCTTGCTGGTGGCAGCAACTTGTTGTTGGGCAACCTTGTCCTTGACTGTCTTGGCTGTTTGAAGATAAGGTCATAGGTCATATCCACAATCAAGTAAGAATACAAAAAATAGAGTACAATCAGATGTAACATTTTTTTTTTATGTAGGAACAATATGCATCTTTACCACAGTGGCGGAGTCAGAGTAATTTACATTGTTTGTAATATATCATTCGTCCAATGATGATGATTCTAATTTGAATAACTATGGCCCAACTTCCAAGTGGATGATGATGACAAATTGGATTACATATATTCAAATTTCAAAGGGGGTGTAGCATGACGAGACTATGTGTCTTTCCCGTGGCCTGACTCGGGGGCTAATCGGGTATAATACGACTATGGTCGACGCGACCGCAGTATTCATGTGCGTGCAACATACACGAAACCGAAGCGTGAGGAGAACTTCGGTCTGTTTCGTGAACGCTAGTGCATGCTGACCATTAATCAAGTCTATTCGTTTATGTGCAGTTGTCCAAAAGAAGTCGTAGATGGCGTTAACCAGTATTTGCCATTCTACACCCCCTTTAATGTGTGTGATTAACATTGACATTGTGTGCTATTACATGTCTGTGATCTAGATGACTACAAGCTTGGTCATATTGTCTTCTTCTTCTTCGCTACTTGTAAACAGACTTACTAGTCCATGTAGAGACACAGGGTCATATCGAACAAACCAGGACATAAGGCACGTTTCTCACTGACTGACTCATGCCATCTCGTATAGTTCTTGGGTGAGTGTATGGACCTGCATGAGGCTTTTGTATCTGGGCTTGTGTTTACTATTACGCCAGGGGGTGTTTCCCAAAGACGAAGATTGACTTTAAGTTGGACTTAACTATGGCAGGCCATTCATGCCACTAGTTCCTCTAACCATTCCTGGCATTGGTTTCTCAAGGCAGGTAAAAGTCGTGATCACAAATCTACAGAATTTACATTTTTTTATAGTTCATTATTGAAGGAAAAAATGTTATCTAAAGATCATAATTGAGAGACCAATAGTGAGAGCAAACAGTGGCATGAATGGCCCGCCAAGTCCAACTTAAAGTCGATCTTAGTCTTTGTGAAACACTCCCTTGGTGCCAGAAACCAAAAATGCATTGCCATACCTTATTTTCCACAGCATAACTACAATTGTACACCTCTCGAAAGGTAACTTACCAACTTGTGCCAGCTTGTCGAGCTCCTTGCTAAGTGTATTAACTTGCTTGAGGCTCCTGTACCTGGGTCTGTGCTTGCGCATCGCTAGGAACATCCTCACAGTACTCTGCATCTTGACAAGGGCAGCGCAACGGTACAAGATCTTGTTCTTCACTGAATCAGAAAAAAGAAGAAAAAAAGAGTTCTACCGGTACTTAATAAACGATCCCATAGTCACCTCTGCTCAAATGTTGTTAATTTTCCTTCACATTCTGTCCTTTCTAGCCACATGTAAGAACATCTCTTAGGTACTATTTTGAGAGAGAGAGCAGCAAGTAAATCAGAGAGGTACTTTGCAATGTCCTCAAAATGTCTATAATGTCCCCCAAAATGCAAAGAAATAGAGGTACATGTATGTAATTTTCTGGTTCTTCCAAAGTGCAAATAGGACTTAGCCTAACTAATTCTTTTTGACATGGGAAACAAATCTAATGGTCAACTCTCTATTACTGTTACCACCTGTTAATGTGCAACATGCTTGCAAAAAAAAATACAGTCAAACCTGCTTTAGTGACCCCCTGTCTACAAAGACCACATTTTTTTTTCCCCTTGAAAACGGTTTCTCATTGAAACATGTCCTAAAGGAACCTGTCTTCAAAGACCACCTGTTTACAGATACCCCTTTTTGTGTTTCCCTTGGGCGGCTGCTATAGACAAGTTAGACTGTACCCCAATCCTGTTTAATTCCCCACAAGAGTTCATCTTTAACTTACACTTGATGACCATCAAGGTACCCCACTGTCCTCGCTTCCAGCGTGTGCAGATGAGCCAGCGCCGGACCTTCTTGATCAGGATCCTCAGGTGCTCTGGATCGGACTTCATCATCTGATCAAACTCAGCAAACTTGCCTGGTCTGAAGAACACCTTGGTCAGACCGAACTGGTAGTCGTTCTCGTCCAGTCCGAGTGCATGGAAGAGGGCCTGCAAGGACAAGTCAATGAGATACATGTTTCAAACTGCCACAGAAGTTACTGATGACCTTTCGAGGCATTTTGGAAATAATTGTGTTTCATTTTATCTATACTAAAAAAGGATTTAATTGTCCACGGGTTAGTTTTGCTGGGGGGTAAATGTCCTTGGGGGGTTATTGTCCCACTGGTAATTGGCTGAGGTTTGATGGCCCAAGGGGTAATTGTCCCAGAACCACTGCAAACACCAATGAAAAGGTGTAGTACATTATCTGTCATGAAATTATTTAATGTCTCATTCAACAAGTAAACAAAACATTTAAAACTCAGATTTGACTTTTGAAAGATAAGATCTTAGGTTGAAGGAAGGACATCAGACAGTAAAATATATTATCACAATTGCCGCTGGAGTGTGTGTGGTCCCGGTCCTGCGTCACACACACTCAGCGGGAATTGTGAAAATATTCTTCACTGTCTGATGTCCTTTCTTCAACCCAAGATGTTCTCTTTCAAAAGAGAACAGGACCATAACCACACCTCAAACATGACCAGATTCCTACCTTACAGAATAGCCTTGGATCTAGACGGACCAGCTCTGGTGGCATGTACTGCTTGTACATGTTATACAGATCTGAGAACTGTGTTCGGGATGGGAAACCTCCCTGCATCAGATCCAGTACAGTCACCATTCCTGTTAGTGCATAGGGAAAAGAATGAACATATCTAGAACATTCATCAAACATGTTTTTCCTGATTGATGTTTAATATGAAAGGGCAGAAAATGAACTTTCTAGAAATGTGATTTTCTCTTTGAAATTCTGATACCGCCAAGCCAAATGACTTTTTGGTACCGTCTCTTCAAATTAGTTTTAATCACTCATGCGCGAAATATGGATCATGTGAGTTGCATCAAATGGAAGAGGAGGATCTAAGCTTTCTAAATATGTGTCATTTTTTAATTATAATTGTGATTAAGTTATGATAGAACATTAATAATTCTCGTTTTCGTTTTTTCTTGGATGCACTGAACAATATCATATTTGCATTTTGAATTGAATTGAATTGAACTGTAATGAAACAAGGGAAACGCTCTTGGCGGTCTCGCCTGCAAAACGCAATTCAATATGATAAACCAGAACGTCAATGACGTAGCGCTCATCTGCATCTCGCAACAACAAATATCGTAAATTTTATGTGGTACACTTTTGTGCTGGTCAAAAAATAAAAATTTGATGCCCTGGAAGGGACATAATTTCATTTCATTTGCATAAAGTACCATAAATAATCAATGGAGCAGAATCTCACAATTCTGTGTAGAAGTTTAGTGTTCCAAATTTAGCTCTGCCAGATAAGGCAAACCAAATCAAAATCGGTCAAGAAATGAGGGAAAAGAAGCAATTTTTGTTATTTTTTGAATAAATTTTCATAAATTACCATAATTAATTAATGGAGAACAATTTCAAAATTCTGTGTAGAAGTTTAGTGTACCAAAGTTAGCTCTACGATATTATGCAAACCAAATCAAAATCGGTCGAGAAATGAAGGAGAAGAAGTCTTTTTTGTGATTTTGAATAAATTTGCATAAATTAGCATAGATAATGAAATTAAAATCCCCCTCCTAGCCCTATCATATGAAACAATCAGAATCAAAATCGGTTTAAAAAAAATGAAGAAGAAGCATTTTGAAAATCTTGATGTTGATGCCACAACAAAGTCTAAGTTTGTTGACCTTAAATGACCTTTGACCTTAACTTAGTGACCTGAAATTCTACTCACAAGATTGGGGAGACTTGATAACCCTATAGTCCAAGTTTCATTGACTAAGAACTTATACTTTCAAAATTATATCAAAAATTCAAAAACTTAACCTTAGGTTAAGTTTTTGATGTTGATACTGCCGCCGCCGTCACCGGAAAAGCGGCGCCTATGTCTCGCTTTTTGCTACGCAGGCGAGGCAAAAAGTAGTTTACCTGAGCACTGCAGCTGGCTGAGGATCTGTCCCCCTTCAAACAGACTGTCCACCATCTTGCCATTGGGTTTGATGCAACGTACGAAGGAGGATCCAGTGCTTCGAAGCTTCTCCATTAACTGGTTGAGTTGTACCTGGACAGAAATAATAGTATACAGGTATCTTAGAATTCATCTCAAGCATTAACTGGTTGAGTTGTACCTGAAATAATAGTATACAGGTATCTTAGAATTCATCTCGACCATTAACTGATTGAGTTGTACCTGCACATAAAGAATGGTATACAGGTAAAAAGATTGGAGTGTTCAAAGCAGGCCTCACGCCTGAACAGCAGAGAATGGAATAATGGAATAGGACCTCGGTGGTATCGCGTCGGTTTTCGAAACTCAAGTTAATGATTAAGGGGGACTGACGGGGGCATTCATATTGCGGTGTGACAGGTGAAATTCTTGGATCGCCGCAAGACGACCGACTGCGAAAGCATTTGCCAAGAATGTTTTCATTAATCAAGAACGAAAGTTAGAGATTCGAAGGTGATCAGACACCGCCCTAGTTCTAACCATAAACGAGTATCTTCGAATTTTTCTTGAGCATTTCACACCAGCCCCCAGCAATGAATTAGCCCTGCTCCAGCCCATTCATTTAAGAGTCTACTGGAGTTAGCAAAGAACATGATAACCTATGGTAATTGGAGTCTAGGCTATTCAGTTTATTTTGCTCTTAGTGACCTCATGTCACCCTGAAAATGCAGAATCATTAACTATTTTTATTACATCTAAAGATAAAGTTGAGTTCTGGTCATGCGATTGTGAAAGAAAAGGTGTGGAATGGATCAGAAAAAGTTGATCATGTAGCATGTAAGTATTGGTGTGTACTGCAAGGTTCTGGAGTCATCAAATTCATAATAAATTTGGCCCAGTCTTGGTAAAGTAACAAGCACTGTACACAGAAAGATGTATATTTTCTACTTACCTTTATTTCCTTATCTTTCTATGCTCATTACTCAGCTAGTATTCATTTTCTACCAAAATTGTTTGGCAAATGACATTTATTTGTAATCTTGAACATTCAGTGTAAGTTTCATTTAATTCTGTGAGAGTTCATTTTCTTTTTTTACCAGAACACAAGATTATCTTTAACATTGATCCAGCTAAAAACACTCAAAGGTCAACAAAAACATGACAAAGAAATAGAGAAACACAAACAAAAAAACTATAGAATAAACAAGAGACTATCCATAACATATCATTACCTTGAACTTATTTCCCACACTGTCGAAGGCCAGTTTCTGGACGTTCTGTCCTCCACGCCCCTTGGAGGGTTCCTTGTCGTTCTTAGGGAAGAGACTGGTGATGAAAGGATCCTTGCAGTCTCGTATAACAACCTCCAGAGACGCATGCAGAGCATCGTTGTTCTTCTCTATGAATTCACTCTAGATTGGGAAACAAGTATATACATAGGAAAGGTTATGTATTGCAGTTGGAGAAAGAGAGAGAGAGAGAGAGAGAGAGAGAGGGAGAGAGGGGGGGGGGGGAGAAACAAAGAGAGACAAGAGCATACAAAAAGAAAGAAATGAGATACATGTAGAGAGAGAAAAAGAAGTGGGAGAGAGGAAGAGGAAGAGGGGGAGAGAGAGAGAAGGAAGAAGGCATGGAAAGAGAGGAATAGCCGAACATGCTCTCTTCAAATATGGCTCTCAAGCAATTTTGTAGATTTGCAAATTTGCAAAATTGAAGAAAATCAGATAAAAAGTGACCAAATGATATAAAATCCAATTGCTATGATTATAGTGATCATTGATTATCACATCTGAAAATGAGAGAGAAAATGTAACTTATTTACCATCTTCACAAAGAGAAAATATATCAGGTTTTCAAAGCAACATATTGGCCGATGTAAGGGTAGATCGACGTTTTAAAAAAGTATTTAGTCTAGCGCTCTCATGTGTTTGTCATCATGAGACATGACTGCTATGTGTGCGTATTTCTAGTCCTTTTCTCACTTGCTATTATCTGTATGCAAGCAAGGTGCTCGCTTGCTGGCAGGCATGTTACGGACTCATACAGCATCGTTGCTCCTCCTCTAAAGCTTGGAATTTGAATTTAAAGGGAAGTGCTTTGATAGAGAAAATGTTACTTACAGTTTGATAGCACACAGCCCCAGCAAAGTGCTTTATAAGGATTCCTTCATCATCTCGGAGGTTACGATGAGCTGTCAACTTGGATTTACGAGGGATCTGAAAGATTCATAATTATAACACATCAAAATCATATCAGCAAAGAAAAACAGGAAGATGTTTTCTGATTTCTTACATATCAACTATATGCAAATAAGCACAAGGCCTTGATCAGATGTGATGATATGTGGTGTACATGCTATCACCAATTTGTGATCTGCACAGTACTTTATCATTTTATTTAATTTATTTCATTCTCAAATAAAATATACAATCAATATCAATGATAATATATCATACACAAAATTTGAAAATGAAAAGGGGAACTACAAAAACGGTCAATAAAGCCCGAAGGCCTTGTAAAATTGTAGTTCCCTAATATACAAACACATAGTAGAGGTGTTGTGGACTAGAGGATAAGTCACCTGACTGCAGATCACAAGTCCCGCTGCGGCACTAATGTCCATTGGCAAGACGTTACTCTAAATTTGCCACTCTCCACCCAGGTGTAAATGGGTACCTGATAGGCTTGAGCGCTAGTTACTTTGGCAGCTCGGCTATGACTAGGGTAATATGTGTAAAGCGCCATGAGCGTCTTCAGAACCTGACGGATACCGGCGCTATATAAATAACCATATTATTTATTATTATTTATTTAGTATGGAAATGATATTGAAGACTTACAGCCAACCTGAAGTGAGTTTTATGTTTCTGATGCACATTGTGAGTGAAGTTGTTTGCGCTGGCTTTGGGTAGCTTACTCTCCTCGTCCAGTAGATCTAGGATACCATTGGGCTTGAGTTCAACCAGATCTGGATGAGAAGGAAAGGATCAAGTTTAGGGTATCATCATTATCACTGTTACCATCATCACTGCCATTGTCATTACTATTACCATAACCATTACCATAACAATTATACAATATAGTAATAGTAGTGGTGGTTATTTTACCTGACTGCTAAGAAAGCAAAATGCTTGTAAGTAAGCAACCAGAGGACCGACGGCTTTAGGTCCTCTCCATGGGACCTGGTAATGAGGATTAATGCCTTACCAAAGCCCAAAGGGCACTAGTGCATCGCCATGGTTTCGAACCCGGGGCACCGGATTACGAGACCACTGCTGAGACTGCTCTACCAACTGAGCTAGATCGCGCCTCCTCAAAAAACAATCATAATCATTATTAATACCACCATAACATTATCAAGCTTATAATACCTATACCATTTTTCTCTCACTGTAGATGTAAGAGCATTACTTACCGATACAATCTTGGTTATCCACATAGTTGACTGTGTTTACACCCAGACTCTCCCTCTCATAAAGTTCTTGTTCCTTGAATGATCAAACAATAAAAATATGCAAATTTAGAATTGCTGTAAATAGCTTTTAGAGGCTGGCCCTATATTAGAATCTCCCTCGTGTAGATTATGGTTGAGAGAACTTGAATGCAATAAACATTTTCAACCCCCCCCCCCCCAAAAAAAAAAAAAAAAAATGCTGCAAAGTTTCCAAAGGAAAAAGAGGAATCGAATCCTCAAATTGGCAATCTGCGCAAAAGGTCAAAAGTCACTGTGTTTCTAAACAAATTAACGTACGTTTACGTTTCAGTTCACCCTTGTGTGCTTCCTCAAGTTTTATTCAAACTTCCTCCAAAGTTTGATAAAAATGTGCTCAATAACTCAGTTACAAAAAGCGGGACGGATGACCCAAAAAGGTATGGTGTAATGCCTCTGGCACCAACTTCCGGTTTGGAGGCAAATAAAATGTAGCTATGATGCAAAATGTTTGCTTATTTGAAGAAGAAAGTTTATAACTCTTTTTAATTCCCTCTTTAACAACTTTACCTCCTTGAGCACCCTAAGATTGAAGAACTGCTGTAGCTTTTCGTTACAGTAGTTGATGCAGAACTGCTCGTAGCTGTTGAGGGTGAAGAACTCGAATCCTGCGATGTCCAGCACGCCGATGAAGTTTGCCGAGGTCTTGAAAGGGAAGCACTCGTTGATGCGGGATACAATGTGATCAAAGAGATGAGAGTAGATAGCCTTGGCCAGGGCATCGCGAGCATTGGATGCTTGCTCTTTCTTCAACGGCACTCTGGGTGTGAAGCAAGATTAGAATCCATCAGTGGTGATGAGAACCAATTATCAAAAACTAAAGAACTACAATCTTTCAACCAGCTAATATGATGGTGGGTTGTGTGCCACCGGATTAAAAGGTAGACCCTATAGAGCTAGAGTGTATATTATCCTTAAGTACCCAATAAAAATATTTTAACAAAAAAAGAAAAAAAAAATCTTTTGTTGCCTCTACTCACTTGATGACGGTCCCCCTAGCCTGCATGGTACGAGATGTTAGAGATTGTTCCAGTTCCTTGGCATCCACCTTGATGAGGTCTGCTACAAACTTGAGGGAATCCTGGGCGTCAGGTGATACGCCACAGCCACCTGACACACAAGAAAATAGGTCACATGATCAATCATGCCACCATAACAATATCCTTCTATTCAATACTACAGGGGAGTCTTTCACAAAGACTGAGATTGACTTTAACTTGGACTTATCTATGGCAAGCCGTTCATGCCACTGTTTGCTCTCACCACTAACTGGCATTGGTCTGTCAAGGGACGTACAAATGGTGGTCACAAATCTACAGAATTTACAAGTTTTGATGACTCATTATTGAAGGAAAAAATATTATCTGAAAAAATTATAAAAATCATCATGGTATTAAGAGCAAACAGAGGCATGAACAACCTCCCATAGTTAAGTCCAACTTAAAGTCAATCTTAGTCTTTGTGAAACACTCAGATCATTTAAGATTTTATCTCTTAAAAGTGGCATCTCCTTGCAAAAAGTTCCTGGGACCCATTTGATCATTTGAGGATTCACCATATAGCAAATGTGAGATTTCCTGGAAATTTTTTTTCTTTTTTTTCTTCATACCTTTACCTCAAAGTTCATTTCTATAACAATATTTTATTGCTGACTCCTGCGAATATACTTAATCTTTAGTGCAAGAAAAAAAAAAAAGTTATTTTAGAAGCTTTCAGTTAGAATTTACTCCATTAATCCCACACCAGATACCTCAGACTTTACATATGTATGTAATGTGATGATTGGAGAAGACACAAAAGCAAGAATGATGAAAATATCCTGGAAACGAATGAAAACCAACAAAGAGATATTGCACATGGCAGGGCGTAAACAAATTGCATTGGTAGGATTAGTTAAGAGGAGAAAAGTCAAATACTTTGGTCACGTTAAAAAGCACCAAAGCCTCTTAAAGGATGTATTGGAAGGAAGAATGGAAGGAACTAGACCGAGAGGGAAACCCAAAATCAACTGGGAAGATAATGTCAAGAACTGGAGTGACCAGTGCACCAGAATGGCAGAAGAGTGAAATGGAGAGATGTCGCAATCAACCTCTGAACCGGGAGAAGATACTTAGATACAGCCATGCATTCTTACCCTCCTGGCTGTCATTGCCGGTGAATGCGATGTTCCCAAGATGAAGGACACATGCCACAATACGCAGGATGTCATACTCCTCCTGGGGCTTGAGACCGATCTTCCGGAGCGCATCCACCACTCTCTGGTAACCACGGTAATCATCCACCTGGATGTCATGCAGCGCGCCCTTCTTCTTATACTGTTTGGAGATGAAAGAGATCAAGGGGGGAAGGCAGGTTAGGGTCGAGTGATTTCATACTTTGGCCACCCATTATTTCCTTAGTATAGAGAATTGAATGAAATAGAGGAAGAACTAGGGGGGGGGGGTTCACAAAGATCCTACATGTAAGTTGAACTTAACTCTAAGTTGGACTTAGAGTTAAGTGGAGAGCCATTTGTAGCCTTAAAATAAAATATATTCGAAAGCAAAAATTCAAGTATTTTAGACTGTTCATAAATCCACATCCACATCAAGAAAATGAAATCTCCTTTAAAATAGAAAATATAAATGATTTGAATCAACATTTTATGGCTTTAAAATAAGTTTTACAAAATGTTTTCAAAGATGCTAACGGCTTTCCATAATTGTTAAGTCCAACTTAGAGATAACTTAGGATCTTTGTGAAACACCCCCCTGAAGAAAACTAAGACTCAAAAGATATAAGTCTGATAAAATATTCAATTCTACAAATTCACGACCAAAAACTGCACAAAATGCATAGAATATCTAGTTTGGGATAAAGTGTATATCATAACTCATTTGTGTGCATGTGTATGTACAAAGAAATAGTATTGTTTCTGGCATGCAAAAAGATAAATATTGTTGGTTTAGATAAAAAACACATTCTATAACGATTTAAAACTATCACTGAAAAAAGAAGGGTATGTACATGTATGCAGCTCCCCTACTCTACTCCCATTTAGTGAAATATACAGTTACACTCTCAATTTTCAAACATCATGGCTTACAAGCCTTAAATTTCTGTTCAATATACTTTACATATATTTACAACTTATAACAAAAACAAAACACCTGTCATGCATCAGGAAAAAAAATCATATATAAGCATATCCACAAGATTGGGCACAAAAATAAAACATGTCATGGACCAAAATCATTTTTCTCTTAAGCTATCAAATATCCTACATGTAGCCAGATCAGGGAAATGCTCCACCATTCAAAATTTGCACTTTTTCTGAAGAAAGTGGCATCACAACCATTTCCCGACAAATATGTCTTATAGCACTTTGGTGTTTTTCTTGTCCCACTGTGTACTTGAATGTAACATGCTAAAGGTTATTTGATATATATGCATATAAATGGACAAGTTAATACTCAAAATGGGTATTCTGGAGATTTTGACTCAATTTACACTTTGATTTTTTCATTCTAGTAGTAGGATAATTTTACATATTATCACTCAAAGAAAATAAAAAGCTATGAGAATTTCATACAGACATATAAGAGCTATTACAACACCATACATATAACTTCTGCATACACTGAATTACAAAATGCATGCAGACAAATATTCATGCAAAATAAGAACATGGCAGGGCACAATATTTGTATCATTTTCAGACACTCCACTTTAGTTTGTCTTTCTTCACCCATCTGATTGTAAATTGGACTATCCAAAGATAAAGCCATCCAAAGAAAACTTAAAATGATAATTACAATATACAGTAGGCTTTCGGATGCACCATGTGAGAGAGAAAGGGAGAATTGAGGAGTCCTGAAAAGGACTCTCTGTAATCTTTCTTGAGGGTGTGTAGTCCTGAAAAGGACTGTTGGTGTAGTCTTGAAAAAGACTGTTGGTTATCTTTCTTAGCTTATAGTTCTAAGGAGAACTATAGCGCTTGGAGAGGATGGGTGGCAGGAGTGGCTCGACGTTTCGAACAGGTTGACTATCCGTCGTCAATGTTTAAAATTATTTTATTTACTGTAAAATTATGAACACTGATATCTATATATTTTTTTTTTAACTTTTTCATTTCTGAATCAGACATCTGTTTTCTGCTCCGGCATCTTGTGGCAATGAGGTAGAAATGCGTTCTTCATTCCCTTTGTAAGACAATTTTTATGCCTTCATTTTATTTTGTGCATGACAATAAAGAAATTCAATTCAATTCAATTCATGTACAAATTTATTGTGTTTTATTTGCGCTTTATGCTATTTACTTTGTACTTGTGATTGAGTGATTGCCAAATAAATAACAATGGTGGTGGTGGTGGTGGTGGTGGTGGTGGTGGTGGTGGTGGTGATGATGGTGATGATGATAATGATGATAATGATGATAATAGTAATAATAATAGTAATAATAATAATAGTAATAATAATAATAATAGTAATAATAATAATAGTAATACTAATAATAATAGTAATACTAATAACAATAGTAATAATATTAATAATAATGATAACAATAGTGATAATAATATGAACAAAAGTACTGTTATAGGACTGGTTGAACGACATCAACAACAGTAAAATGCTGAAAGTGTAAATGTACAGGACAAAAAATAAGGTAACATGTTCAGACAAGCAAAGTGAGGTTGCAAAATATAAAAGCATCACAATTTCTCCAAAACCTGACAAAATGATCACATGCTCTACTATATCAAAGATGAGATTCAATGAACTCACCAAGTTGAAAAATAGAAGAGGAATATAAAGGAACAATGGGAGGAGTAAGTGGTGTATAATGGAAATATATAAACATGTACTAGTATATGGAATTTGGATTATGATGTACAAAGAAGGGAAGAAGACACATGGTATCTCAACAGATATGAGCCCTCGATGCACTCCCCAGTGTCATCCATAGGCATATAGAGAATATGACTGCTGTTTAATACTGATTTGAAGACATACATGTACAGGTATTGCAGTCGAAGAAGAGAAGGAGTGAGGTTGGTATTGTTTGAAACTTGGCATGCTATATGATTAAATATGAAAAAGAGTATCTGTAATAGCAAGAATTATATTGGCTGACAAGGTGTCACGTGACACTCAACAATTTGTTATATGTGCACAAGTGTGCAATATAACAACCGTTTTTTGCACAGTAAAACGCATACGTTGTGAATTAGACGGCACAACTCTCTTCCTGCAAGTACCCATTGTGTTAGCTGCACGCATCTCATGCAAACGCAACCTGAATGTTATTGAGAGGGCCTGTCATTCCTAGGATCACAAATACCCTCAATTTTATGTAACAAATATTGCATAAATTTTGTTGTTCATTGCAATATAACTTATAATTCACCTCCATAATCACGATTCCCCTTGTGTCATTATAATTCAACCTCGACCTGCGACCTCAGTAAAATATAACACCGCTTGAATTGCTCAGAATAAAATTCTCATCTTGTTGGTTCATTATATTTCTTTGGAGTCGGGAAGAATGCAGTGAGATAATTAGCCCTAATTTATTTCTCATCAATTCTTGACATATTACAATTTTAGATTAGCATATTGAATATTTCCCCACTCTTAAAATTGAGAAAATAAAACAAAATGATATGTATCCATGACTACAGAGACTTACCTTTTTTTCTACAAATGACACAATTTAAACCAATTTCAAAAGCATAAGACTATCGTATCTCAATGCAGACCTGGGCCCTGTTGCATACAACTTGCCATTGATTGTAACTTTGCCATCAATTACAGGGGTGATAGTGAGCACTAAAAAAAATAGGTTTTTTGTTTTCCCCTCAACCACGCCCCCCTTGAGTAAAAAAAAAAGAAGGAGAGGATTCGCGGGGGAAAAAATGGCATCTAACAACATTCCCCCCTTTCGAGTAAGAAAATTGGGAAAAAAATTGGGAAAAAATTGGGAAAATTGGGAAAATTGGGAAAAAATAGGGCAAAATAGGGAAGAAAAGAGAAAATAAGGGAGAAATCAGGAAAATCAGGATAAAATAGGGAACAAAAAATAATAAAAAAATAATAACTCATCACTCAACAGCCAATCAAATCTAGTTTTCCAGCATATCTGTAAAGCGCTTACAGACATCGTAGATACATGTAGCGCTATATAAAAGCGGAATATTAAATCATTATATAATTCCATGGAAGTTAGCATTGATGGCAAAGTTACCATAGTAAGTTTTATGCAACAGGACCCTGGTGAAAAATGTTGGCTTCTGGAATCGGGAAGCGCTTTCTCTATCAATACCACCTATTACAGTTTCAAGTTTCAAGTTTATTTATTTCACTTTATCAAAGATAACATGAATGAACATAATGAACATGGTAATTATTATAACTAAACATACAATATAGAAAACATAATGTACATGGTTATACAGTCAAACCTGTGTTAACGACCACCTGTCTGTAGCGACCACCTGTCCATAACAACCACTTAAACCCCCCCCCCCCCCCGTGAGATTATATGTACTTAAGAACCTGTCCGCAACGTCCACCTGTCTAACGCGACCAGCGGCCACTCATTTTGCTTCCGCTGGCCACCGAAAATGCCCACACAACGACCGCCAGAACCAGCCGTATGGCGTCCAACAGCAACCGTGTAAATGTAGCGACCGCAGCCACAGCAGCGCTAGTGCAATTTCGCTCACACAGTCAGGCGATCGTCGCCACAGCGGCTAACTATAAAGCTAGATCTAATTGTCATTTACACACAATAAAACTATTCAACCCATTCTTTAAGTAAAACATTATCCAAAACATTGGATTACTGACAAGATATGGCTTCTTACACATTTTCATTACGTGCCGTTCCTATTGAAAACAGCACAATACAGCATCATTGTCACATGTACACATGCGATCGATGTGTCATTGTTCGCGAACGTTCGAACAGGCTTAGCCTGCGAGAGTCATGTTGAGTGGGCGGGGCGGCGTCTTGTCAATCAATTGTTCAGGCTCGTTCATCTTTATTTCTGTAATCGAATTTCGCTTTGCATTGTCTGATTTATTGATCGGATTTCTGCCTCATCGCTGGACAGAGCCCTTATAAAGATAAGAAAAATGGCGTTCATAATCACTTGTATTCTATCGTTCACCGATTGTGCATGTCTTCTGTTGTCTGCTGTGATTTCAATAAAGCTAGATCAAACACACAAAAATTATTCAACCATGCAAGCTTTTATTAAAACTTCAATTCTCCGTGGCTTAATTTATAAGGGCTCAGTTGGGTGAAAATGAGGCAAAGAGCCAATAAATAAATCTAACAACGCAAGGTTTCTTATCGGTGTTTAAACATTTACTAAACAAAGAGTGGTACGGTTTTTAAACAAAATAAAAATATGAATTAATTAAACATAATTTTTTATCTTTAAAATTGTCCGGCATTTTTTTTAACGCATGTCATAAATTATTTAAAAGAAATCAAGATGAACGACTCTGAAAATTTGATTGACAGACAGGGACCACCCACGTCACTCGCCAGGCCTCGCTATAGCCTAGCCTGTGAACGTGCGGCGCGACGAACAATCCAGTCATCGATTGAAGTTCATGACAATAACTCTGCAGCGTTATGTTTTCATGAAATGTGCAAGAAACAATATCCTGTCGGTAATTAAATGTTTTGATTGACGAGTTTGGGGTTGAATAGTTTTATTGTGTTTAAGTGACCATTACTAGATCTACATGTAGCTTTATAGTGCCGACGATTTTCTGACTTCACTGTGTGAGCAGAATTGCGCCGCTGTGGCTGGTCGGTATATTCACGGCTGCTGTTGGTCCGGTCGCATTGGCGGGTCGCGGCAGGTCTGCAAAAGGTCTTGCGAGTGCTGTCAATCAGTTGTTCAAAATCAAAATGGTCGCAAAGGGCCACCTGTCTACAACGGCCACCTGTCTACAGCGGCCACTATTTGTGTTTCCCTTGGGTGGTCGCTGTAGACAGGTTTGACTGTAGTTATAACAGAGAATACAATCATATAAATCAATCAATAAAGTGGTAAACTTGTATTATGTAGGTCCCTGTTCATAGGTTTATATATAAATTAGGGTATCTGAATTAACATATTTACAAAAGCATATGATTATACAAGGGTTATCTTTATTGGGTGGCCATTATAATTATAATTTTTTTTGTTCTGATTGAAAATGATTGCCTTACCATTTTGCTCTGCCTGTCTGCTTTCACTTGCTTCTGTGATTCTTTGCCAGCAAAGTACTGAGTGATGCCATTCCGTAAGTACTACAACAAAGCAAAGATTACACGTCAATAATAAATAGTTTATCATTACATCCAGATTACACTCTTAAACTGTTGCCAATTAGAAAATTAAAAACTCTCCTATTTTTAATTAGATATTGCTCAAACTTTCACTAATTAATTTCTCTAATTTTTCTGCTTTTATAAAAATCAACTGAATATCAGGGTGGCCTTCCATATTACAGCCTTTGACAAACTTTGTCAGTTCCTAGACAAGAACAATTAGATCCGCTGAATACACAACTGTAAAACCCAACCAAAACCAAATCCTCATTTATCGTGCTTATTGTCTCTTACAAACCAACCTGATAATCATCGGGGGTCTGGATACGTAGCTTGGTGCGGAGGTCATCTGGAGCACCGGCACACAGGTAATAGAATACATGATAGTTCCTCTCTTCTCCATTCTGCCAGCAGACTCGTGGTTTCTCCAGTAGATAATGGGATACATAGCCTCCAACAACATCGTGCTGGAATAATAAATATAAAAACAACACTAAACACAAACGCTGAGAAAATATCATGTCTCGGAAATTTGTCAGGGACTCCACTGTTTGGGCTGGAGAAAACCTAAATACAGAATCATCTGTATCCCAGATTATATAAGAGCACTTTTTATTTGGGAAATCTTGAAGTACATTGAAAAACAAACTCATTTAAATTTGAATTGTTTCTTAAGCAGGGCTCCCACTTTGCCAAGTTGTATTAGCGAGTTATGGTGAGTTGTGGTGAGTTGCCTCAAAGAGGCACTCGCAATAAGTCGCAAAAGCTCTTCTTGTAACACAGGATAACTCGGGACAACTCGGTATGGCTCGGCGTAACTCTTTACAACATTCCACGACTCTCCTTGAAGTCGCTAGCAGTTCCAAAATTTTCACCGATTCGTTGTAACTCGAGGTGACCTCACTTACATTCGTAATAAGCTCGCGCGGCACTCTTCATAAGATAGCGAGTTGCTACGAGTTATGAAGAATGCAACACGAGCTTGTTACGAGTAATGCGAGTTCATTATGAGTGTAGGCGAGTTCACCTCGAATCGGCAAAAAAAAAAAAAACTGCTCGCGACTTTGAGGAGAGTCGTGGAATGTTGTAAAGAGTTACGCTAAGCCATACCGAATTGTTGCGAGTTATCCTGAGTTACAAGAAGAGCTGTTTGCGAGTTATTGCGAGTGCCTCTTTGAGGCAAATCACCACAACTCGCCATAACTCGCTAATACAACTTGGCTAAGTGGGAGCCCTGCTTTAGTATGTAAGGTCAAAAGGAAGGATGCTACCAACCTTCTCTCCAAAGTGCATTTCCATGAACTTTCCAAAGCGACTGCTGTTGTTGTTCCTGACCGTCTTGGCATTGCCAAAGGCTTCTAGGAGCGGGTTAGCCTCAATGATCCTCTGCTCTATGATCCCTGCACTCTGTCCGTGAGACTCTGTCAGGTACCTGCATATAGGGGTCAAAGGGCAACAACAAATCTGTAATAATAATGCTATGTTATTTACATGGTCTTTACCAATGGTCAATGCAGACTTGGCATTGCCAAAGGCTTTGAAGGAGCAGGTTAGCCCCAATGATCCTCTGCTCTATGATCCCTGCACTCTGTCCGTGAGACTCTGTCAGATACCTGCATATAGGGGTCAAAGGCAACAACAAACCTCTAATAATAATGCTATGTTATTTGTAGTGGTGGTTATTTTACCTGACTAGTTAAAGCAACCAGAGGACCGACGGCTTCAGGTACTCTCCGAAAGACCTGGTAATGAGGATTAATGCCTAACCAAAGGGCACTAGCGCATTGCCTTGGTTTCGAGCCGGGTTGCCAGACTACGAGACCACTGCTCTACCAACTGAGCTATCGCCATGGTCTTTGCCACTGATCAAGGCGGTCTTGGCATTGCCTTAGGCTTTGAAGGAGCAGGTTAAGCCTTGATGATCCTCTTCTTACTCTATGACTGGGCTCATGAGACTCTGTCAGTTACCTTAGGGTCAGAAACACCATTGGACTTAAGGAATCAGGCTTACCACTGATTTACACAGTAATGGCATTGCAAAGTCTCAAGTATCCTCTACTCCAGGACTCCTACACCCTGCCTATGAGGCTTTGGGTGCGTTTATGGTCAATTTTGAAGGCAGAATGAGCTCATCGTAATCGTAGTTCCAGGGTGTACTGTTTATGCTCACTTCTCTGGCTCCTCTAGGCATGATTCTGGCTCTGCAGCTGGATTCGCAAACCTGCACTGCGCATGCTACGTTGACCCCATTTAAACATGTTTACAAATGATTGTGAGTTTATGCTTCCCCTGAATCGCCGATCCAAAACGCACTTTTTTGTGAGTTTATGATCAGCGATTATGATCGCCGTTTTTCGGGGATTCTACAAAAATGAGAAAGGACGCAACCGTGTTTTGAACTAAACGTGTAACAAATGCCTCATTCTGGCCAGAAAAAGTTAAGCATAAACGTACCTTCTGTCAGGGAATATTTAAGGGACTCAATAGGAACAATAAACATTGATTTCCACGGAAGTGATTAAAGAAGAGTCATTCTCCTCACCTGAGTATATACTTGGTAGACTCTGTCTTGCCGGCTCCAGATTCTCCGCTCACGATGATAGCTTGACTCTGTTTGGACGTGATCATCTCACGGTATGACTTGTCAGCTGTCATCAAATCATATAAACATTGAAATCTTGTTTTAAGCCTGTGCCCAACTCTAATGTACTCTCAATTGTGATTTCTGAATATGTGAGCCCAGATTATAGAAAAAACAAAGATTATAGATGGACTCTAGCTGTACCACATGTTCTTGTCGCTATGAACATCTCCCAGTACATTTAGGTCTTGTCAACTAATTCAATATAAACACAAACATATAGGTAGAAATCTTTTTAATAAATTAGCCACTCTGACATGTTGGAATTATAATTTGTGAATACATGTATGTTTTCACGGCTATGGATTCAACAAATGAAAGTTTGATTGCTTATTTACACTCTGTGGGCCATACCAGCTTTAATACAATACAGTCAAACATAAACATACAAACATGAGAATCGTTTTAAAGCCCCACTGCACATACTTATAGCTACTTGCGCCCTCTATATAGCAAACTATGCCTTATTGGTGTCTGTTGGTCCCCCATGATCCTCTTTTTCTTATGTTAATTGAGAGCTGATTGGATGAGATAACCACCTGTCAGTGACCTTGCAGGGAGGTCTAATCCCCCCTGACCAAACTGGTGCAGACAGGCTTTAACCCATGTATGCAAATAAGACAGGTTGTGAAACCATGGTAAAGTGGTGAACTGCCTTTACGTGAATTAGTTAGTAATAGTGCTCTTGGCAAATATACATTACAACACCCAGAATACATTGCTCAGGAAGTCATTCTTTCTATTTAACAAAAAAAATCAAGACTTGCTATGTGCATTTATATGACATGGATTTTTTTTTACCACTGCTGTCTCTGTGGTTTATTATGCCATGTGTGTAAACGAGTATCCAGACATCAAACATGAAATTAATATGATGGATTGAGAACAAAAATTTGCCAAAGGCATTACGTAATTGACACCATGAATATGTACATGTATGTATTTCAATACAAGTTCAAGTCAGTTAATAATAGTACATTTATAGAGCGCAGAAACTATCCAACATTAGGTATATATTCTACTGCGCTACAAGAGCTCCTGATATGCTTAGATTTACGGTACAGTTAATTAAAAAGAAGTGTTTTCAGTTTTGACTTAAAAGACGTTTACAGATGGTGATTTCCTGACTTCAAATGGCAAGTTATTCCAGAGTTTTGGGGCTGCACAAGCAAATGCTCGATCACCTAGCGTTATTTTTGTTTTGATAGATGGGATCTGTAGCAACAAAGTATCTCGGGAACTGCGCAAGTTGCGATTGTGTTGATTAGGTTTGAAATTCAACAGTTCTTTGATATAAGTGGGAGCTTGACCAAGAAGTGCTTTATATACAATCAGCAAGATTTTGAATGTTATTCTCTGGCGTACTGGTAACCAATGTAGATTTCTTAAAATTGGGGTGATCCGTGTGAATTTAGAACAACCACAGATCAGCCTTGCACAGGTGTTTTGAACCAGTTGCAATCTCACTATTTGAGAGTCAGGGATCCCATACAGTAGACCATTACAATAGTCCAACTTAAACAAATATAATGTAACTGCCTTGAACTGTGCATTGTATGATTTATTTACAGGATAGCATATAAACTAATTATTCATGAATAGATTTTAGTAGTCAGCAAACATGCTCATATGCTTAAGGTGACTCGGTAACATTGTTGAAGGTTGATGGAAAAAAAAGTGTAATTTTTGTATGAAATGTTACTTATTATATTCCTTCTACTGTACTTATCCTTTAATAAACAGGCAAAAAAATCCTGAGACAATTCTTAAACCATAAAGATATCTATGGTTTTCTGTGAAGGCGTCACTGTGCATCACCCTCTAAAGTGACTGATAACAGTAGATTTTCCCAACCATTTTTTGATGAAAATAAGACATTAGAAAGGCTTTACAATTTTGTTCAACACTTAAATGTCTGGAATGGTATATAGAGCCACTTCATCGCTTTGTGACGATATACATTCACCTTAAATGTAATTAAATTCTAATAATATAGTTGGGAGGATTAAGGAATCGATCAGATCAGTTTCTCCCAATTTTTATCATTAATAATGGTCCATTTTCACTCAAATTTTCAGATTATCATTAATTGTACATCTAGCATTGAAGTCACTACCTTAGCACCACTATCTCTCATCTGAACAATGTTATAAAGTCCTATTAAAATGCATCATGATAAGTGTTGCCAATTAAGACCATGTGTGGGGCGTACACATGGCCCTAGTTTCTGAATCATAGTGCAAAGTTCAAAATCAATGACATCTATTATATCAAAGCTCTTATCAAACTGTGGGGTATATACACTGTAGACATATGTGTAGTGTAGAATATATAATGTATGAAAGTCAACATATGGTCCATTGATCAATAGGATACAAAGTAAACATGGGCATGTCTATGGTAAGCAGTGAATGACCCGTTTGTTAAAGCAGGTAATTGTAATGAGACCCCAAGGGGGGGGGGGGGGGGGGTGCTCAGATTTTTAAGGGTCATTTTGGCGGATTTTCTCAAGGTAAAGCCCATTTTTCAAAAATGGCAAACGCCCAACAATTTTCAAAATTTTGAAAAATATGAAAAAGCACACCCATGTTTAGAGATTTTTAGTGAAAAAGTTACCCATTAGAGCGGCACACCCCTGTATGTCTTAATATGTGAGTACCCCCTCCCCCCCCCCCCCCCAATGAGACTAGGTTTGAGACTATATATGTATATAATAGGCTTATGCATGCAAATGCCATGCATAATGGTCCAGTGGGTCGTCAAGACGCTGGCTGACCACTGCCACATTCTATACTGTAAAACTATTCACTTTCACTTGTGTTAAAGTTGCTCTTCCACTACTCAAATGCTCATGGATGCCTCCTCCATAAACCGTACTACTTAAAGGTAAAGATCAGTTCTGGTCATGCGATTGCATTGTGAAAGAAACGTGGAATCGATCAGAAAAGGTTGATCATCTATCATAGTATTGGTGTGTATTGCAAGGTTTTGGAATCATCAAAATGATAAGAAATTTGGCCCAGTCTCGGTTAAGTTGCAAGCACTGTACACAGAAAGATGTATATGGGACTACGCGAAAAACATGCGTGACAGTGCACAATATCTATCAGGTCCAAATAGATATAATAATTTACCAAATATTTAAATTAGTAGGCGGTTTCCAGGTAAAATTTGTATTATCACGTATTAGTCAAAACCTATTCTTTCACATGATTGGTAATAAGAGCTTCCATTTCATTTTTTGAGAGGGGGGCGTTTCCAAAACTGATCTTTACCTTTAACCTTGAGCCTAATTAGCCATCTGTACTGTACCTTATGGATCAACATGCATGTGATGTGCAAGTACATCAAAATTACAGTATAATCACCTCCCTGGTATAATTGACCAATTAATTAGCCACATAATGCAGTAATTACACTTAAATGGAGATCGCAAAGGCAGCAAATTGCCTATTTAGCAGTTCACCACATATCGCTGAGCAAAAATTGTTAAACATGCATTCCAGGGTCATGTCATATGACAAAATGTATAGGAATTGATTGCAAGTCATTAAATCATAAATAGCCCAATTTCATAATGTAATTATCAAAATTAATGCCATGTTATACACTATTTTCTTCAAAACCTGTTACAAATCATTGTATTTCAATAGTCAGAATGTTTGTCCTACCTAGCAACACTTATGTACATGTATATATGCAATTTACTTGATACATGCAATGCACATTCTGACCATTAAAGGGAAAGTCCACCCTGAAATTAAGTTAGTTTTAATAGGAGTAGAAAAATGAGAGAAACAAGTCAGTGAAAGTTTGAGCAAATTCCGATTAAAAATAAGGAAGTTAGGATTTTTTAAGTTGTGATCAATCAAACACAAATTGGCAACTCTATGACGTAAAATGCGAGCTCAACTTCCATTTGCTTAGTACTAAAAAAATCTAAAATTTTCATTTTCCCTCAAGAAAAATTTCAACCATACATGCACCCTAAATATAATAATTGCAAATATGTTTCTATACTCCCCCTGCAAGGAACAAATATATATTCCGTCATCAATAACGAAGAAAACATGATTTTATGGAATATTATGAACAAAGCAAATGAAGGAGAGCTCGTATAATACGTCACAGAGTTGACAATTTGTATTTGATTGATCACAACTTCAATAATTCATAACTTTCTTATTTTCATTCAGAATTTGCTCAAACTTTCACTCACCTGATTTTGTTATTATTCTGCCTCTATCGAAACAAACTTATTTTGGGGGTGGACTTTCCCTTTAAGAGTATAATTATTTTTCACAGGTGAATGAAATAATGTGTGACGTGGCACTTAATAAAGATCTGAATGCGAGTTCGATCCGAATCAACTGTAATGTGGCCACTTCTTTGTGACGTTCATCTATATACATGCACGTCATATTTACATGTAAACGTAAGTATGCTTTCTAAAAGAAAGAAACTGTTATCAATATCAACAAAGCTCCTATTATATGCACACTGTAACTATCTGCACACATCATACCATACATGCATGAGCGAGCATAGTCATGAAACAATCAACAAGTCTCTAAAAGAAAATTGCAAAAAATGGGGCATCTGGCATTAAAATGGTGATGAGCATTAGTTGGAGGTATCCAATGGCTCTTCCTTAAGTTCATATATATTCTATTATATCTTATCGATGGTTTATATGAACATTTTGGACAATAAACAGTTTGTTTTTTTGCTGAGTGTATATTGAAAAACTTCTTTCCTGCATTTTTGTCTTCACGTTCTCTACATACCTGTACATATCTTCTTCCCATTTATTTCACTCTCACTGAAACCACGGAAAAAAATACTTTAACATTTTCTGGGGCTACTTTTCAAGCTTGCTTGCATGAAAATAACACTCTTTAATTTGTTTTGCACTGAACTCTATGCAAATTTGTTGGGGCTCTTTTATGACTTTCAGGGGCTCTTTTTAGCATTTTGGGAGCTAAATCGCCCCAAGCCCCTGTGTATTTGTTTTCACTGACTGAACCTTACCTATAGCAAAGACATGAGGCGGTAGTGTGCCGAGGGACTTTCCTTGGTATTTCTTTATGTTGCTGGACGTGTAGAGATCCCCCATCTGTTTGTATGGGTTCACAGCTATTAGGATGTTGGCCACATATGTCTAAAGAAAAAAAGATCATTACAAGACACCATGATCTCCAAACCTCCATTGTCAATGCAGTCATACAGTTGGTAATTTTTGTTTGTTTAAAGTATTATGAATAGTTATGAACAACTTTCAGCAGCAATATAACTCTCAGATTTGAGTTTTATTTGTTTTCACTTTGTTTGATTATTTGTTTGTTTTTACTTTTGAATGACACATACCTAAGTGGATACAGTTCAGTGAACAAGAATGTATTGTAATTGCATACATTGTGTGAAGGTTTGTTATCGTAAACAAAACAACCAACTGTTAATCACACATGTCAAATTACAGTATAGAACTGATAATATGTGTAATTAGTGCGGCATACAATGTATCATTTTTCTCATGAGGAAGGTAAATTAAGGCTATAAATGTCAAGAGGCATAAGGAAATAAAAATTAAAAGAAATATATAATTAGCCTATGACAAGTACATTTACTTGGAATTCAATGAGGAAAGAGGTACATGTACATTTAAATGTATTCAGGAAAACTATATTTAAAGAACATGCAGTCATTCATTTTCACTTCTCCTTTACTTTGAAGTCAGTCAAGCTTTTCCTTTTAAAGCCAAAGCAAAATAAAATCAACGTCATGTTTAAATGTGAATCAAGTTGCATTGTACAAGCGGAAAATAAATATAAATGTATGGGGGCAAAACAAAACAGCCCCCAACATGATCGATCTCATTAACCTGAATTCTGGCAGAGACATATTACATCTAACACATACTACACATCTCATTATTATTTAGAAAAGACTTTATAATGCTGTTCATAAGGAAATGAAAATCTAGATTCCAAGTAAATTGAATCAATTTTGGAGCACAATGTGGGCTTTTAATATGATTCAACATCCTGCTTTCCTTTGCTAAGAAAATCATATATTTCTATTCAACTAAAAATATGCTGATAGGCAATGCATGAGCACATTCTAACTCTTATTCTATCAATGTATCACACAACAGCTCACTACAAGTCTCTTCATGAAGTCAAATTAATAGTATTTCATTAAAAAAAGCTTTGCCCATGGGCACCGTAAGGTTCCTGATTTAAAGTCTATGGGAATATAAAGAGAATTTAGTTGTCAACTGAATAAACAAAACTGTATTTTGCCTGTTTTGAGCCAGAAGGGCATCTATCCAGTGTTGGATTACATGAGATACATGAACATTGTAACACCCTTCTGAAAATTTATGAAAAGAAAGATGATAATTTTGTACTTACGTAGATGGAATTTTTCTTGTAGCGTAGCCGGAGGTTGTTGAGTAACGTGGCCTCATTCAGATACATCAAGGAGCCTGGAGAGAGAGAAGATGAAAGAGACTGTCAAATTAAGTTGCAGGAGGGTAGATAGATGAGAGAGAGACAGAGAGAGACAGAGAGAAACAGAGACAGAGACAGAGACAGAGACAGAGACAGAGACAGAGAGAGAGACAGAGAGAGAGAGAGAGACAGAGAGACAGAGACAGAAACAGAGAGACAAACAGAGAGACAGATAAACATAACATTTGCATAATTTTATTTTGACATGATGAAACTGAGTGACAAAAATGCATTAAATAACACACACACATCAGTCTAGAATTTAAAAGATCATCCAATCTGTATAACTTCAACGTTGAATAAAGACGAATTTGATCATGTTCCCCCTAATTCTCCATTTGACAATAAATTTTGATCTCTCTATCGCTTTTTCACTCCCATATTGCTGGATTAAACCAGGAACAAATCACAATGACTTGCTATCAATCATTATTTTAAAAAAGAAAAAGAAACAAAGAAACAAAAACACAAAACAAACAAACACAAAATCAAAAGGGCTGTAACTTACAATTATCATCCACTACTTTTGCTTCATCATCTTCTGCTGGAAAAACCCTATCATATGATGCACTCACAGCCTGGATAGACAGACAGAGGAAAAGAGAGAAAGATTGTGTAATAATGATCATTACAACAACAACAATGACCATAATAATTTAAATAATACTATGATAATAATAAATAATCATACAAGCAATGATGATAGTCGGAATAGGAAATATCATAAAAATACTAATACCGTAATTGACGGTGTATAAACCGCCCTCGTGTATTAACCGCACCCCTCTTTTTCACCCTAAAAAAAAAAAAAACTCTATCGGCAGCAAGCCAGGTCCATGTTAATAAACTCACACGGGAAGGCCTTTCATTTATCTGCGAGGTGCAGCTGAATGTGTAAGATCATTAATGTAAATTAAAAAAACAGTAGAGGACCTAGGATAGAACCTTGTGGTACGCCGTGTAATAGAAGAAAAATTGGAGGAATTATTATTATAAACTACATATTGAGATCTATCACAAAGATTACTTTCAAACCAAGATGACAGGCAAATTTGAGTGTTGGTCTAGTTTCCTAGTGGAGAGTCAACACACTGATTACTGAGCTGGGAGACATTGCTAGGCATAGCGCCAGGTGGAGGGACATAAATCGAAACTTTATTTTTATTTTTCTTTTGTGTGTGTGTGTACTGTGTATAAGACGCACCCCTGACTTTGATTTTTTTTAGGCGGCAAAAATGTGTGGTTAATAAGACGTTAATTACGGTAATTACAAAGATAATAATAACACGAAATACAACAGCAACAAGAACAACAACAATGACAGCAATGATATTTGTTGGGAATACCAATTGGTATGATTGTCTCAAATTTGTCACTCTCATCTAAAGCCAGAGACAAGAGAGATAAAGCAAAGCCCTGGCTTTGTCAAACTGATCTGAAAGCTCATATTTCTTCAATCCTGTCTGTGATCCGATTGTTTTTGTCGGTTTCATGTTAAAATAAAATCATTATCGGTATGCACAGTGTACATGTATGCAAGGCAGAAGAGATTTGTTAGATTCTAAATTCCAATCGCTCACCCACAGACAGGCAAATGGATGGCAAAATGTAATTACCGATCATATAATGTACAGTATGTACATCTAAAATTCACCAAATATACATGTACATTGCAGATCTATCCATTCCAACTTAGAGATATATTGTGAAATCCCTTTAAAGCATACGGTAATGAAAATGTTCTTGGAACAATATTTCAAGCAATATTTGATAAATTGTGTTGTTCTTGAAATGCCCATGCACAAATTTTCTAATTATGCTCCAATCTGTGGTTGCATCCACGGTCATGTATTAGGTTTGTGTACGCCATTATTGACTTTGCGATTTCAGTAAGAGATCCATCTCCACTATAGGATGAGTATTGAGAATCAGATAAAACCAAAAGAACTAAATTTAGGTTTGATATTACTGGTAAAGACCAGTATTGGAAACACCCCAATTTCAAAAAATGAAATGGAAGCTCTTATTACCAATCATGTAAAATAATATGTTTTGACTAATACATGATGATAAAAATTTTGCCAGGAAACTGCATACTAATTAATATATTTGGTAAATTAGTTTAAATCTATTGGTGTGTGGGAGATAAAAGCATGTGTCGCGCACGTGTGCGTAGTCCCATATACATCTTTCTGTGTACAGTGCTTGTAACTCTATAAAAGACTGGGCCAAATTTCTTATCATTTTGATGATTCCAGAACCTTGCAGTACACACCAATACTTATATTCTAGATGATCAACCTTTTCTGATCGATTCCACAACTTTTCTTTCACAATGCAATTACATGACCAAACTCAACTTCATCTTTAAATTGGTAAAGGTGAAATTGATTTGTAAGCTACACTGTACATACATGTACATACATGTATTGTAGACCTAGTATCTCAATTCTTAATTTTCATAATTATGGATGAAAGAAAAAATTCAATTGAAAAAGGATATACAGTACACCTGTAGCCCTTGGAACGTACTGATATTATATTGCTATCATATCGTATCATATCATAAAAGACCAAAACTACATTAATTTGGAGTCTGGACCCAAATTTCTGTCAACAAATGCTTGTGTGGCCCTATCCTATCCACCCGTAACAGCAATTTCCATTATTTTACAATTTTCACCAAGATGCTGTCAACATCAATGATTTAATTTAAAAACCTCAAAATGCACAGTAAATATAATTCTTATCAATATTTAAAACACTGGCTATTCTGAAAATCTTCTTGAAAGCAGGATCACCTTATAACATTATTTTTCTCCTTTCACAGGATAAATTGTACATGTACACATACACATGTACAGTGCATCCCAGAAAAAATGAAACCAAGAACTATCAATGATTTATCTTAAAGGTATTACAAAGTTTTGGGAAATTTTGAAAAATGGGTGGATAGTGATTCTTTACAATTTTGATATATTTGGATGCCCCTGTGGATGAATTAAAAACACCAGAAATTTTAGCCCCTAAAACATTTCTGCTTTCGAGAAAAATTGATTATAAAGATTTACCGGTGCTCCCGGTAAATTTGGATATATTTCAAATAGCTCCTACGGCCGTATAATGGTAGCTGCGACCATGAAAATCTCAGAGTATGTAGTTGTGGTATATTATTTCCGAACGAGAATAGCTTATCGGTCGATTTTAGTCAATAAACATTGTTTTATAACTTAATTAATATCTTGACCTTGAGAGGGAGCTATTCAACATAAATTGTTTATTATTTAAAATTTCATAACTTTAGAGTCGATTTCGACCGCGACAACGATCACTGAATATTGAAGGATCGTATATGCTTCCAATATGTTCATTTGAACCAAATTCATGACCCAATACCAAAACTTTGTATTACCTTTAACTTAGTCACATTTATAATTAATAAATGACACATACTTAGAAAGCTAAGATCCTCTTCTTTCATTTGATGCAACTTACAAATGTACATGATGAATATTTCACGCATGAGTGATTAAAATGAATTTGAAGAGAGGAAACCAAAAAGTCATTTTGCGGACGGTATCTGAATTTCAAAGAGAAAATCACAAAAATATAAAGGTGAGTTTGTGCCCTTTCATATGACACCTCAATCAGGAAAAATGAGCAAGGAATGACAAACAGAATTGTGATGAAATTATGATAAAACATCAATAATTCTTGGTTTTGTTTTTTCTGGGACGCACTGTACATGTACATGTACATACTAGTATGTCCCTATGATTTTGGGACAGATTAATTTGATATGCTGCCCTTATTATGCACACTGACTTCTCCCCAATGCCCTAACAGCCAACTCTGCATATTGGCTGCTCAACACAGGCAGGAATGGAATTGCATTATTCTTAGTTACCATGGTAACATAGCTAGATGTACCTTCAATCATTTCAGCATCTTACCACAAACCTTGAAAAGTCACTTGATGCCTGGATGAGTGCTTTGAATTTTAATCATAAATGCATTTATTTGTAATATTCTTATAAGGCATGTATCGCCGTAGGGAGGACACACCTTAGAAGTATTAATTCATCTTGGAAAGAAGACAGCATGTACCAGAACACATGAACTAGTAGTGTTAATTCAAATAATAATTTATGTCAGTGGCAGATCCAGGATTTTTTTTGTCTATGGTGAGGTGGGTTGGGGGGGGGGGGGGGGGGGGGTTGAAATCACCCGGCCCATTCGGCCCCCACAGAAAAGAGAAGAAACAGAAATGAGTACAATGAATGAATATTGAAAACATGTACTTGTATTTACAAGTCAGTCTGAATTAAATTGTCTAAATTGGGTTTTTATGTATTTTTCTTCTTTGTCTTTGTCTTTTTCTTTTTGGTTCGGCCACAAAATCATTCAACTCACAATGATAGCGGTTTAATTCATTTGGAAAAGTAGGTACTGTACTTATTACAGTGTGGTTGGGTGTCTAATGCCGGAATACTACAGTGTACCTGGCAAGCATTGTGTTTACTCAAGCAAACGTGTACGCTGTGTCTGGAGAGTAATACAAATAGCTACAGAGTCCAATGATATGACAAAGGGCCAACATATGCAACTATCTACCATTCTACAGGTCTGAACTGTACACCCCTTTTATCAACAGACAAAACACCGGTAGGTAGACATTTCACAACTGTGCCAGTTCAGTGGCACTGGCCATAGAATGACTGATCTGTTAGAACAGAAGCTCCATTTTCTGTGAAGAGGTTGCAGTGGGGGCAGGGGGGGGGGGGGCGCACATGCCCCCAGTGCCACTGAACAAGTGAAAAATGGTTTTGCACAAAATTTACAGTAATCGGAATTTGGGCTTTTTTTTTGGTTGCCAGCCGGGCAGCCAAGACAGGACTTTTAGGTTGCCCGGTGGCGTTTGAGTTGGTCAATGCCACCCGGGCAACCGCTAATTTCAAGCCCTGCACATGTACATGAGCATAAACATGAACATGAACATTTTTAGTACAGAGCAAATAGGAGGGAACTTTGAAAGATAAGTCAGAGTTGCCAAGTAGTGTTTGACTGATCGCAACTTAAAAAAATTTCTTATTTCTAATCAGATTTTGCTCAAACTTTCTCTTGAACCTGTTCCTCTTATTTTTCTTCTCCTACCAAAAATGACTTAATATGAGGGTGGACTTTGTGTGGTTTTTGTTCCACCAAGCTCAAGTTTTGCACTATGCACAAATGCACTCTTTAACACAAAATATTTCACCAATTATATTTTGTTATTTTCACTCAAAATTAATTCAGCCATGCTCACTTTTAATCACTTCAGTTATATCTTATTTAACATTGAATACAACACACCAATTTATAATACAAATGATACTGATAGATGGATTTTTAATCGCGTCCCTTGCATGGGTTGTTCTTTTATTTTGCTAACTTGGCCGAGGCCACAATCATCATCAAGCATTTACGCTTATAATAATATAGCTGTAAAGCGCTTGAAATTGAAGACATGATTGATGTGTTAAAAGTGCTATATAAACCGTGAAATTTCTCACATATTTATAGGTGTGCTTCTACATGTACAGTATATGGAGTGACTTGACAAACGCCTCTCTAACTCTAATGACAAAAAAAGCTGTTTGACTTCATCTGCTTTGACTGCTTGTCAAAATATCAGTCCTCCCGCATGTCATTAAACACCTATCATCATCATGATCTTCAATGTCCAGAATTGAAGATGATGTTCTATTCTAATAAAACAAATGTGCAGCCACATGCATGTATGTACACAATGATGCATCAGACAATGTAATTATGGCGGTTACTCTCGTGGGTGGCAAATTCCATTATACAGTTTGAGTGTTGGACAAAGAGTTCTGACTCACAATGGTATTAAATGCTTTACCTCCAGAGACAGAAACAGATACTTTTAGTGTTGATTTTTATTCCAATTGGGATCAATCTTTAATAACCTGATCTCACAGTGAAAAAAACAAATGGTAAAGTGCACCGATCTCCAAATTTTTCCTTCAAGTTTTTTGTATGTTTCATACTTAATTATTTCCTTCCTATTTCTTATCCATTAGCCCATATATTGCCAGGTAAAGATGTTTGCGGTTGATTGGTATATATTCTACCACTACAAATATCAAATGTTTAAGTGATTGGTATGTGTACAAGTCAAATTTCACACCTGAAAAATCCTTTGTGACATCACTTCAAAAGTGTCCATAGCATTTCAAATTCAATTCAATTTATTGAATGTTATTATATTGACAATAAGAACATACAAAATTACCTACAGTGTATAAACATAGCAATATAGTAAAGGTATAAAGAAATTCAACAACAATTAAAGGTATATTACAAAATTTCAACAGAAAGAAGGACAAAAACACAATATTTCATCAAAATATGGAGGTACAAACAAAGGCCTATCTTGTCCCTGGAAATATATCATATAATACTGTACATAATATGTACTTGGAGAGGAATACGAAAGAGCTTAGACAAACGCACACATACCCACACACGCACACACAAGAAGAAGCAAAGTACATATACCATAAATCTCTGTGTATAAGACGCACTTTTTTGCCGCAAAAAAAAAATTGAAAGTCGGGATGCGTCTTATACACAGGTACAGCAACAAACTGTCTGTCATCTTGGTTTGAAAGTAATCTGTCTATTATAGATCTCAATATGTGGTGTATAATAATAATTCCTCCAATTTTTCTTCTATTACACACAGCCTACCACAAGGTTCTATCCTAGGTCCTCTACTGTTTTTAATTTACATTAATGATCTTGCCCAATCTTCTAAAAATGACATTGTTTCTAATATTTGTGACAAGTTCACAAGCACAAGTCGGCGCCTTCAACTGCACCTCGCAGTTAAATGAAAGTCCTTCCCCTCGTGGGTTTTTTAGCACGGACCTGGCTTGCTGCAGAGTCAGCAAAAAAAAATAAATAAATAAAAATAATTTGCCCCCAAAATAAGGGTGCGTCTTATACACTGAGATTTGGTTATGAATATTCCATCAGGGGGTGTAAGACTTAATAAATTCATTTTTATATCTTTTTAAAACTCAACTATTTAAAGAAGGGCAACTCTTCATTTCAGACTCATCAATACAATTCACAAACTTAGGACCACTAAATGTGACTGTGGTACAAGAAAATTCATACTTTGATATAAACAAAAAAAGGATAAATAATCTACGGAATACCGTTACAGGATAATAAATGCCTTAAAGGGATTGGGTAACTTTGTCTCAGATTCTGAAACAAAATCCTGGATTTGCTGCAATGATAATTATAAACCTTTAGATCAGTCAGGAACCCCATGACTTTTACAAGCCTATCGCTTGTCTGATTATTGGGGAAAACGAGTATGGTAAAACCGGTCACTCAAAGGTTTTTCCTTTTTTGAGGCACTTCTTAATCATTTTGAAAGCGCAATTTTGTTAGGGCTTCAATATAACACCATATCAAAGACAATGATAACACGTAGGGCCGTGCATCTCAGATTTAACATTGTTAAACGATGCCTTTAAAATGGAACGTGACTCACCTTGCCTGAGTCTACCGGCTGGACGGTGATGCCATCGACCCCGATGTCAATGATCCTCCCCAGCTGGAAGCCATGCTCCAGATGAGGGACCCACACCTTCCGATTCTCATCAAACATGGCCGCTTTCTACGACCTTCCACAGATGATCAAATTATAGGACGACGATCAGTTCAAGAAATCTGCAAGAGAGAGAGAGGGAGAGAAAGAAAAAAAAGGATCACTGACATGAAAATAATGGCGATCCAACATTTAGGGTTAGGGTAGTAATTAGGTATTAGTTTAGGTTACATGTAGGTAAGTTAAGGTTAAGGTTTAGATTTAAGTTTGGTTTAGGTTTAAGTTTAAGTTTAGGTTTAGGTTCAGGATCAGGGTTAGCGTTGTAATTGGGTTTAAGTTTAGGTTTAGGATTAGAGCTAAGAATAGTGTTGAGTCCAGGGTTAAGTTAAGAGTTTGGTTCGAGTAGGAAATTACCGTGGAGCAGTTGTCGTAGAACTAAGACTAATTGAAGAGTACGGTCTTCAGGGTCTATTAACTTTTTACCACTCTTTCAGAGTTCAGGTGTTAATATAACTTTGTACTCCTGAACCGAAAACAGTCATGGAAAAAACATATGGCATATCTCTTTCTACCCATCGAATAGGAAAATACACCCAATGGTGGACTGTACTTTATTAAAAAGAATGAAAAGTGAAAAGTGGAAGTTAGTTGAATTGATGAGCAGCAGGATACGGCATGAGACCTATCACTGCAAGAGACACCAGCACAAAAACCAACAGTTGCTTCACTAAAACTTCATCTTTTCCATCGGTTGCTGCAAAACTGTGGAACCAGCTACCTACATGTACTGCTGTGCAGATGGCCTCATCTGCTGACCAGTTCAAGAAACTACTCAAGTCACATCTATTCTGCTAGAAATTACTTTATTACCAGCCTACATATACTTTGCTAATCTCTGAGAAGTGTCTAACTTTTGTTTTTAAGTGGCCCAAACATTGTGGAGCGTGTGTGCAGCGCTTTGAAACTGCAAGGAAAAGGCGCTATATCAAATATCTTTTGGATTGGATTGGTTTGGATTCTTAGCAAAGGCGCTAAAGACTATAAGTTTGAAGCTTCCTGGTACAATGTAAGTCCAAATACATGTACAACATTTCCTTATAAATTTCATGGAATAGCTGGTCACCACTGAAGAGGGGTTTCCCGAATATGTTGATTCTTATTTAATCATGTATCAAATATCAATTCGTGCATCCTCTTCTTATGTAATATGTGTGTACACACATGGATTTCTCACTTCTGTTTCTAAGTTCAAAGTCTCAAATTGACTTGCTAAACCTTAAAGGTAAAGACCAGTTTTGGAAACACCCCCCTCTCAAAAACTGAAATGGCAGCTCTTATTACCAATCATGTGAAAGAGTATGTTTTGAATACGTGATCATACAAATTTTGCTGAGAAACCGCCTACTAATTGATATATTTGGTAAATTATTATATATATTTGGACCTGATAGATATAACGCACGTGTGCGTAGTCCTATATACATCTTTCTGTATACAGTGCTTGTAACTTTACCAAGACTGGGCCAAATTTCTTATCATTTTGATGATTCCAGAACCTTGCAGTACACACCAATACTTATGCTACAGGTAGATGATCAACCTTTTCTGATTGATTCCACAACGTTTCTTTCACAATGCAATCGCATGACCAGAACTGGTCTTTATCTTTAAAATTCATTCAAACTGATTAGGGCTAATTGTAATCACTTAAATTGGCGTAATGTTAATGTAGTGTGCATGTTGTGCCAGACAACATTTCCATTTGTTTCAACACGACACAAACATTGACTAAAATGTATGACTCAGGAGGATCTTTTCTTTTTTTTTTAGAAGATCTATATATCGTTGGTGGGGTGACAAAACCTTGTATCTCAATTTTTTGAGATTTTGATTTTTTTGCATAATTTTGTACCTTATGGCCTACGACACCACCTGATAAATCCATGGAACGCCTCCTTCTCGGTTTTTTTCACAAATTCCACACAAACACCCTTAAACTAAACCTGGCAACTTTAACCCCCTTTGAAGCTGCACTGACAAAACCTCGTAACATAAGATATGTAATTCCTTTTCCTCGTAACTCACACACGGCCTAACAGTACCGAAGTTGGTGTATTCAAATCCTTGTAACTTATTCAACCAAATCCTCGTAACTTATTCAGAGTTGAAAGTAAGAACTCGTATCTCAATTTGAATACAAACTAAAAACTTGTATCTCAATGTAGATAAACGCAAAAACCTTGTAACTCACTTTCAAATATAAAAACAATTATTTCACTGTATTTCAACAATGACATTGTATAAATATTCCAGTTTTAAAAAGAAAGGACGGTGTCACAGCACTAAATTTGTTGAGACAGGAAAGTTTTTTCGCTCTCCTGAAAATTCATGATTTTTGAGATACAAGGTTTTGTCACCCCACCGACGATATGCTATTCATAAGATATTTTAAGTAGTACGTCTATCAGTAAACGAAAATCATATTCAAGATGGTATGGACAGATCTATGGATCATAGTGAAGTTGATCAGCACTTGGAAATAAAGTTGCACTTGCTATATTGCTATATGCTATGGGATTTCAAGCCCAATGAATTTGACACATTGTTTAAGGTAAGCACAGGCCAAGAGACAGGTGAATACAGCTAGCAGACAGTATCAAAAGGCATTGATGGATGAAAGATTGGTGAAAATTATTATTTGTAATAATTTTTGTATGTTTTCATAATGGAAATACAAACATGTAAATGATTTGAACTTTGATTTGATTCAAAAGTTACTTGAGAAAACCTGATAAATGTACAATGTAACTCTGATCACTGTTACTGTAGTGAGGGCATCAGTAAGAGTTACCCACATAAGGTACCTTTGGAACAGCCCATCACGCCCAAAGCGATAGCCGAGGGTGTTTGGACTGTTTTGAAGGTACCTATAGTGTGGGTCATTTTACTACTGCCTGAACAAAATGATGTGTAATTAATTTGTATAAGATTATGTTTTATTTGTTTCATAAAATGATGTTTTATAACATGATTTTACTAATAATGACCAGTCATTAGCATTTGATCATTATCAAATAATGTGTTAGGCAAGATAAATGCCTGGTCACATGTACACTCTCAACGAATCATTTAATTGCCTTGATGTTACTCTTTAGCTTCACTCATGGGATCGCTGATCTTCGAAATAGTGGAGGGAGAATAAAATGATGATGATGATCCACCTCATCATCTTATAACAGGATTTACAATCAGCTTAGTTTGGTCAATTTGATTCGATAGAGCCTATCTATTCTACATATGTGAAATTACAACTTCGCTGAACTGTCCATCAAAATAACAATAATAATAATAATAATAGTAGCCTAATAGTCCACTCCAAATTTTATTAAACCGAAACGGAAATTCTTTTCAAATCCATTCATTCAGGCAAAGCTTGACCCAATTTACCACTTTCACAATGTCATTACGAAAGTGGTAAATTGGGTCAAGCTTTGCCTGAATGAATGGATTTGAAAAGAATTTCCGTTTCGGTTTAATAAAATTTGGAGTGGACTATTAGGCTATTATTATTATTATTATATGTCACCAAATCTAATGGATACATCTTTGGGAAGTGCCTCAATAAGAATTATTTCTTTCTAGTATGAATAATTGTATTTCAACAGTCAGAATGCAAACGCATAGATCTACATTACTAGGCTAGTAGATTTTTTTGTTGCCATATTATTTGTTTGTAATGTGGAGACTGGAGTAGTAGATCTAGGACAAGTTACATTTTATTATATTAGGGCTACACGCTACATGTCCATGTAGCGTGATTTTGCATTCTGACTATTGAAATACAATTATTCATTACAGTTAAATTAATTATTATTTTCATTGAGGCACTTCAAAAAGAGGTATGGCTCGGATTAAATTTGGTGACATTTCGAAAATGGTACTAGATCTAGCGTCTACATCATTGTGTACATTACTGTAGATACACGTCAGCGCTGCATAGCTCCGCACACAGCACTCACTTCTGTCAAATTCAACCACCTGTTCAAGACATGTTATTAACTAAAAAGTTTTCGTCTGTCATTTACCTCAACATGTACTTTGATTTCAGCAGCCTGAAACTGTAATTGGAAGTGACGACTCATGAACTTGTCCTCGCAATCAAACTGTCATGAACGATTTGTAGCAATTCTACCGGCTTCAACAGCTGTACTCCCTTGTGGAAATATGCACGGTATAACGTACGGAGCGAGATTGAGGGAGTTCCGGTTTACGATGACGTCATTTTCGCTTCGTAATAACACACACACACAAAACCCAATGATCCGCAACCAGAGGAACAAAAGTACAATCTCTTTCTTCCGAGTGCAATTCCGATTTTGTAAGTATAGTAGGCCTTACTCTATCTTTTCATTCCTAATTATAAAGATGCTATTCAAATGTTGTTTATTGTTTTAGTTGTTTAGCTTTCAGGGCATCCAGTGAAAGTCTGTTTCGCAATTTAGAAAATAGGGGGGGGGGGGGAAGAAAAGAAGAAGCCTAAAAGTGGGCGTGGTCCTTTTGGGTATACCTCGGTAAAGGTTATCACAGTTATTGGTTCAGGGTTGGCGGCACCCAACCCAACCCAATCCAACCCTGGTATTGATGGATTTGTATGAAAGCAGATAAATAACAGAAAGAGAATGGCTAAAGTTTTAAATGAATCGGACCAATAATGGACGTAGGCCCTATAGTTTGAAAAATTAGAATTTTAGTCATTTTTTATGTTGGAATAGATGGGGGAAGTAGTCCGGCACTACATCACATTGACATTACCGCTTCAGCCAATTTGAAGTGGCCATACCTATAGTGATTACAACTTTCACGAATTCATAACTTTGATATGATTTGGTCAGATTGCTTCTCTGATTTTCCTGCTTTCTTTTAGAGTAGTTGTCTATTTGGGCAGGATTTCCCTTTAAAATGATGCCGGGGCAATGTATTTATGCAAAACTTGTTTTGTTAGAAAAGTTGTTTGTTGTTACTCCATGCACAAAATATATTTATAGGGCCTATATAACTCTCCTGGCACGGTATGGAAGGCAAATTGCCACGGTCGTACAGGCTTTCGAAAAAAATCAACATAACACAATTTCAAGAGCCTTGTCCACCACCTTTTGAAATTAATTTTGCTAATATTTCGAAAACATGATTCAAGATTCAACATTCAAGATTATTTTGCTTCCCATGGTTTTTTTGACAGTGATATGTCATCCGACCATGATTTCTATAATTATGGGATATGCAATAAGGTACTGAAATTGCCAGGGGTCGAGCTGATTTAACGAGGGTATATGTGATCGTGTGATTATAGGCCTACTTGTATCTGGATAATTTTGTTCAAAAACTTGCAATGAAATATACTGGTTGAGTATAGCCTGTCATGCAGGAGCTCACGTCGATGTGTTCACAAGTTCGGTTTACTCAGCCACTTAGTAAATGTAAATCTTTTAGGAACATGCGCCATGCTAGGAGGGACAAGTGCATGCATGGAGGTGTCGTGGTATAGTGGTTCATTGATCTGACTCTCAATCCAAGGGCTGGTAGTTCGAATCCTAACCCGACTCACATTCATTGACAAGACATTACTCCGTATTTGCTGCTCTTCACCCATGCGTAAATAAGTGTAATTGCTGAGGTAATAACCACAGGAGGAACGAGGCTTCTCTGAGTGAACAAAGTTATTATTATCATTATTGTTATTCTCATTATTATTATTGTCTTTATTATATCATTATTATCATCATCATTTTTAGCATTAGGCCCTAGCTTTTATCATTATTTTAGTTATCATCATCATCATCATCTCCATCGTCATTATTAATTATTATTATCATTATTATTATTATCATTATTAGTATTATTATCATTATTATTATTATTATTATTATATTATATCGGGGTTGGGGTAGAGGGTATAGTTAATTCGTCCAAATATGTTTGAATGTCGGCACTAAAATATCCCTTTACAACTATTACCCTAAATTATGGAGGATTGCTGTAGTCTCAGCAATTCGTTGTGGAGTTTCAGTTGACTTCCATGCATTGACCACCCCTCCCCCCCCCCCTCCCTATAAACCCCGAAGTGGGGTCGACGCCTCCATGCTAGAAAATGGTTTTGGATGAAGATGGAGGTGCGGGTGCAATAATTTCCTTTCTCTACCCCATCTCTCTTCCCTCCCCCCCCCCCCTCCCTCTCTCTCTCTCTCTCTCTCTCTCTTAATCCTCAATCGCACTCTATATCCTTCTCTTTCTTCTTTCTTTCTTTCTCTCTCTCTCCTCTTCCTCTCTCTCTCTCTCTCTCTCTCTCTCTCTTTCTCTTTCGGAGTACATGTGAGATAGGGCACATGCCTTTTGCGTCTATGATTGTATACATGCACTGTGGATAGCCAAACAGAAATTTTGTTTTAGTGTGGGTCTGCAACAGAGAAAATAGACCCGAAGCTGAGATCGGTTGACGTGCCGTTTTACATTATGGATATAGCGCCATCTCTTATAAAAACACATTTTTGTTTGTTTGAGGGGGCGGGGCATTGATCTCTAAGAGGGATGGGTGTGTTCTGCCCCACTGCTCTCGTTTTCGTCGTTTAGTTACAATTTGTTAATAAAATATTGTGATCGCCTCCCTTTCCCTTCTCTCCATTGGCATATACGACGGGCTATATTCGATCTAAGTACCCTATCTTAATAGCTTGCAAATCATAAGAAATGACTCGCGTTCAACTTTACAAGTGCTCTTTTAATGTAGGGATGAGAAACCTGTGGCTAGGATTAATTGTGATGGAATCAGAAGAATCCTTTGCACGCTCAAACTGAGAATCACGAGATAGAAAAAAAAAGAATTAAAAACAACCGAGATAGAGAGAGAGAGAGAGAGAGAGAGAGAGAGAGAGAGAGCAGTGGCAAAATACAGTTTTTTTGTTTTTTTGTTGTTTTTTTTAAATAAAAAAACAATAAGGGCCCCTTCCCCTGGCGCAAGGTAGGGGGGGGGGGGGTGGGTGTTGATTCGGCGCTAAATATTTGCTCACGAATTTCGAAGAAGAACAAATAAGTGCTCCTCCCCCCCCCCCCCCCCCGCTCTTTCGCCGGCAGGCTTATTCGGGCGCTACATATTTTCTCAGGGTGTATATATTAGGGGGTAGTGAGCACATTTTTTTTTTTTTTGATCCTCAAAAAAAATTCAATTTGCACCCCCCCCCCCCCCCCTGGATCCGCCACTGCCCAAGAGTGCAGCGTTCAGACTAATACAAATGCAAAAATCTTCTCGCTCGGTCGCAAACCGCCATCGTATAATATTCTCCAAATTGTACAAGTAAATATTGTAGAAAATCTGTATTACGTTGGTGTCGCGTAAGCACAGATTAAGAGTCGAAATAGATCAGTGCTACAAAAATGAATACTCCGCTTGCTCCATTCAGTATAAGGAATCACTACAACATAGTCACCGTCGCCCCTCTCCTTCGCTATGTTCCCTCGTCTCTCACACTGGCGTGCTGATGCTGGGGAGGGGGGACTTTGGGCTTGCCCCCCATAAAATTCAAACGTTTTTCTCACTTTTTTTTGTAAATTATACTTTTTTATGCGTTTATGGAAAATGACAAAACCCCAAATTTACAGTCAGGCAAAACATTTAATTATTTAAAAGGCTACATGTCAGGGCCCGCAGATCGGCAGGGCTCGTGGGGCTCCAGTCCCCCCCCCCCCCCCCATGGTCCCCTTACTTTTTTTTGAAAAAGTATGTTGAAGAGAAATAGAAAAGAAAGTAGGAAAGAAAGAATGGTGACCGGCTCCGCCCCCTGGACCCCACGCCAATTAGTGACCTACCAGTGTCATTTTTGAGGTATTAATATATGCTCATCTGACAGTAATGTAAATGCATAAAACCCATGAGCTTCCGGGGGCTCCAGCCCTTGACCCCCCCCCCCCCCCCGCGGGCTTTGCCCGTGGACCACACGCAAATTTACGCCCCACTCGCTATACGCGCTACCGGATCATTACTTTAGCCTCCCCATATATGAAAAACGTTCCGCGGGGCATGCAAGTAACATAATAACAGTGGTGGTGATGCAGATTCTTTTTCTTCTGCCCCCCTCCCCTCTCCCATAACGTTTTTGCACATTACGCCACTGGTCTCTCGCTTTTCGTCGCCCCCCCCCCCCCCCCCCCCCGGTCATGAAAAGAAATCGTCGCCCTTGGTATTTCCCATTATCTCAAATAAATTGTAGCCAAAAATACTCTTTTTATTGAAATGTTTTGTTAATAATGATAAGGTTAATCTATGCATCTGCATATTTCATATTTCAACTTTAGCTTCTGCAATTAAAATGATTTGAGAATCCCATTTAACTTTTTTCTAGTCATTCGTAAAGTCATGTATAAATTTACGCACAGCTTTATGAAACATCCCAGGCCAAGGCCGCAGAGATCTATAAATAGATCGACCTCTATGGTCCGCCATGCAGGCACGATCAAACCAATATGCGACAGTACGGAACCGCAAGAGACAAACAATGTTTCATTCATTCAGTACAGGTTTACCTGAACAACAGACTGAATAAAGCTCGTTCAGTACACACACAGTGCATGCAAAGCCAAGCCGATCTACTTGTATCCAACGAAAAGCAAGTAAGATGCTGTTGTTGTTTTTGTTGCTGATCTTGTCGTTGTCATATTATTATAATTATTATTACAATGTGGGCCTATTATTATTGTCAAAACTGGGCTTAAAACTCACCTGATGCTCGATATGCATATTGTTAAATTTATGTTGAATATGTTGAATATTAATTTAAATCATTTGTATGCGACTTGAGCATCTCTAGAGATAGATATGTTGCGCTTTATAAATATTGTTATTATATTATTATTATTATTATTATTATTATTATTATTATTATTATTATTGTTATTATTATAAGTATTAATCTAAAGTTTATTCATTCATTCATTTGATCATAACAAATGCACTACAAACATACGAAACATATGCAGAGAATGTCTTACACGATTTTATGAATCACTGAAATTGTCAAAGTTGAATAGATAATATTATCAAAACAAACTGATCATCTTTACTTCAATTGATTCAAGAAATTATGTGTAGTCCACATGCATGTCGAGGCCTCATAAATAAAAATGAATGAATATAATGGATTGTGAATTTCTTACGTATATTATGACTTTACTATTGATTCAGGATTGAATTATAGAGTTATACTGCTCGCATTGTCATATACCTTGCGTCACAAATCCACCAAAAACTTCACCGTAGGCTAATTAAAGAACGCAATATTGATTTTTGTCAAAAGATGATTAGACTTATCGACCAGTGTTCACATACCTTCGTTTAGCATTCTAAAAGTATATGTAAATTATTATGTACAGGCATGGGTGTCGATCCGGGGGGGGGGGGGGGGATGGGGGATATATATATCCCCCCAATATTTCAGGTGGGGGGGATGGCCTGTACAATCATCCCCCCAATAATTCACCATCAAAAAAAAAATAATAATAATAATGATGAGAGCCCGATGAGAGTAGTTAATGGTTATTACTCGCAAGATGACCATAAATATTCCCATTTGCTATCTCATTTTCATAATACATACATATAAAATAGAAAACGAAGTAAATGAGACGACCGTATATGAAACAAGAATGAATTGAATTCCGTTCATACGGCTTCATCAGGAATTGATGAATTTATTCAATTTATTCAATCAACAGCATCATATAAATGCAGTGCGCCAAATGCAAAGCCGCAGCGTTAAAAAGCAGCGAGTTTAGTAAATGTTAAGCGCGAAGCGCAAAAGTGCAAAAAAAGAAGAAGAGAGTGGGAGAGAGAGATAATGAGAGACAGAGGGGGTACAGGCGCGTAGCCAGGGGGTGGTGGGGTGGTCGCCCCCTCCTCCCCCAAAAAAAGAGAGAGAAAGAAGAAAGAAAGAGGACGTAGGAAGAAAAAGGATTTAGAGTCGAGAACGGTACAACGAATCGTCTTCTTTCTTTAATAATTTAATGAAATGTCAGAGCTTCCGCGCCTCGCGCGGGAGGGGGGAACTGAATTCAGACAAGGATTACGAGTCGAGAATGGTACAACGAATCGTCTTCTTTCTAGAATAATTTGATGAAACGTCAGAGCTTCCGCGCTTCGCGCGGGAAGGGGGGGGGGGAGGAACTGAATTCAGACAAGGATTAAGAGTCGAGAATGATACAACGAATCGTCTTTTTTTTCTAATAATTTAATGAAACATCAAAGCTTCCGCGCTTCGCGCGGAAAGAGGGGAACTAAATTCAGCAAACATTAGTAGTCGAAAATGTTACAAAGAATCGTCTTCTTTCTCTAATAATCTAACGAAACGTCAGAGCTTCCGCGCCTCGCGCGGGAGGGGGAAACTGAATTCAGACAAGGATTAAGAGTCGAGAATGGTACAACGAATCGTCTTCTTTCTTGAATAATTTAATGAAACGTCAGAGCTTCCGCGCTTCGCGCGGGAGGGGGGGGGGGGGGGGACTCCCCTCCCTGCACCAACCCCCTAGGAGGTGCTCACTACCGCCCCCCTGAAATAAAATCCTGCCTATATGCTTGAGAGGATAAAAACCTAGGTAGCAAGCGCATGTGGGACCCACATGGGTCCCATATTCTCTAAAATGTTATGTTTATTGAGGGTGACTTGAAAAAGTTAAAAACTTGGAAGGGAGGGGGTGCAACCTGCCACACGCCTCTACCTCTTGGTTGCTTTGATCCATTGCCGAAAATATTTTGGCAACTATCACCCCCCCCCCCCCAACCGAGGATACAAATCGACACCCTTGTGTACAGGGCAGTTTAGTTGCGGATTGTGGACATATTGATGGCAGCGCTGATCAGGCGCGTACGCAGAAGGGAGGGGGGGGGGGGGGGGGGGGGGGGGGGGGGGGGGGGTCGAACTCATTTTTTTTTAAAGAAAAAAAATTGTGGTAATGGGTGACCCAAAACAGGTGACCTTACGCCTCCCCCCCCCCCCCCAAACGGAACGAAATAACGATCGGCCAAATTTTCAAATTTTCGGGGGAAAAAAAATTTGTTTAAATGTGCTCTTAACCCCCCCCCCCCCCGCTTTTTCAGCGGCTGGCTGAGTCGTTGCGAAATTTTCGGCGCGATTTTTAAATTTTAACCCCCCCCCCCCCTTCAAAAAACTGGTGCTGATTGATGGGCGTATATAAATACCCTCTATACTGGATTTTAGTTATTATGTTCTTGTAGAAGACCAGTTATAGAGCTTGATTGAACTAATACGTTGTAGGGTTTCTGGGGTCAGAGAATCTGGTTATGATGTTCTTTCATCGATTCGAGGTCTCCTTGGGGCTGCCATACTGGTCATATTGGTCAAATTCAAAATGGCCGCCATCTGATAGTTACAGGTCATGTGTAGTTTCGAAATAAACTTTTATCATACTAGCCCATTTCCTTTCGTAACTACACTTGACCTGTAACTCAGATAGCGGCTATTTTGGATTTGACCAATATTACCAGTATGACCCGAGGAGACCTCAAATCGATGAAAGAACATAATAATCAGATTCTCTGACCCCGAAAACCCCATAAATATATAAACTTTTATCATACTGGCGTCCGACAGAAATCGTAAAAGTATGGTTTAATCTACCTCTGGGCCAAATTTGGTGCTTTTAGAAGAATCTGCACCAAACAAAAACAAAATGGTGTGATCACCTTATAAATGAGTAATAATTTAATTTCCATGCATCAGCACGGCTTTGTTGCTGGTCGTGCTGATAAATTTAATATAAATTTATATGCTAGAGACCTACTCGATAATTGGACACAAGTGTTGTACAGGGGTGGCACAATATATGCCATGTAATATATGGACAATATGAAGGCATTCGATATGGTCCCTCACCAATTACGTCTCCTTGTAAAGTTGGAATTCTTTGGTATTTGTGAAAACTTCTTTCATGGTTGAAGTCGGAGGGACTGCGTGCGTGTTCCCAAAATGTCGGTAAAGGTGTACTTTTCTCGCACCAAAGTCCGGCACGTAGTACACAAACATCTGGCCCGTATTGACTTTACACACCGGTGTTTTCAAAAAGGAGGGGACATGCATACGCGTACCCTAAATAACACTGAGGGGGGGGGGGGGGGGTTTGAAGTCTTTTCTAACGGGTAGATCGACGGCATATAAACGTTAGCAGTGTCCCAATATGCAAATTATGCAAGGAAACCCGTTTACTTGCTAGACTTCACTGTCAGACATGCACTATTGAGTGACTGACTGGCCTTTTTCTTCTTTGGTAATAATATACATAAAATGAACTGTAAAGGGTACATGAGCATTTGTCTACATCAATAACCCACTTATTCTAATGGCCAAAATTAAACTGATGAATCTTTGCGCAGCATAAACCGTACGAACATTCGGTACAATGGTCTGAAAATCAGACTATTACTTACTGGCTCTATAGCTTAATAAGTCGATTTGACAACTAATAGTCGTTATTTTCCCACTTAAGGACATTTTCAAGCCCCCCCCCCCTTTTTTTTTTTAGGGAAGCTCTAAATTAGTATTATCTTTCAAATGCCGTTGGAATTTAATCTTTTCATTTTTTTTTTGGCCTGCAAATGGGACATAGTACCTTTAAGGGCATTCTCAATTACCAATTGTACAGTGCCTACAACCAGGGGCGGATCCAGCCGGCGGCAGGGGAGGGGGCCCAATTCGTGAGAAAATACTTAGCGGCGAAACAGCTAGCCGGTGAATAATTTTGCCCCTCAAAATATTAAAGATCGCACCCCCCCCCCCCCCCTCTTGAGCACCAGGGGAGTGGGCCAGTCTTCAAATAAAGGTAAAATTCACGTGTTTTTACCCCTTTTTTCCCGGGCCCCCTCCCTGCATGGATCCGCCACTGCCTACAACAAAAAGGATTACCCAACTTTGGTAGCTTCTAATTCAAAATATATGACCTACGTGACCTTGAATCATATTTCATGGTAAAGGGTCACTATAAAACCCTGTCTAATTATATACCATTTTCATTATTGTGCTTCTCCGGATCACTGAGCAGGATGCTTTTCAAAAAGTATGGTCAAAATCCTCTTTAACCAAGTTTGGGCTGAAGCAATGAATGTGGATCCAAAGCCTTAATGTTTGTGTTATCTCATTCCAAAAATAATTGCTCACTTATTTACATGGATTTTAGGCACTTTAAAGGAAAAGGTATATAAATATCAACTCAAACCCAAAGAAATGCTTATTATAAGCAGAATTTATGATTTGTTTTTCTTTGTTATGACGATTACAATCTTGAATTCGTTCGCATCCCTTGTTTAAGGTAACCCTTCTCATTGAGTGATACAAATTGGATAACATTTATTTGGGATGTTATCTTTTTTTTAAATGAAAGTCTACATTCAATTTCTTTGATACTTATCATCATAATGTTCTTTTGTGCAATTGGTTTATTAACCTTATGCTCATTGCGCGTGTGAAATGGTACAGCGGCCAAGTGAGCAGAGAAAACTCAAGTGAGCAGAGAAAGAAAGATATAATGAGACGAGGAGATAGGAGGCTGTTCGAAATAATTAAAGGTTATCCTATGAATTAAAACAAGCTTCTGCGAAAGCATAGTTACATTGCATCATTTTTTCTATACAATAAAGCAATAAAGAACGAGGCAAAATTTAACTTTTAAAAAGATTTAAGACCTAATAAGCACACGTATGCATTAGTAGCCTGACCCACATTCGTTCCATCAGCCCAAACTTGGAACACTCTTAAAGACTCTGGTGCTCAGTCACCCGTGACAGAAGAATTATGACAAGGGTGTTATTAGTCTTAATCATGAAATATATTGCAATGTCATATTGGTTATGAATTTTAATTAGGAGCTACCAAGATTGGGTACACTTTTTTATACGCACTTTATACTGTACTGCTAGCCCCTTTGAGACCAGGCGCGTATACAGGGGGGGGGGGGGGGGGGGGGGGGGGGGGGGGGGGGTAAGAGGACACTTTTTTTGGGGGGTCTCGAAATTTGAAAATTTGACATTTGGCTCCGTTGGGGGGGGGGGGGGGTAAGGTCACCTTTTAAGGTCAGCCATTAGTTGTGAAATTATACTTTTGTGATCTCTTTATTTAATACAGAGCCTGTATTAGGCTAGCCCCCCATGTCAATTTCACAATGTGCCCTAGCTGTTAAGATCCTATCATGTTAAAAAAAAAAAAAAAAAAAAAAAATCCAAAGGGGGGGGGGGGGGGGGGGGTTAGAGGGGTGATGGGGGGGGGGGGGAGTTTACACACATAAAAATACCTGTATACGCGCCTGGTCTCAAAGGGGGTGACCAAAATATGCAATCGTGCAGGGTACCAATCTCATATCAAACGTTTCGTTCTGGTTTCTTAATCTTGTGGAGTTTTCGCTCGTCCCCCTCTACTTTATTCCTCAACCGTCTTCTTTCTCGTGTACACCTACGCATGCTCATATTTCGATTGCACCATTTTTCTTTGTCCAGTTTCACTTCCATCACTAGTCATGCCACTATTTACCTCTGTCATCGGTGCTTACCCGAAACCAGACTATTTCAAAATCCCATCATTTTTCGATAACCCGAAGTACATTCCCACTGACCACAGACAGTTCTTCAGCAAACTTTAATCAAGAAGGTAAGAATTCATCCATACCCCATACATTTTTTGTTTGTTTGGTTGTTTGTTTGGTTGTTTGTTTGTTTATTTGTTTGCTTGTTTGTTTCCTTATTCGTGTAGGCTTTCAAACTTATTTCCCCAAAACGTTGCAGGAGGTTTACCAGTTATAGCAACGCAAGCATTGACTGACCTCCGCCATGCCTTTAAGCATGGACCTATTACGGATGGACATTCAACGTGATTCTTTCTTTGATCCAATGATAGTCGCCGCCCTCTGATTATGTGCATCTTAATGAGAACATTCAGCTGTTTTAACAATAGCGACTGCGTAAGCATTTTCGGTCATTGACAAAGGAGCAGTTTCTCTCTCTTGGGTTTTGTTTGGATGGTGTGCTCTGTAAGGGTGTGAAAGCATCCCCAATGGGGAGCAGCAAAGTTGAAAAGCAGACGATTTTGGTGATATGAAATGTATTATTACAGATTCGCAAACTTTCGCACACACCCATGACCTTATCAAACAGGTAGAAGGCCATAATCTTTATAAGCCCTGCGCTTTGTAACTCTGGAATATTATGAGGAAATAGAGGGAAACGTGATTTTAAATCACAACCAATCGAAATATAACCTCTATCTGGCGCTATCTGGTTATATCAACATGTTTTTCAAAATAAAATACAGTACACGGAACAACAATTTCCGATTATAAGCCAGAACTGCACATCGATTTTCCATGATTTAGGCGAGTAATTATCTTCTGCGCATGTAGATTAACATGTGTAAAACCACTATCTTGATTCTGTCCCGGCTCTTTGCCGGCGACCATCATGAGACCAAAGTGAAGAAACGTGTACGGAATGTTATTGAGACGACATTGACGCAGGCAATCACAATGAATTCGTTAAGGAAACGATGAATGTCCATCCGTAATAGGTCCATGCTTTAAGGACAACCTTGATCGGGAGTAACCGGAAACCACCGTACTGCAAAGTCCCGACCTGAAGTACCGACAAGACAGCTAGAGCCGTCAGATTAAAAAAAGTTCGCGAAGGGTACATCTCCAGAATGTAGGGCAAATTACAGATCGGAGTCGGGACGACTACCCCCCCCCCCCCCCCCCCCCCATGAGCTAAGACATCCGCAGGTGCATCAACCTATGCAGAACAATCATTCATAGATCACCACACAGGTCCAATGACCACCTCTACTGCTACCACAATGACCACTTGGATAACCACACCCCAAGGACAATATTGCAAGGAAGCCGTGGTACCAGTATGGGTTGGTCAAGTTGGAATGGTCTGTACTCTCGTTGCAGAAGGTCTACGAGACCGTAAGTTTAACCGAATATTTTACGAGACTGGATGTTTCTTGAACAAGACATCTTCTTTGGGAGGGGAATGGGGTGGCTCTCAGTCTCGTGGACCTTCTTAAAACTACCCTGCTGAAATTTTCGCAATTTTAAAGTCCATGAGACCGAGCGTGGTACGATCGAGAGCTAATTTGTCCGTCTGGTTGCTCTTGGTTTAGTTGACCAGTCGGTTTTATAAGTCCTCGACTATAAGGCTGTTTGACTTCACGGAGGCTTTCATTCATACTTATTTCTCAAAAATCTTACAGTATAGGTTGACGGCTAAATCACCCAAAGTGTAAAGTAACCTTCAGCATGCCTCTGAGGACAACAGTAATTGGTAGTTACCCCAAATCTGCCTGCTGCAATATCCCAGACTGGTTCACCAACCAAGCAGATTATAATCCGGCAGATTTCAACAAATTTGTGAAGGGTGTAGCACCAGAAGGTACGAAAAGAACGGTTTGTTCCACTGGACAACCATCCGTCCGATGTTACCTCCCTCGGTGCAATGCGACCTGGACAACCTTTCCTTTGGAATCACCCCCAGCCTGTGATATAACACTGGCCAACCCAGTGGCGAATCCAGGGGGGGGGGCACCGGGTGGCCCGGCCCCCCGGTGTAAAAACACGTTAATTTTACCTTTTTTTTGGAGATGGCCCTCCCTGGCGTTCAAGGGGGGGGGGGACCCCCCCCCCCCCAAAAAAAAAAGTGCTCACTACCCCCCTCCTAAACAAATCCTGGATCCGCGCCTGGGCTAACCACACAGGACAATAGCCACTTGGAAAACAACATCCTAAGACAATTAATTGAGAGAAAATCCTAAAAAGAAATAACTATCCTAAATGGTTATCTATCAATTGGATTAGATCTGGTTGATCAGATTACTTTTATCCGACTGCTGATCTTGGTAAATATTCAAAGGAGTAATATTCCAGGGGTTTCCTAGGATGTCTGGTCATATATATTTTGTGTCCGTATTCACCAGGGATAGTTGTCCGGATGGTTGGGCTAGTCCAGGGGACAGAATTTACAAATTTCTTGCGTAGCTTGTAAATACAATTTAGTAGTATAACAATGTGCGGTTATATTATGTTTGACAGTTGGAGATTTGTTAGGGTTGTAGTTGCCACGGAAAATACAATTCTGTACAATAAATAAAAAATAAAAGTCTGTAAATTAACAAGACAAAAAACATCAGTTAGAATGAGTGGAAATGGTAAGAATAAAATGACATGAATGTTGATATTGAGAATACATTCAGCAATGTGAAAGAAATAGTACAGTGAGGTAAGTGCAATTTCCCGTCGTACTATAAAAAAGAGGCAGGAGACGTTTAAATTAAGATAGAAGGTACTGAATATAATCATAATGGATGAAAAGGGAAAAAGAGGCAGAGCATAAAACAAAACAAGCTGACCGCAAAAGAAAACGGATAGACCTTAAATGAGTAGACAGAAAAAGCATGTTTAATTACAAATTGTTTTATTTTATTTGTAAAGGTTTTTCTAAAATATCAATATTACTGCAGAAGTTCCATTATATTATAGTCTTCTACTTTCGTATGATGTTTTGAAGCTTAGGGTATAAGATCAGGTTAAGAGAGTCATGCAAGGGCGTCATCTGATGCACAATGGAGTTCATTATAAGTAATGCCTGTACATCTTTTTCATCATATCTAGACTACGAAGCGCTGGTCGACAAGGCCGTCAAAGAAACGTTGAAAGAACAAACATCATTGGGTATCGATGTCGTGACTGACGGCGAGATTCGACGCGGCAATTATATCAATCATCTCTGGTAAGATCAAACGAGATCAATATTATAATGATGATAATAATACTATAAGTTGGTATTCGGCCTTTAAAAAAGATGCTTTATTGCCTTTTGCGACCGACCCCAAAATCTTGAAATCTACGGTCGGCTTTTTTTTGTTTTTTCTTGTACCGTTTTTAAGAAGAAAAAAATGTATTAAAGCATTCAAAACTGAGAAATATCAGCCCAAAGAGGGAGTATAAAGTATATAAAAAAAGTATTTAAAAAAAATTACGACCGACCGACCCATGTTTTAACACCTAAAGGGCAAATACAACAACTTTTTAAAGGCCTTATGTACCTACCCTAGGCAGCCACATCAGCATAAATACTGCTCCTCCTACGGGCCCTGAAATTATTATAACCCCAGGTAATGCTAGGAACCTATTTACACCTGGGTTGAGAGTGGCAGATGTAGATTTAACATCCTGCCAAAGACAGGAGTGCCAGGCTGAGATTTGAACCCTCAACCCTAGGATTTAGAGTCAAGTGAAAGAAACAATATACCACACCGGCACACCTCCAACTCAAATGAGATGGATTTTATATTGTTCATACCTCAGTCGGTCGTTTAAATACAACTACTGAATGTGATTCTTCCAATCTTTTATAATATCTTTTGAAGTTTTTGTTCTGTCATTCTGTTTTCAGTCTGTCGTGTTATTAATCTACCTTTCTTTCACTATTGTCCTCCACCGCCCACCCCCCTCATTTCTTTTCCATCTCTCTCTCTCTTTTCCTCTACCTCTTTCTCTACCATCTTATGTAGTCGGCATTTAGAAGGCTTTGACTTCGAGAACTTAACGAGAAAATCATGTCGGAACGGGGCTTGGGTCTCCGAGGTACCTACTATCCGAGGAAAGATGAGTAAGTAAATTAAGTTAAGTAAGTAAGCTAACATTCTCAAGCAGTAACGGTTCTAGAGGGGGCTCGGGGAGCTCTCAAGCCCCCCCCCCCCCAAGAAAAAAAAAAGATAATAATGACAATGATTTAAAAAATGAATAACTATTATTTTTCAATTGAAAATGAATTGATTAATTTAAAACACTTTAAGATTTCCCCCCTATTTTTGTCCAATTATGAATAATTTAAAACAAAGCACATGTAGAAAATGAATGCAATAAACCCAATGCAAGCATGGTTAATATTGTACTGATATACATTATCCCTTTCGCACAGTCACCATTGTCATTGGAAGTTAAAGCTAAGGTTAAAGTCCATGCAAGCAATTTATTATTGTTCTGATTTCACGCCACAAAACAGAGGAAGGTTTTTGCATTCATTGTGTTTTGAAACGGAACGGAAAGAAAATGATAAGTGTTACCCCAACATAATTCCAAATCTTATATTTTACTGATATACAATATCTCTTTCGCACAGTCACCATTGTCCTTGGAAGTGAAAGATAAGGTTAAAGTCCAGGTTAAGGTAAAACATAATTTGTGCAGAATTTCCGTTCATTTGCAGATCTTGTATTGTCATTCGTATAATATTTATACTTCGTTTGCACATTCACCGTAGTCTTTGGAAGTTAAAGATAATGTTAAAGTTCGGTTTAATTAAGGTGAAAATGCTTTTTGCAGAGCTTCCTTGCGCTTTTTATGTTATTTTTAAGAGAATATCACAAAAGAAATGTCCCCTGAGAAGGATTGCTCTTCAGCTATAGCTGCTCTCATATTCGACTCATGAAAATAAATTAACAGATAAAGGCTGAGACCAAAGCTCATGCCACACGTGTAAGCCATTTTAGTACATGTCAGTTTCAGGAAGACTAAGTAACTTTCTAATTTGGTAGTTTTAAAACCCCCGCCCCCCATATGGAAACGTTTGCTTGTATTTGTCTCATAAAAGAATATGAGCACGAACTGACTCCCACACGGTGTTGAGTGCTCAGGGGTCACAGGCCAATGGCTTCATCGGGCAGGTAGTTCCATTATGTGAATGGGTAAATTAACTATTACAAAATGAGGGGACACATTACATTGTACAATAGGGACACACATTGTTTTTATTGTGCAGAACATACTCGTTTATTGACTTACTTATTGCATGAAACTGTATAACCAAAATGCATTTTGTATTCTAACAATTGGAGTACAAAGAATAATAAAAGGTGAATGAAATGCATAAACACCACAAACACCTGGGGAGGAAGCATTCATAAATTGAATACATATATATGATAAACGACTCCGATGAAACTATAAAACCAAAATGAAATTTGCGTTCTGGCAATTGGAGTACAAAGAATGATAGCAGATGAATGAAATGCTTCAACAGCAACACAAACACCTGGGAAGCTAGGAAGCATCCATAAATTTGAATAATTTAGTTGATAAACGACCCCGCATGTGGACGTTTGTTGGAGCAGAAAGCAGTGGATTCTTAACAACACAAACCCATTTAACATAATGTCGGAACGTAAATTAAATTTGGCGCGGTTGGAAAATGCATCTTTCTACCCTGCAACTTTAATTGTACGATCCAGTAAATTAAAACAATAAAATGGCTCTTATTTTAAAATTACTCATTAAATGAAACCCAAAACTTCAGTGATATCAGAAAAAATATGTTATATCTTACTAATAATTAAAAAAAGATGTATAAACATTGTGAAAGTGTCGCATTTTACGATAAAAGACACCGATTTAGCAAAGATCACGTCATTAGTGCGCTTGCATCAGGGAATTCAAGGTCAAAAGGTCAATTCAGACGCTGATGAGTTGTTGGTCGAGCATTTTTGTTTCCTTTATTCCGACAAAATTATACAATCAATCAAAATAAGTTTGATACCAGAAGAAAGCTAACGATTAGTATTTCATTAACCGCTTGCCCCAAAGTCTCTTGACCACAGTGAAACGAGTGAGAGCTTGCGAGATCGGCCAAAGTGTGATTGAAACTCGCTATTTGCTCTTCTCCAACGCAAAAAGAGACGACATTGTGCTGGATAAATGTATTTTTCCGACAAAAGTACAGAAAATTTGCATATGGTCTTTTTATATTATACTTTATGAAATGTTACCCGAGTGACTTCCGGGCGCCCCAAAGCTGGAAAGAAACGCACATTTTAGAAAACTTCACTTTTCATGGAAAAATGCTTATTTGTTCTATGCACGCAAGTCAGATTGAGCGGATGATACAACGTTTCCATATGCCCCCCCCCCCCCCACCACCACACTCAGTGTTATTTAGGGTACGCATATGCGTGTTCCCTTCTTTTGAAAACACCCCCTAAGTCCGGTTTGTAAAGTCAATTTTGTGTATGTGCGAGCCGGACTTTGGTGCGTGAAAAGTACCCCTTTACCGTACATTTTGGTAACACGCATGCGGTAATTCCGACCCCGGAGTGGGGGGGGGGGGGGGGGGGGGGGAGTCAAAACCTCAGTGACAGCCACAGTATACATCAATTCCTATAGCAGGCCTCCACTAGCTACATAAACACCGGCATAAACAATATTTGCCAGTGGCGTCCAGGCAGTATGTAACTCCATGACCAAAGTTCATATTTTAAAGGGAAAACTACTCTTGAAGAGAGCCTGCAGAAAATCAGAGCAGTAGACTTGAAAGTTTGAACGAAATCGGACAAATGAGAAAGTTATAACTTTCTGAAAGTCAATCACTAAAAGTATGGAATCTTTAAATTGGCTGAATCATTAATGTCTATGTGATGTAGTAGCGGACAACTTTCCCAACTGTTCCAACACACAACATGTAGGGGAAAATATCAATTTGTCAAAAACGTATGACTCAGAAAGCCTATTCTCTTTGGAGGACCGCCTATAATGATAAACTTACCATGATATATGTTGACTAATGCCCCAAGGGAGAAGGCACTTTTGTTATAACTTTCATACAAACGAGCTTATTACAAAGGATGGATTGCTCTTTAACTCCAGACATTTATCTGATTAGGGCCAAACAAATTTTACTCAGATTGATCACGAGTTCAACAATCAGGGCATATAAACCGAACCTTTGAACCTCTGCACAATGCAACCGGAGTCTTGTAGTACCTCAGTCATTAGCGTAGCGTAGGACTGCCGATTAATGGGGGGGGGGGGCACCGTTCCTACTCTTACTCCGAAAATTTACAAAGCTATACTGATTGGGAGAGGGTGCAAGAATGGTCCAGACGTTTACTTTTCTTGTCATTTGCAGTTTTCTCTCCCAGCTCTCTCTTTACTTCTTCTCCTATCAATGTGGATGAGGCACAAGCTGGTAGTCATTCTGCCGTGTACTATTGTCCCCCCCCCCCCCCCCCCCGTACCCCTTCAAGCTACCACAGACCCAAGTTACACTACCAAATCGATTCCCTTCCGACCAATGTTTTAGCCGTTAAGGGTAGTTTAATATTTCGCTCGGCGCTCGGCCTTTTGTCGGTCTGGTGTCGATCGGTATCGTTGGTGTAACCGGGTATAAAGTCGAAAAGAAAACATGAAGAATCTTTTGAAAACAGGAAAACCGTTCACACTGCGCTGCTGGTCTACCTTCTTGTTTATGTTTTTACGGCGCAAATTTGTATCTTGATATTAGTGTGGTTTGACTACACGATTGAATACATTAATTTTCCTATTAAAGAGAATAAACAATTTGTTCAAACGATTACATAATACATTCAAATTAACGAAAAAGAAGAACATAAATTCTGATTTTAAACCATTGAAAACGATGATGGACATTGATAGCCAACTGATATGCGCCGTTGGTGAAATAAAGGAAACATATAAGTAACACACCTATGCATAAATACGTGGTTATCATCTATTCTTTACTATATTTTCATTTGTTAATGTATTTTCTATTTCAATCGAAAATTCTATTCACATATTTCTTGTAAATGATCAAGGATAATTCTTGAATAATCATGATTTCATGAGGATACCAATTAACTTGTAATTATTTTACCTGTTTATATGCTTGTGTATTTATCTATTTTGTTTTTGCTGCTGTTATTTGTTTTATTCTTACCGAACAGGGCCTCATAGAATACCACCAATTCGGTGATATGTGCCAGCCTGTATAAATATCAGAAATAAATAAATAAAACAGATAAATAGATTTCCATGGAATATGCTCGTTAAATTGATGTGCAAATATCCCCCATTCTCTCGTTTTCTCTTTAGGGATACCTGATGAAATGGACTGGATAGCTGAGGAATGGCGATCAGCTCAGGTAAATCGTGAAGAACAAAAAAGTGAATCAATCAAATAAGCACTGGGGGAAATGCTATTATAAACTTTACTTTGAGAAAGAAAAAAAAAAAGGATAATCAAAAGAGCCCAATATCACTTTGCCATAGAAGTTCAGGTTATTGTAAATGTGTAAATTGAATAGGATTTTCATCCTCGAATTGGCAACAATTATATGTTTATCCATTCTTTCAAGATGAGCGAGTGTGAATGAAAAATTACCAAACAAACAAGAAAATAGCCTGTTTTTACTCAAAAAATATTGATTTCACTCTGCCAATAATTATTTATTTCATGATACACAATGCCTTGCTTGCATTGCTTATGCATCTGAGTTCTCCCTCTATCTCTCTCTTTCTCCCCCCCCCCCCCCCTCTCCTTCGCAAACACAATTTCTTTTCCTTTTGTTGGCAGAACAATTGTGACAAGCCGGTCAAGGTCACCGTTCCCGGTCCCATGACTATTATCGGGTCAACAGCCAGTAAGTCTACTTCCGGTAACATGTCTACTTCCGATAACATGTCTACTTCCGATAACATGTCTACTTCCGGTAACATGTCTACTTCCGATAACATGTCTACTTCCGGTAACATGTCTACTTCCGGTAACATGTCTACTTCCGGTAACATGTCTACCGGTAACGTTTTTATCAAAGGTTGCCTGACGGAGGAAAATAAGCTATTTTCTGTATAGTCGCTGAGAATGAATTATAATTATAAAATATAAAAGGCCTTATATTAATAATATGTATCATTTCTAATTTATTGCTGTCGTTGTTGGAAGGAACTATGAATATTGTGTGTTCAAAGATCGAGTAAGCCGAGTCAAAATTTATTTAAACTACAATATACACATCTTTGTTATTGAATTCAGGCTATTCCAAAGGTAGTTGAACTTATAATTTATATTAATATTAATAGAGACGGTAATAACGTTTATAAACAACACTATTAACAATATAAACAACCAAAATACTACTACTACTACTACTACTACTACTACTACTATTAAATGATAATAATAATCATTATCTTTATCATAATCATCAAGATATTTAACCAATATAACACGAACATGAATAATAGGCCTAATTATCTCTAGAGAAACTTCGAAATGTCCGGAATTAGTATCCCTATTAATTCATTTTCGAAATTATGAACCCCTATGGTTTGAGAACTTCGTGTTTCGGATTTTTGAACGTTTGGAAAATGAGTGCTCCCTTCTGGCAGAAGAGGGAGTGGCTCAAGTCTGACAATTATCTCAGAGGAAGACATTGCCCTCCATGAATTTCTATTGTTTATTATTACCGTAGTTTCAATGGTTAAATTAAGTGTATCAAATATATTGGGTCACTCTATTTGTTTGTCATGGTTGTTGCAAACGCAGCAATCGTTTGTATAAATGCCGAACATATTTTATTATCAAATTAATTGGATGATCTTTCTTTATTCCAGATGTTTTCTACGACGACGTGAAAGAGCTCAGCTCTGACTTGGTCAAGGTTGTCAATGCACACATAAAACATTTAGTAAAAGCAGGTAAGAATAATTTGGCGATTATGTTGGGGTTTTGTTTTTTAGGGAGGGGGGGGGGGGGGTAGGGCCCGGCCTGGTGGGTGGCGATTAAGACAGTTAATTGAAGAAGTTTACAAGCAGTCTTTCATGAATCTTATTCGACTTAAAGATAAAGGTGAGTTCTGGTAATGCGATTGCATTGTGAAAGAAAAGGTGTAGAATGGATCAGAAACAGTTGATCATGTAGCATGCAAGTATTGGTGTGTACTGCAAGGTTCTGGAGTCATCAAAATCATAATAAATTGGACCGAGTCTTGGTAAAGTAACAAGCACTGTACACAGAAAGCTATATATGGGACAACACACAGGGTGTCGGGGCTAGTACTACCTTGATTTCCTTGTCTTTCTATGCTCAGTATACTCGGCCAGTATACATTTTCTTCCAAAATTGTTTGGCACATTTCATTTATTTGTAATCTTGAACATTCAGTGTAAGTTTCGTTTGATTCTGTGAGAATTTGTTTTAATATTTTTGTTTACCAGACCTGGGCCCCATCTTACAAAGAGTTACGATCGATCCAAATCAATCGTAAGTTCTCCAATCAATCGCAAGTTTGCAGTCTCCTATCTCTTATGTACATAGTTACGATTGATATCAATCGCAAATAAGTTACGATTGATATCAACTCTTTGTAAGACGGGGCCCTGGAGTTTATCTTAAATATGTTGAATAATATAATAAAAGACCCATTTTCATGATGGTTAGTGCTATTTGATATTAAATAGGGGCCGAGCCTAACAGCTTGGGAATGAGAAGTTGTTAAATGTGAATTTAAATGAATCAATGAATAAATCAGTGAATCAAACGATCAATGAATCAATTTCTTGTATGCCCTCCCTCTCTCTTTCTCTTTGCTCATTCCTCCCTTCTATCTTGTTCTCGTTGATGATGTTATCAATTTGTGAAACGTTCATTGAACACGATCGAAACTGCTTTCGAAAAATACCTAAAACAATTTAAATAGCCTTGTGCGTCACCTACTGAATATCGACTGTGCGAACATGACATTAGGGACGTTTAGATTTGCACAACGACAACGTGGATTGCTACGATCGACGTCCTTTTAATGCACTGCCTTAAATGGACGTCACACGTATCAGTCCACGCAAATCTAAAAGTCCCTAATGATGCGCTGTTACGAGACCCGAAGAGGATTTGTATTAGACATTATTAAAATTATTGAAATTTTCCTGGCGAGGATTTTTCAAAAATAGTTGCGATCATGTTCAATCAATCAATTCCTTCTTTCCATATGCATCCCTCTCTCCACTCTCTCTCTCTCTCTCTCTCTCTCTCCCCCTCTCTATATCTCCCTCTTTCTCTCTCTCACCGTCTCTCTCTCTCTCTCCGTTCCTTCCTCCTCAGGATGCCGTCATATCCAGTTGGACGAGCCGGTCATGGTTCGAGACCCCGACGTCGCGCTCGACTACGGCATCGACCATGCGTCACAATGCTTTGACGGTGTCGGCACAGACGTCACCAAAACCGTCCATCTTTGCTGTGGCTATCCACTTTATCTGGTGAGTCGATTGGTTCACACGACAGCCCAATCAATTTAAGTTTAGGTCATGGTTTTCAACTTAGGTCGTAGATAAGGACCGTGTGGACGCACTCGGGGATACGAAGTTTGAAGGTTATTGTCGAAGTTATAAACAAAAGCATACTTGGCAGCGGGGTCCTCACAACATAATTTGCGGACTGAATAATTAACTTCGATGTTACGCTAACATGTAGGTAAAATGATTTTTTTTTCCCGGCTTGTCTTCTGAAACTTTGAATACTCAAATGATTGTTCCGTGTGAACCCTTTAATAGTGTTTTGCTTAGATGACGTTTCTCCCATCGGGCTGTGGGGGGGGGGGGGGGTGCTCCCAATGTTAAATCTACTAGGGAATCTTGCGTAAAAGGTGTATCCTGGGACCGTTTCACAAAACTTGTCATCAGTGACGAATGACAGTCGTTGTTATAAGCTACTGAAATCCTTGCTTCTGATTGATTATCAGTAGATTTGTCACTGATTTTTGGCAGTTGTCATTGAAAGAAGGCTTTGTGAAATGGGTCCCAGGGCCCTGTAACATCATGTAAAATCAATTTACAATCAACTGTACAAATCTGTTGTATGTCCAATTATTTTTTGGGATAACATTGGTATTGGATTGTTAATTTTTTGTTTTGTTTCCTTCATAGGATCAAACTGATTACCCTAAAGCCGACAAAGATGCCTACTTTGTGGTCGCAGATAAATTAGACCAGGCAGGATTCGACGAGAGTAAGTTTCCAAAAGTTTAATCATTTCAAAGAAATATAGAAAAATCGTGATCATTCCTACTTTATTCTTAGTTCACGTGAATGGTTATCTTTGTTATGTGCAGCATGTTTAATGTTAAACATGTTTTTTAAAGTTTTTTTTTAGTGCAATGATGACAATGGAATCGATGTTCTTATCAGTGTAGAGGCTCTCCGCAAAAAGAAACGTGATATTTCCATATAATTTCGTATTATTATTTCGTCGCCGCACGTAAGCCCATTTATAAACCATCACACCGACAAGACCGTCGCAATATAGACAACCTATTGAACGAAGAATGACGGCGTTTCCCAGAATGGCCTAGAACAGATCGCTTTGGTGTCGTTTTGGCATAGACAGAGATATTTCAGGATATTTTAGAATTGCATACCATAGAGCTCCGTGAACATGCGTAGGACTTTTGTTGAGTGCAGTTATCATTCATTTTACAAGTTAAAAACCCGCGGCGGTTTTTCTTCTTCTTCGAACTTTGGACGGGTGGGTGGGAGGGGTTTACCTTGTTATATCTGAGCAAAACTTAAGACATACATAGCTCTTCAAGCTAAAAACATTTTTTTAAAATACATTTTACTACAATTTAACAGTTTCTCTTGAAGACGCACATCGCCGGAACGACCTATCCCTATTCGATCACTTTAAGAAGACCAAGGTCATCCTCGGTTCCGTAGCCGTCGCCCGAAGTCGTGTCGAGACCGTGGAAGAGATACGATCACGACTACGGGATGTCCTGAAGCATCTACCGGCCGCTGATCATCTTATCGTGGCACCGGACTGCGGTCTGGGTTTCCTACCCAAGGACATTCTCCGAGCAAAGCTTGCCAACATGGTGGAGGCAGCCCAGTCTTTGCCGTAGAGTTTATACGTGTTACCATAGTGCAATGATAAGTTCTTGGTTAGGTCGAAGTTATGATTCATTTTAGGTCATATAATAACACCAAATCTAATGCAAGGTATCATAGGAACACTGGAGATAAAACTAATTCTCAAGTGATTTCCAAACATAATATGATAATAATATGTAATTACTGTACAAAACAAAAGAGGAACAAAGATATCCTCGGGATTTATAACATTTGTCAAAACTGGTCGCCCCATTTTTTAAAATTTGCTATTAAACACACTGATAATGATGATGAGTGATGATGCTGGTGATGATGATGGTGATGATATTGATAACTGGGTTGTAGCACCTTTTCCAAGCCATGTGCAAGATGCTGATCCTTGAGACTCGATGAAAATGCATGTTTTTTTTAATGAATAAATGTTCTTAAGATTGGAAATATTTTCTGAGTGCTTTCTTCATTAAAAAACAAATCCTTTGAATCAGGTTACAAAAAGTCCCGTGCTCTTATGTACGAGGTATAGATGGATGAACTTTTGAAAGAATAAATCCGACGATGCCAAAATAAACTGCTTATAATCCTTGAGATCTGTGAATGTATGGGAATCGTCTGAAATTGGCAAGTTTGTCGTGATATTTTCTCTAAACGCTCCACCTCACCTACCCAAGGTGTATTTGGAACAGCGTTTTGCTCAATCACTATAAAATGTCCTTCAAATGAATTTAAAGTTTGCTGGATATTGTAACTGTAAAAATGTAACTTCAGTTATTTTGGGCAAATAATCTGGTTGGAGAGTGGTCCTACATTCATGGTCGTCGGCACGACAAACTTATCGATTTCAGATATACTTGTAATTAATAATTTCAACTTAGAATTGGTCACTGTCAATTTGTCTGATTTTGTAAAATTTTCACCGTCCTCATTGCTTGATCTATTAAAATGAGCTTCCTATTTAGGTCAAGTTGCCTTAATTATTATTGTTCTATTTAAAGTTCAGCACGACCGATAGAGACTCGTTTTTAATAATTACGAAAGTGAGATTCACACAACATTTCTGTATCTTATAAACACAGAGCTTAGTGAATACTCGTAAGACCTGTGTTGCGAACAGTGGCTATTTTTGTATACGTTTAAGTTTTTTGTTTTTTTTTAAGGAAAAAGAAGCTGCGGTTTACCTTTTCATATCTGAGATCGTTAAACGTTAAAAGCAGGAACAGAAAAGCAAGTGTCCAGGAAAGGGGGGGGGGGGGCGCGTTTCGTCAATATTTGACGACCGACCATTGTCAACGCTGACTAAATTTGACTAATCAGAGGCCTGGAAAATAGTCGGTGACAATGAAATTGTTGGTGAAAGTGATATTAGTCGGTGAAAACCACCGACTAATTGTTTCATGAAACGCCCCCCCCCCCATGGCAACACTTGCTTGAGGAGAAAGAAGAACAACGGCCAATCGTGAATACAAAATGGAAAATGTAGAGTTGGAGATTTCTAAGCAGAACTAGTAGGAAATGAACACAATTTTTGAAAACAATGTGCATGTTCAACAAACTTTATTCTTCAATAAAATAAAACAAAACTATGGCTTGACAGGCACAAAATAATTATCTGTAAGGATATTAATGAGAAATTGAGATGAATGAGAATAATAATAAGAATGATAATAAGATAAAACTGCTATCAAATCGGCAAATGAATATGAGTATAAAGGTGCTGCAGACCGGGAAAAAATGCCGTTTCATTATACCCATTTTGGGATCTGCAACGATTTCGAACTGGCATGCATGGGATTTTATCATTGTAGTAAGTCCATGCTTTTTTTATTCAGGGAATTAATTTGACCTTTTCGTCTTCCTTGATGTTTGTGAAACAGGAAAATATGGAGCCTTACAGCAATAGATACAAAAGCATGAACACAAATTGAGCCCCTTGATGGGTAAATAACTCTCAGTCGAAAACGTGCCTTTCGGTCGACCCAGGCTGATACGAATAATCATATTAGTTGGAAAATTCTCTGTAATTCAAGTTCAAATGAACTTGTAATTTATTACCCCACATATAGAAAGTCTGATTTTCTACTCAGTCAATTTCTAGCAAGACGAGTGAACTCTTGCATTGGGCTCCACAGACATCGCCGGCCTCCTCCCCACCTTCGTCTTCCTTGCCCACTACCTGTAACTTGCGCTCCAGGTCGGCGTATTCAGAGTCCATCTTTTCGAAACGTTCCTCGATGTTCGTGTTGACCGAGTTCAGCTGCTGGATGAAGCTCTGGAGCTCTGTTTTGACTCCGACTATTTGCTTCATTCTCTTCCCTATATCCACGCTGTCTTTGCCCCAATTGTCCAATCGTGATCGAATGCTTGTGTTGATCATGTTCATCTGTTCCACCGTTGTCCGCAACTCAAAGTTCTCCCTCTTGATCCTGTACAGCTCTGCTTCGTAATCCTTAAGACTTGCGGATATCATTTGGTTGCTAGTTTCCGCGTCGGACGCCCGCTTCGCGAATGCTTCTTTGCCAGCATCCAGGTGCACATTCTTCTGCATGAGCTGGGCGTTGTCCGATTCCAGATGGCGTACAGCGTCTTCTAGGGCACCTATCTTTGATCTGATCTGAAGCACTTCACCAGTGAGTTCCCCGTTCATCCTGCGAGTTGCTTTGAGTTCAGACTCCATCTTTCGGTTCTCGCGTTCCGCCCTCTGCCTGGCATCTGAATTTGCCTGATTTTCGCCACAGAGTTGATTCGTCTCGATGGTCATATCTCCGATCTGTCCTCGTAGGACCCCTAGTTGCACCTCACTTTCAGCACTGATTTTCGATAACTTTGCTGATTTGGTGCTCACCTCCAAGTGAGACTTCTCTAGTTTTCCAAACTCCTCACTCAACCTTTGCTTCTCTCTCGTCAAATTTTCCAGTTTCTTATGCACTTCGGCCAGCTCCCTCTCGGCTCTCCGGCGATCTACGTCAAGTTTGGTCAACTCATCATTCGCGGCATCCAGTTTCTCTCCGACAAACAGCTTTTCTTTGCTCATTTCTGCCAGCTTCTTCTCCAATAGTGCATTCACTTTATCAAGATTTTTTATTTCTCGTTTGTACTCTTCACAAGCAAGGTCTGTTTGCTCCATGTGATTCTTCGTATCTTTTGCCTCCCGGTTCAACTTCCCCATGCGAAGTCGAAGGTTGGTGTTTTCTTCTGCTAATTTGGATATCTGTTCTTCTACGTCTGAGTACACATTCCTCAGTCTCCCAATCTCGGATTTCAGAGCACGGCTCCTCTGTCGCATGCCAACTCCAGGTTCGTTGGCCTCCTCAACAATTGCAGTTTCTGACTCGCTGCTAGTGACGCTCGATAGGCTATTGATGCTTGTTGAACTGATCGTGCACTTTGCAATGAAAGTTGTCGATGTTGCTTCATTCTTCCTTGTGCCGACGAGCTCTTCTCCGGTGTTGTCACCGATCCTGTTCACAGTGTTAGTCGACCCGTCCTGAATTTTGGTTTTACTACCAACCATTTCGGCAAGCTCTTTCATCACTGCCAGCTTTGCGGCCGTCTCCTCTTCGAATCGCTTTTCCAGCTCCTGCTGCTGCTCCTGCATTTCACGCATTTCTGATTCCAAGGCGAAGATCTCTCCCTGGAGCAGACGGTTCTCGTCCCGTAGCTCCCTGAGCAGCTTCTCCTCCACAGTCATGCCAGTAAATCGCTTCTCCGTCTGTTCACTCCTGTCAAACTTCTCCACCAACTCTTTTATGAGCTCTGTTTGTCCTCCTTTATCCCTCTTCTCTACACGCCTTTCTTTGATCTGGGTCCCCACGGTGCGCAAACCTGATGCCTTTCTTGTGGATTTGGCAGTCTGGCCACCCTCCTTCTTTGGCTTATCATTCTGCTTGTCCTTCTTCTCACCATCCTTATCGTTGAAGGCCTCTGCCACCCACTTTTCAATCATTGCCTCGTCATCGACATCGACGTTCCTCGCTTCGTCACCATCCTCGTCGATGCTTGCGCTGAGCTCGACCACCGATTGGAACTGATCGATGAGGCGGTCCAGAGTGGCATTGACATGGCTTGAGATCTTTTCGTAAGAATGACCATCTTGTTGATCACCAGGTTGTCTCCTGTTTTTACGACGTTTGCTCTGCTTGAGGATAGCCTCACACAGCCGGGCAATGATGTCACTGAATGATCCTTCGATGTCGGCCATCTCTGTGAGAATGTCGGGCCTGGATGATCCAAGAAGAACAGGCAGAAAGAAAGAAAAACAAAACGAACAATGGCTGACTTCGATACGATTATGTGAGATATCGCATTAGCATTTTATATGAACATTCATACATGTAAAATCTTAGTGACCGAGGATCTGAATAGTATTATGATTAAGGCGAATCTGAATTCCAAGGGATTCCATGGATGGGAAAATGCTAAAATTGGTCAGAATCGTAGTTACGTTATTCAGTACTGCGTTTGACTACGATTTAAAGTCGATTCGGCTTTTATTCTGACAACATAACATAACATTCCGATTGTTAGTATTCTTATCATTATTTAGAACCTAAATCAGGAGGATAATGGTTGTTTAGATTTCCATATGATATATTCACCCTAGGAATATCGAGTAATATGCGCCGGGCTTTACAATGCAGTGGAGGCAAATCAAGACATTACCTATGAAGTTTGTTTTTGTATTCACGTTTGGTGCGTTGACCCCGACAGGGCGTGTTAAAGACCGACCAAGCAAGTTGCTGACCCCGTCCGTTCTACGTCATCAGACTCGTCGTATTCATAACTGCCAACATTTACAAAATGCGTATGAGGCAAGACATTCGTGAACACGAGCGAGACATAACATTCTAGAACTTGATAACATGTCTTACCTGTCATCATTACGAGCGGCATGCTTTTTGGCTCGAGACATGCGACTTGGTGCTATGTCAGGTTCGGCGTCTCTGCAAATACTCCGAGCTTTTCCCCTAGAGGAATAGCAATGAGGAATGAATTAAATGGAAATTCCAACGTGAAATATTATACAACCACCGAACATTTATCAAACATAATTAGATATTGGAAATCGTACATGATTCTTAAAGGTGCATTTGTGTGAGTAAAATGCAATAACTTAATTTAATCAATGATGTTTATTCGGGTCTATTAAAAATGCTTC